CTTGGTGAAAAGCTGATATCTTTTCGTCTCAGGTTTTTTCAAAGTTCTGTGTTCCGCCTGATTTAGTTTTGATCTACATTTGGTTTCCAGGTTATTGTGTCTAGGATGAGATATATATCATCACAGACAGAGCGCTCCGTCCGGTTCGTTGGGCTTTCTACAGCTCTGGCAAATGCAGGGTTCGTATTTTAACTTCTCTGTCTCTTTGAATATGCTTTTTTCTATGTATTTTCTTTTTGCTATTATTTTTCGGAATAATCACTAAACACGCAACTGAATGTTCGAGCTGGTAGACTGTTATCCATGTCTTTGCTGTACTGATGACACTGTCCTTATAGTGTGATATGTGAGTGAAGGACTTTCAATTTTAGTCTTATTTACTAAAAATGTTGATGTGGAAGATGGCTTAAGAAATACCTTACTCCCAATAGCCAGTTTAACTTATTCTCTCAAGTTGTGTGTGCTGAAAAAGTTTAGATTTTGACTTGATGCTTCCTTTTCATTCAGTGATTTGGCTGACTGGTTGGGTGTTGGGGAGATCGGACTTTTCAATTTTAAACCAAGCGTCAGGCCTGTACCAATTGAAGTTCATATTCAGGTAAATCAATATCTTTTCACTAGTTTGCAAACAATTAATGCCTTTCTTAAACAACAACTTTAAGTACGTCTCCTACACTGTACTTGACTATCAAAATTTCAGTCTGCGCTGTTTAATTACCATTTTCGGTTGGTGGATTGAAGGTATTCAAGGAAACCATACAAGCATGAAATTTCCAGACTCAACCTTGTTTATTGTTTTCAGGGTTATCCTGGAAAGTATTACTGCCCAAGGATGAATAGCATGAACAAGCCAGCATATGCCGCCATATGTACCCATTCACCTACAAAACCAGTTCTTATCTTTGTTTCATCCCGTAGGCAGACAAGGCTTACCGCACTGGATCTTATTCAGGCATGATTTATCATCAAACACAGATACTAAATCATCTTTTGACTATATAACTCTAATTTGTATCATCCTTTGTATCTTCTTTTCCTATGAAATGAAGTTTGCTGCCTCCGACGAACATCCGCGGCAATTTCTAAGTGTGTCAGAGGAAGACTTGCAGATGGTCCTCTCACAGATAACTGACCAGAACCTCCGACATACGTTGCAATTCGGCATCGGACTGCATCATGCAGGTTTAAACGACCACGATAGATCTGCAGTCGAAGAGCTTTTCACGAACAACAAGATTCAGGCAATTTCCTCAACATATGCTCTCTCCTGCCTTTACCGTATCCATGGTTACACTTTTACATTATGATTGATGATGGATTCCATGCTTCCATTACAGGTTTTGGTCTCAACAAGTACCTTGGCATGGGGAGTGAACCTACCAGCTCACTTAGTTATTATAAAGGTAAAAGAAGGTCCTCTTCTATTATAATGTTTGGGATCATTTTCTTAGATTTTCTCCTCTAATGATTTGTTTTTTTCTCTATAATACTGTTGTTTTTGGCAATGTTTCCTATCAGGGAACAGAATATTTCGACGGAAAAACCAAAAGATATGTTGACTTCCCTCTTACAGAGATCTTGCAAATGATGGGACGTGCAGGGCGTCCACAGTTTGACCAACATGGGAAAGCGGTCATTCTTGTACATGAACCTAAAAAAAGCTTTTACAAAAAGGTCAAGCTCAATTGGAATTATTTGGCTTTTTTTGGTATCCTTTGCAACAATTTACCTCAAAAAGATCATATTTCCTCTGCATGCAGTTCTTGTACGAACCATTCCCCGTAGAAAGTAGTTTGAAAGAGAAGCTGCACGATCACTTCAACGCAGAAATAGTCTCTGGAACAATAGGCAACAAAGAAGATGCGGTGCATTATCTTACATGGACGTATTTGTTTCGCAGACTGGTAAATATGCTTCAGTTCTATCAAAAAGCGAGATACTACATAGTTTGACGCTGCAATAGTTTGACACCTGCAGCCAGATTCTCTTTTTCCTTTTAGATTTTCCATTACTGCAGAATAACCTGTTCATGACACAGTCTGGTATTGATGTAACAGATGGCTAATCCTGCTTACTATGGGCTAGAAGGTACTCAAGACGAAACAATCTGTTCCTACTTATCAAGGTAAATATCAAAGTTATTAAATAAATAAGATTTCTCTAACTAGAACCATTGTAACATTGGTGTATGTGGGCTGCTTTTTGTGTAGATTGGTGCAAACCACATTTGAGGATCTTGAAGATAGTGGATGCCTCAAAGTAAATGAAGATAGTGTGGAGCCTACGATGCTGGGTACAATAGCGTCACAGTATTACCTTTGCTACATGACCGTGTCTATGTTTGGCTCTAATATAGGTCCTGACACATCGCTTGAAGTAAGAAGCTTATCCAATTTATCTTGATTATTCTTTTGTTTTTCTTTGGCTTCTAACCACTGCCCTTTAGGCATTTTTGCATATCTTGGCTGGTGCTTCTGAGTATGACGAACTTCCTGTGCGTCACAATGAGGTCTGGTCTATACTGTTTTACTTGACGAATATATATGGTTTATCTTTAAAAGTATTTCAGTGAAATGATGTAAAATTTTCTTCTTTATCTCGTGTTCCTTAGGAAAATTACAACAAAACACTGTCAGATAAAGTTCGGTATCCCGTGGATAATAACCATCTAGATGATCCTCATGTGAAAGCGAATCTGCTCTTCCAGGTATGTACTTTTTCATACTATCATGCACTGAAGAATGAAACAAAAATCCAAACTGTGTGAGTTCATGACTGAATCATATAATTCATGATTGTTACCGTCTTTTTAATGCATGACATCCATTGCTCCAGGCACACTTTTCTCAGTTGGCACTCCCAATCAGTGATTATAACACGGATTTAAAGTCAGTACTGGATCAAAGCATTCGGATCCTTCAGGCCATGATTGATATCTGCGCAAACAGTGGATGGCTCTCAAGCTCACTGACGTGTATGCGCCTTTTGCAAATGGTCATGCAGGTAATGTCCTGAAGATTACTACTCTTAGCTTGTTCCATTTCTTTGGAAGCAGAACCAATACAAATTATTTCACTTTTCGCAAATTAAGAAAAATGCTTTTACTTTATCCAATTCTCTTTTTTATTCTAGGGCATGTGGTCCGATCAAGATTCGTCATTATGGATGATCCCATGCATGAATGATGATCTTCTAGGATCTCTGACCGCAAGAGGAATTCACACGCTGCATCAGCTATTAGATCTTCCAAGGGAAACTCTACAAAGTGTAACCGGAAACTTCCCTGCATCAAGATTATCTCAGGTACTCTCAAATTGGTCACAACTGTTTCTTTTTGCATTTAGTACTTTCACTCATGGAGTCTTAACTATTCTCTGCACTCTTCGATCTTAATTAGGATCTCCAACGTTTTCCACGGATCCAAATGAATGTGAGACTCCAAAAGAAGGATTCAGATGGCAAGAAGAAGCCTTCAACGCTGGAAATCAGATTGGAAAAGACATCAAAGAGGAATAGCTCGAGGGCGCTGGCCCCTCGATTCCCAAAGGTTTTTAATAAAGACTTTACCACAGATTAGCTCGATGCAAAAATGAAATTGAATTCATGACATTTATTTTGGGTTATAGGTGAAAGACGAAGCGTGGTGGTTGGTTCTTGGTGATACTTCAACTTCTGAGCTCTTTGCTGTGAAGAGGGTTTCGTTCACTGGTCGTCTGATCACACGCATGGAGTTACCTCCCAATATAACCTCGTTTCAGGTACAATTTTCTTCTAATTTTGTCTAACTAATTCATTCTTTCTTACACTTCTACATATATATTATTGCTGAATTTGTGGTTTTTATTTTTGGTCAGGATACGAAACTCATCTTAGTTTCGGATTGTTATTTGGGGTTTGAGCAAGAACACTCCATTGAACAACCTGCACGTCGCGGATATATAAGCCATTAGATGATGGATTGTAGTAACCCCCATATTTTTATAGAAATTTTTTATATATTGTCAAAATTTTCTTAAAATTCTGTTTTTATTTTTTCCTTCTGTAAAACCAAATTTTACATAACGTATGTAAAAGTAAAAGTGTTACAGATTTTTTGGGCTACATAATAAAATCAAGAGCTTAAACTAAATGTGTTTACTGTGACAAGTCTGTGGCAAAGTTATTTGGGTCAACAATTTTACGTTAATTGTGTGCCAAAAAAAAAAAAAAAAAAATGTCAACTGGAGTATTAATATTAGTATAAAAAAGTCATTACAAAAGAAACTTGAGGTAAGTTACAACAGCGAAATAAGGAGAAACTACATCAGCAAGGCCATAATTTACAGACAACAAAACTATGAAGACAAGTCTAAGAGGAAAATCCTTAAGAGACGAAAAAAAAAAAAAAAAAAAAAAAGAGGAAAATCCTTGAGCAAATTCCGAAACAGATTGCCAAGAAGGGTGTAAAGAGCTGTTCGAGATTGCAGGATTCCAAATTCTATCTGATTCTTTCCTGATAGTTTAGACTAAGGGAAAACGTTTCTCAAAATCAAAGAGCTCTTTAAGCCAAAAAGGAAACCCTTGAGCTACACTTGGCGCAATGATAATGCCCCTGAATTTTCCAGTCTTTGATATCAATCAGACCATTGTTAATTTCTGAAATATAGAACTCGAAAGAAGGCTATGGCTTGAGGTCTGTTGATAGCTTTAACCAGATCCATTGCTTCCGAAGCAAATATCAACTTGTTGATTTTCTGATTATTACTACTCTCTATATCCCATAAAATGCTCTGAAGATTTGCTCTCTGCCAAAGTTGCGGTACTTGGGAATGATCTTCTGCTATGAAGTAGTACCATTCCATTCTCGTCTCTTAAAACCCAAAAAAAAACTCCTGCCTTTTTCTTCTTTGACCAGCACATACCAACATTACATTTAAGCCAAGAGAGAGGAAACACCATCTATTATTATCTTTAACTATTACATGAATTCAAAAATTCATCAACTCGATCCCATTATTTTTTTCGTGTTCTTATTTTGATTAAAACGAGTCTAATTCCAGACTACATTAATAACAAATTGACAAAAGGAGAGTGAAAGATTTAACGAAAATGATTAATCTTCGTCACTGTCATCAATCACGGCCTTGCGACGATGAGTCGGAGCTTTTCTCCTCGGAGACTCCTCCTCGTCAGACTCAATCCCTTTCCTTTTCCGGCCACTTCCACGGTGATCCTTCTCTGCCCTTACTCCCTGCATAAAGCACATTTCACCACACATTACAATTTCAATGAACTTCCCCATTGACAACAAAAGAAATAAAAGAATGTTCTAATTTGCGTACCGCAGCCTCTTCCTCTTCTTCGTCTTCATCTGAATATCTGTTAGATTTTCCTCCTCCTTCATCTTCATCTTCTTCTGCATCTTCCTCATATTCATCTTCTGATTCCTTTCCTCTACCACGGGGAGGAGACTTTTCTTCCTCTTCTTCTTCCGTCTCATATTCTGATTCCTCTCTCTCACTCTCAGAATACTCCATTTGACGTCTTGACGGTCTGGCCGAAGTCATTGAAGACCTCCCCGGAATGCCTTTGCGGCTCTGCTTTAACCCCAGCGAGAAGCAGTTAAAGGAATAGTTTAATTTCTAATGTTATTTGCATACTGAGAGATATGAGTTTTCTTAATGTTAAAGGATTAGTTTAATTTCTAAAGCTTACCTTCTTGGCGTTCAGAATCCGGCGTTCCCGTTGCGCTTCAGCTTCGAGATCCTCCTCGTAGCCACGGTTTGAACGGTGAGAACCATAGTGGTCTGTCTCGTCATCCTGGTTCCACGAAACAATCAGTCGTTACTACTGCAATCTTTGCTTTAGAAAATGAAAGAACACAATATACCCAAACTAATAAAACAGACCTCATCAAGAGCATCTTCCAAGTAGCCGGTGGAAAGTTGTCTCCTTTCAACAGGAAGTGAATATTTGCGCTTGATTTTCTCCCTCGCCTGACTCAGCTTTGTACTAGCCTTGAGGTTTTGGCTTTCCGCCTTCAGAATTTGAGATATTAAATGAGAAAAGTCTACAAACACTACAATAAAACTATTGTTGGATTGTCTGAGCTCATTTAAGAGGTTACCTTTTCTCTCTTCTCCTTCTCCCTCTCAGGGTCAATGTCAGTGACACAGTTCTTAACTTTGAAGGCCTTCTTCTGCCTCGATTCAACAAGGGCAGTCAAAAGCCTATGGGAATTTGACGTTAGAGATGATGGGATAAATCTCATTTTCTTCAAAATTCTTCCTTGTGATTGAAGGATACCCTACAAAACATCCAGATAAGACAACACTTTGAGATATAGCAGAGTTGGTTTTATTCTTAGAACCAAGACCAATTTGGAATGCAGGAGACATTTGGTTTCCTCATGAGAAGTTTTGTCATTTAGTATAGAGACTTGTATGGGTGCTCTGAAATGAATCAGTTTATCGTTGATTCACAGGATGCTTTCAAATCCTAGGAGGCTGGAGCAACTATAAATTGATCGCTAACTAAGGCAGAAGGAATGACGAAGTAACACCTTTTCATGTTTGATAAAGAGGTGATTCTGGTCTTGTTTTGCATCTTGTTCAGTTATGTCAAGAACTTCGTTTCCTATCAATAGCTGTAAGCTCCCATCTGACCACCTTACAAACCGAGCATTACTTTCAGTCTGCATACGAACATAGAGTGACTTTAGTATACTACAGCAAAAGTAAAGGAAAAAAGTAGAAGAAATAAGTGCAATAAGCAACAAAACAAAGAAATTTTGTTTATGGGCAGATTTCTAATGAAGCCTGAAGAATTAGAAGAACTGTTGAACAGAGACATCATAAAATCTCATCTCCAACCAAATGAACACATGTCCGTGATGAAAAGCACAAAGTAAACTAATTCGGAATACATAAATTGCATCAAAAGTATGTACCTATATTAACATCATTCACATTTTATATTTCTCAGCAAAATATTTGAAACAGTACCAAGAACGCCAGTTTACGAAATTGGTAGATCAGAAGTACTAGACTACTAGCAATAGGCAAACTACATAGCTTCGTCACAGGTTTTGATGGAAAATTTAAAAGCGGAAAAGCTTTGAAGAAGTGTTCACTTACATATGTTTTGCCATCTCGACTCTTAACAAACCTATGGCGAACAATATTATTTTCCAAACGAATACGCTTCTTTGCTCCAGGTTCATCTGTCACGAATCTGTCTTCTTCAACGAATGTTTTGGCATCGAATGGCTTTGGATCAATTCCCATGATATTGGAAACTTTTATCATGTTCATCTGAAAAAAGATCAAAGAGAAAATGGTAATGGGAGGAAGCGCATTTTTGCTACAGAACATCTTAACCACAGATAGACAACTAGAAAATGGGGTTTCAGATATAAGACTGAATAGCCCTCTTCTGTACAACAAATGACCGTTCATGCTAAGTAAATGCAATAGTTCTCCACATAAAAGACATCAGATACTCACTCTTCGTCGTCTTCGAACCACAATGAAATGAGACATTTTGATAACTTGGAAATACCAGAAAGGAAACTATTGATTTGAAGCCATGTCAGCGAATAATCTTTTAGCAACATAAAGCGGTATACCTTAACGGGGTCACCTGGAGGAGGGCGGAAAGGAACCTCCACTTCCAAAGGGGGACCAACTGGCTTCTCCCTGTACCTAGCTTCAACATGCTCAGCTTCTGACTCGTATTGAGGATCCTCTTCAGGGAGCATATCATCAAGCCCCATATCATTGGGTCTCAGATCCTTCTCAGAGCCCTCTTCATCTTCGATTGGCGATCTCTAAAAAATTAGACATCTCATCATACATACATGCAAATTCATATGGTTTCTAAAAAGAAGCAAACACAAAAAAAAGGAAACAGAAATTCTGTAAACTGAAATGTAATATTAGATGCAAGACTCACATGTTCATCCTGCTCAACGTCATTCCGAACATATTCTTCTGCATCTTCATCATCCGAAGATCCAAAAACATTACGAATATTTACGTCTGACTGTGCAACTTGAGTCTCTTCCTTCTCCTCACTAGGTGACCTACCCACCATGGCGTTTTTCCATGTACAGGAGACAACGTGATCCATAAGAAAAATTGAACATACAAGGAACCTCAGATACCCTCAGATGACGAGCAAGTATTATCAAATCCAGAGCAGAGCAGAAAATTCAAAACAAACTACAAAACAGCTAGGAAAAATAGAAGGGGGAAAAGGGGTACCTTGGACTCCTAGTCTGATCAACCTCTTCATCTTCAGACTCGTACTGCTTTTCACCAGACCTCTCTGATCCACTCTCAACAACATCCTGTCTCCTCTTTTTGGCTACTCTAGCCCCATGTTCTTCTTCTTTATTATCACTATCACTATCTCTTGTTTCACTTTCCTCTTGTGGATCAGCAACATCAACCTCCTGTGAACTTTGCTCCCTCTCACCCTCACTTTCTCCAGGATCAAGTTCTACATCTCCCTGTTCCCCTTCAGACTCAACTTCAGCCTCTCCGTGAACTTCAACCTCAGCTTCACCTTCTCCTTCAGGCTCCACCCCGCCCTCGGCCTCATCCTATTGGTGTTTGCATTGGAAATCTCAAGTAAATTTCACTGATATTGGATAATTCCGTTTATAGAAGAAGCAAAAAATCAAAGAACATCATGGATTACACAATGCCATAGAATCAGACAATAATCATCAATGGATTATAGTCTAGTTGATATTAGGAAGAACTAAAGCTGAATTAGGCCTAATAAGTTGCATTGGCTCTTGCAATTCACCCTAAAACCCTAAATTGAGGCGAGAAGAACTCCAGAAACCATTCGAATTCCAAGGTGTAATTCAAAAACAGTGGCAGTGAAAAATACGAAAACTGATACAATCAATAGTGATGAAACGAAGGAGATAAAGAGGGAGAGAGTTACAGAAGCGTAGTTAGGCTGACGATTGGATTCATGTTCGGATTCGATCTCTTCTTCCTCGGAATTATCTCCGAACAGATTATGCATAATATCGGATCTCTTTTCTACTCCAACCATCTCGGATCTCTTTTCTGCTCCAACCATATTCGCCTCTCTTACTCAAAAAAGTCACTGCCTCTAGCTGGTGACGGTGGCTCGTGATCTGAGCTCCGACGAAGGGTTCACTATATCGGCCTTTGTTCCTTAAGTTGAAGAAACTATCGAATTTTATGACATCAGAAAAAAAATTTAATAATAAAAAATAAAACAAAACTGTTCCAAGGAAAAGGAAATTTTCATCGATATATCTAAAGCATTTACCTTGATTAATGGAAATCATCTTAAATTTTTTAAAAGAAACATTAAATTATTTTAGACGATCTTCTAATCTTCTATATATTAAAAAAAAGATTTTAGGAACTTTAGGGAAACGTAGTTAAACTAAATGGCCGATTGGTAACGACTTTTAATTATTGATGTAACGACTTTGACTGTAAGAACTTTCGCTATAAATACTTTTGATTTAAAGACTTTGACTGTATAAATTTTATAATCGATTGGTAAAGACTGTGACTGTAAAAATTATAATTTTAAATAATTACCAAATATATAGGAAAGTGGATCTTAATAGAACAAGAAAAAAAATTGTAAATAAACGGAAATTTTTCAAAAATTAATTTATTTGTGAATGTTATGAGAGTTTATATGTATATGTGAAAAGAAAAAGAAAAAAAACTATAAATTTTTAATTTATTTATTTCTAAAGTCTCATTTAGGTGACTTAAAAAAAAAACTGAAAACAAAGAGTAAAAATAAAAAAGAGACTTTGAAGGCTTTAGAAATTTTTAAACCCAAAAAAGCTTGATTGGGGAAAATAGACTTTTAAAATTTTTAAAAAAATTAAAAGTCTTAAAAACCTAATCCAATCACCCCCTAAATCAATGTTAAGTCCACAATTATTTTTCTCTTTTTCATTTTTCATTTTATTTAGTTCTATTATTTATCTTAATTACATGGCATGGATTCCTACATAATTAATATTTTAAAATTTGTGTGAGATGGAAATATCGATTTAAAATTTGTCTTTGTTCAATAACAGTTTTACTATTTTAACCTTAATTAGTATGGTTTTTTTTTTGTGCACCACGTTAATTAGTAAGGTTTTAAAATGAGTTTTACTTATAACGACGATAATTAGAGAGAAAAAAAGATGGGATTTTATGAGTTTTTTTTAGATTGAAATTCAATATTTTTGGGTTATGTATATCATGGTTCTTTGATACAAGACATCACCAGTTTCTTTGTGATAGTGAGCTTGTGTTTGCCCCTGTGTATATGCTACAACAACCTTTTAAAATTTTCACTTCTTTGATCAAATAACTTGAGTTGCCAAAAGAAAATTTTATGTCTACTTCTACAACACTGATGTTTAAATTTTACAAAATTTCACTAGTTTTAAATTTTTGGTAGTCAATTAATAAAAGTTAACGTTTTTTAATAAAATTCGGATTTCTTCTCTTTATATTTGTATTGAAAATATCTCCTTATAATGTCATAATATGTTCTCGATTTTTTGTTAGATTCGGTGTATGTGTGTAACTAATCCCACCCTTCTGACTATGTTTTTCAAATCTTTCTTATTTCGACTAAGTCTTGTGGTTTATTTTACGGATTTGTGCATCGGAAAATAGTTACTAGTAAATTCCGACTTTCGAATACGCATTGCATGCGATTTTTTTCGGATCTCAAGTGATAACTAGACATCAATAATATTCAATAAATCATGAAATTTAAAAATACTTATGGTAATTTCTGAAAAACTGAAGAAATTATGGAATAAAAAGAAAAAGGAAAAAAAACTATATATATATATATATATATATATATATATATGTATGGACATTTTCAAAATTACTCAAACTAGTTGTCTCATACCTGATTTGTACTTGTATATATATGTTGAATATTTCTATACATTTTGTATTTATGGATAGGGCCGTCGCAGTTGGCCCGTATAGTTAAGCAGCCTCTAGAGGGACCGAAATAATTCACATACTGATTACGTGCTTTGGCTTCCAACCAAACGTTTTTGACTAGGGCTGCTTCCGTAGCCTGTTATGTTATTATAAGAGTTGATCCTCCATTTGATACTAAACTCATACGTACAAAGGAGTATTATCTAAAAGACGAGAGTACAAGTGAGATATGGCGTTAAAGGTGATCAAGATCTCCCGAGTCAGCCCTGCAACCGCCTCCATAGACCCGCTCATTGTCCCACTCTCGTTCTTCGATTTACAGTGGCTTAAACTAAACCCTACCGAGCAAGTCTTCTTTTACAAACTCACCGAATCATCATCATCTCGCGACGTTTTCTACTCCTCCATCCTCCCCAAGCTCGAGCGATCTCTTTCACTCATCCTCACTCACTTTCGCCTATTCACGGGTCACCTTAAGTGGGGTTCACAAGATCCAAAGCCGCGTTTAGTCGTTCTCTCAGGAGATAGTCTCTCTCTCAAAGTGGCTGAGACTGATGCGGATTTCTCACGTATCTCTGGCAGAGGGCTTCGTCCAGAGCTAGAGTTGCGCCCTCTAATACCCGAGCTACCGGTTTATTCTGACTCGGGGGCTGTTGTATCCCTGCAAGTCACTTTGTTCCCGAAACAAGGCTTCTGCATTGGAACCACAATCCACCATGTCGTCGTGGACGGCAAAACGGCTGAAAAATTTAACAAAGCATGGGCTCATGCTTGTAAACATGGGACCATACCGAAAATTCTACCAACGGTTTTAGATCGTTCTGTCGTCAATGTTCCAGCCGGGCTTGAACAAAAGATGCTCGGACTTCTGCCGTATCTCACGGAGGACAAAGAGAACGCAAGAACCCTAAAGCTACCTCCAGTAAAAGAGATTTACGCTGAAGACAACGTCCTCCGAACCACCATCGAGATGACTCCTGAAAACATTGAGAAACTCAAGGAGCGAGCCAAGAAAGAGTCAACACGCGCTGAGCTTCACTTGTCAACGTTCGTAGTCACGTTCGCCCATGTGTGGACATGCATGGTGAAGGCCCGTGGAGGCGACCCGGAGCGACCGGTTCGTTTCATGTACGCTGCTGATTTTAGAGACCGGTTAGACCCACCAGTCCCTGTGACATACTTGGGGACTTGTGTCTTAGCCATGGATTTCTATAAATACAAAGCTAAGACGTTTTTGGGAGAAGATGGATTTGTCAACACTGTCGAAATTCTCAGTGATTCGGTCAAACATTTGTCTTCGCAAGGGGTAGAGTCAACTTGGGGGGTGTACGAGGAAGGAACAAAGACGATGAAATGGGGTACACAGTTGTTGGTGGTAACCGGGTCGAACCAGATTGGGATGTACGAAACGGATTTCGGGTGGGGAAGACCCGTTCACACTGAGACAATGTCTATCTACAAGAACGATGAGTTCTCTATGTCCAAGAGGAGAGATGGGATCGGTGGCGTCGAGATTGGCGTCTCTTTGAAGAAACTTGAGATGGATGTTTTCTTATCTTTATTTTACAAATGGATTGGAAACTGAAAATTAAACGGTCTTAATCGATTCCAGCTTTTGATTATTTGTATTTTTATGTTTTCATTTCTAGTTCAATAATTGCCCTATACGACGCAGATTTGTATTCATTATGGCTTTTGTATTGTTCTTGAATAATTTGTACTGCGTTACTATACGTGCATAATTATTGCGTACAATGGTATGAGTCAATTGTTGATACCATATATTATTTTTTTTGTTATTCTTTGGACGTAATGCGATATTTATGTAAGTAGAATAATGAAAAGTGTATTTACATTTACATAAATAATAAATGTTAAATTTAAGATTTAAAGAAAATACTCTAAAATACTACTAAAATTTTAAAACTTTTATTCTTTTCAAACTCATAAAATGGATACGACGGAAAAAATCAAAAAATATATAATTTTAGGTAAACGACATATTTCTCCTTCATAGCACCAAATCACACACATATTTCCGAATCTATTTTTCCCTAATTTGAAAAATCGAAATTTCTTTCGACATAAAATTTCAGTCACATGATGAACATGGTGGTGATATTTCAGTCGAACTATCAGAAATTAAAAGTTGTGATACGTCTCAATAAGTGATAAACATGGACCCCAATATTTTATCACATGCTTAATGGCAAATTTATTTATTTATAGAATTATTGCAAAAATATTACTAATATTTATTTTGTTATATAATGTTTATAAAATTTTATGTAAATGATATTTTTCAAAAAAAACAATTTTTATTTTCTCGGTAACGTGGGACCACAATATTTTGGGTTTTAGCTTAGCGATAAGGATGGTTAACCGGTGAAATGAAACAGAAGATTGTAAGATAACGGGCCGAATATGTATCATAGGCCCATAGCCTAAAACAATAAGGGTAGTCATGTAAAATCCCCTCACACACACACCTCAAAAACCCTAATTTCGTTTAACATAATTCCTCTCAATCCCGTCTCCAAGTATCGCCGACGCCGCAGCACCAAAGGAGGAGAAGAAGGATCAAAGGCGCGACACAACAATGGCGACAGGTAAAACAGTGAAGGATGTCTCTCCACACGAGTTCGTCAAGGCTTACGCTGCCCATCTCAAGCGCTCCGGCAAGGTAACGAATCGTGATTCTTAACCTTTGGTCCGCATCGTTTGCTCATAATCTAGTCTTTTGATTGATGTTTGGGATTACGATTACCTCATGAGAGTGACTTGAATTGGCCTTAAAAGTCTAGAGCATTTGAATCGTAACTACAAATTTCAATAAGTTCTGAACAATGATTTGCTAGTGTCATTTCAGTGAAAACCCTAGATAGGTATTGGTATTGGATGCTTGGCTTGGTTTTTGGCACTATATGTTTCTGCTTTTGATTTCAGTGGTGTTCTTTTCATGTAGATTGAGCTGCCTCTGTGGACAGACATCGTCAAGACTGGTAAACTTAAGGAGCTTGCTCCATATGACCCTGACTGGTACTACATCAGAGCCGGTATGTATTCAACATCTGTTCAAACTCTTCTACATATTGGATTTGGGCATTGCCTTTTAATGTTTGTATCTGATTTTCTTTGACAAATTTTCTACTCTTTAGCTTCCATGGCTAGGAAAGTTTACTTGAGGGGTGGTCTTGGAGTTGGTGCCTTCCGTAGGATCTATGGAGGAAGCAAGAGGAACGGAAGCCGTCCTCCTCATTTCTGCAAGAGCAGTGGTGGTGTTGCTCGTCACATTCTTCAGCAACTCCAGACCATGAACATCGTTGACCTCGACACCAAGGGGTAAGTTTATTGTCTCTAGTTTAGAATTCTCCCTGGCCTCACTGGTATAAAGGAATGGTAGGAATACTGAAATTGTATGAGACTAGTTAAGCACCAGTCAATTACAAAACTTGTATACACCAATTTGGACACTTAGATTTGATATTCGTAAAGGTGACCTAAAATTGTACTCATTAGATGAAATGTATTCATTGTTTTATAAATGTGCTACTACTTCATCTATTAGTACACATATTTATGCAATCGCATGTCTTTGCTAGCTAATGATTACATATTCTGATGCAACCAGGGGAAGGAAGATCACATCAAGTGGTCAGAGAGATCTTGACCAAGTCGCTGGAAGGATCCCAGCTGCCGTCTAAATCAAATCATAACGTCAGATGGTCAAGTCTAAGTTTAAGGTTTATGTTGGAGATTTAGTTATGGAACGAGTTGCATTTGAAAACCAATAGTAGAATTCCCTCTCATTTTTTGTTTTCATGAGTTCTTTCTTTTTTGCCTCTCTTTTTGTTCTGAACGACTTATGGCTTATATTTGATATCATCTTTGACCCGTTTCTCATTTCATGAAATTAGTTCTAAAATCTATAATTATGGCTTCTTTTTTTTGTATTCAATATTTGGAAAATGGTTTTGTTTGCTTAAATCGGTAGAGTAAGAATACATGCAATTTGTCATTGAAAGCAATGACGTAGACCTCAGGCTTGTAAGTTGTAATCTTTACTGCGATAACAATGCCGAAGATATAATGTATTATGTATTAAAGTCCTTTTTAACGCAAAGTAATAGAGTTAAAGCTAAGACATTTCGGAAACCTGAAAGAATCAGAGATTACCAACAATTAATTGTGTGCGTTTGAAACTTTAAAAAAGTTTTGTAAACGGAGGTGAGCATTAAAAATGCGAATTACATTTACTCTTTATTATTTTGTAATAACTAAAACAAAATCTTGAGAATCCAAACAGTTACTAATGTATCTTACAATTTATATGATCACATTTTAAATTTCGAAATTTGAGGGACATTTCAAATTCAAGAAAGCATATACTCCACTAATTTAGGGTGTCTCCCGTTAGTTATAAACTCGTTGCCTCTTTTGCTTCCAGTTCAAAAGCTCACACAATCCCTAACTCTAACCTATTATTTCAATTTCTTTGCCAGCTTCACATTTAGGATTTTACTTGCAGCTGACGAACGCTTGATTTCTTTTTAGAATGGCGGCCACAGCAACTGCTAAATCATTGGCGTTGCTGGACACAGAGAACCGCGAGGTTCTCAAAAGTTGGGATGCCATCTTTACTCATGGCAACACTGATCCAGTCGGTCCTCTTGAGCCACTGGCCTTCAACGGCTTTGGACTCGGTCACGTCTCGGCCAAAGACCACCATAAACCAAAAACGGACGAAGACGAATCAGCTAAGGCGGATTTCGGTGGTGCAAAAACGTCAGTTTGGTGGGACATTGAGAACTGCGAGGTTCCAAAGGGTTGTGACCCCCATGGTGTTGTTCAGAGCATTAGATCGATGCTGTTGAAAAGGAACTACTGTGGTCCGCTCACTATTTATGCATATGGTGACACAAATCAAATCCCTTCCTCTGTACAACAAGCTCTCTCTTCCACCGGCGTATCTCTCAATCACGTCCCTGCCGGTTAATCTCTTTTCTTGATACACCTGATTCTTTCTTTGATTAGCAGTTTAAGTATACGAACAATTTGGATTGTGTTCTTTGTTAAAAAAACAAAATTTTGGATTGGTTAGTTACGGATTATATAATGGTTTATTAGGGACTGAATTATAGATAGTAATTTTGGGGTTAATGAGATCAGTCTTTAGTGTGTAGTCTCTAATGGCTTATTCTCTATGTTCTTGATGATTGTGAGAATTTAACAGGAGTAAAAGACGGGAGTGACAAGAAGCTCCTTGTAGACATCGTGTTGTGGGCAATGGAAAACCAAGCTCCTGCTAACATAATGCTCATCTCTGGTGATAAAGACTTCTCTTATCTTCTTCACAAACTAGGTATGAAGAGGTATAACATTCTGCTGGCTCGACCTGAGAAAGCGTCAATGCCACTCATCGCTGCTGCAAAGACCGTATGGTTATGGTCAAGCATTGTTAATGGGGATCGTCCTAACAGACCTATTGACATTGGAAGTCATCATGATTCTGGCTCTGAGGTATTAAGACATTTGGGTCCTAAACAAGCTCAAGGGACCAAGAGGTGCCGGAGTTTCTGTGAATTATGCAATGTTTTTTGCTCAAACCATGATTTAACCGCTCACCTCTCTGGTAAAAGGCACAGAACTAACGTAAGCTATACATTTTTTTTTAATGTATGCTTTTTGTCCTCTCCTTGAGCCTAATCTTGATTCTTGAGTTCACTTCTACCGTGATTAGATGTGAGGCACATGTGCTTTATGTTGATAATAGTTTTGACAATTGTTGTTGTACATTTTCTCAACTTGTGTAGGTTATGCTAGTAGCCCGTGGACGCCCTCTTGTCAGTAACTCAATCGAACCAAAGTTTGCAAGGTGCCGAGATTGCCGTATGAGTTTCCGCAGCCAAGCAAGGTATGAAACACACATCTTAGGGAAAAGCCACCAAGAAAAACTTGAAGATCAAAACGAGCATTCCAAAAAGCGCATCTGCAGGAGTACCCCCTAATAGTCTCCTATAATATTTAGAGGGAAGACAATGCGATAAGAGTTTGTTAATTGCCAAACTTGTCTTTTGAGTCTCATCTTAGTTACGTTGCTGGTTGAAATAACTTTTGTTTTTTTGGGAAGGTTCTATAATTTATTTTGCGAGAAACTATGATATAACTTTTGGTTCTAAGTCTCATCTTTGTTTTTGGGTAAAATCTGAAACATGAGCCAAGTAGATAATTTTGTTTTTTTTTTCACTTGTTGAAAAGTTTTAGAGTTGCTGTTCTTGAGTTTTCAGAATTTGATGTGTAAAATCGACCCACGGTTATCTCTAACTTAGAGACGTGGGCGGAAAGCAACTAGCATGACGTACATTTGTTTAGTAGAGGACCTAGAGGTTATCAAACCTAATTTCGATTGGCCTCAGACAGTATATATAAACCTTTTTTTTTTGTAGGGGTAACAATTATACATTCTGGAATTGATTCAACAATTTCTTTGACCAAAATATGATTTATGTTTTAAATTGTATATAAGGCCTTCTAGCTTCTTCTTCATTTTTTTCCAGAAAAACTTTATCATTAAGGCATGCATGCGTGTATCTAGCTAGCTATTTACAGGGTAATTACCAATTTTACTAAAGAGGCTTACTTTGCTAATTACCGATGGAGATACAACCTCGAAAACTGCTATCATATCTAAACTAAATATCCCCTTCTTCTTTTCCTAGAAATGCATAAAAGTTAATTACGAACATTTTTGAGGTCTTTAACTAATTTCCTGCAAAACAAGAAAAGAAAAGTAATGAAATTAAGGTTGATATTAGGTTCACTTTCACGAGCATTTTCAAGGGCTAAAACGCAGAGGGACATGAACGGCTTCGCACATAATGATTCCATTCAGCATCCACTGCCGTTCAATGGCGTTGGGCTCAAGTATCAAAGTACGTCGGCAACAACGGAGGCAGAATTCGCAACGGCAAAAACGTCAGTGTGGTGGGACTTTGAGAATTGCAATGTACCTAAAGGTTGTGACGGCCATGCAATTGCTCAGAACATTAAATCGGCTCTGTTGAAAAGGAACTACTGTGGTCCGCTCACTATTTATGCTTATGGCGACACCAATAAGATCCCTTCCTCTGTTCAGCAGGCTCTCTCCCCCACCGCCTTATCGCTCATTCACGTCCCTCCTGGTCAAAATCTCTAATCTCTCTCTTTATACTGCAATTGTCTGATTTTGATTGTTTGGTTTATAACCTATAGTCTCTGAATGGATTTTTTGTGGTGTTAAGGCATAGTGTACGTGGTTTAGGATAAATTCTTATTGAATCTCAAATTTTTAGTTTGTAATCTTCAAAAATGGTAGTGATAAGGGTGTCTTATGTTGTGATTTAACAGGAGTGAAAGACGGTAGCGACAAGAAGATCCTTGTAGACATGTTATTGTGGGCAATGGAAAACCAAGCTCCAGCTAATATAATGCTCATATCCGGTGATAGAGACTTTGCTTATGTTCTTCACCAACTAGGGATGAAGAAGTACAACATTCTTTTGGCACGACCTGAGAACGCATCTCCCTTTTTAATTGCGGCTGCAAAGATAGAATGGTTATGGACAAACATAGTTGTAACTGGATCTGCCTCTAAGGTTCCAAATGAACAAGCTCAGCCCAGCGAAAAGAACCAAAGATACTGCGAGAAATGCAATGTTACTTGCACAATCTTGATTGATTTTAACTCTCACCTCTCTAGTAAAAAGCACAAGAAAAAGGTAAAACTATATCTGCTCTCTTGTCGTTTGGTGTGTGCTTGTTTGTTCTCTCGTTTTGAGCGTGCACAATCTAGCTAGAGTTCATTTTAGGAAATCATTTTCACTCTAAGTAGCTCATGATGTGAAGATGAACGTGATTATATATATATATATGTTGCAATTTGCAAATAATGTTTTACTTGAGTGTTGATAATAGTTTTGATAGTCGGTGCATGTGCTCTTTAATTAGCTGAAACCTTGATTTTTGTTGACAGTGCGCTAATGTCATTGGTGTAACCAAACTCAAAGCGAAACCAAAAGCATTGTGCTGTAAGCTTTGCCAGGTCAACTGCCCGAACGAAGCAACGTATGAAAGTCATATCTCAGGGCGGAAACACAAAAACAAACTAAAAAGTCAAGCTGCGGAATCCCGCTAATCTGTTTCTTTAATTAGATTTCCCGATATTATGGCTTGTAAATTTTTTCCAAATTGAGTTTTGATGGCTATGGATTTTTGATTAGGAAGGATTTGAGCCAAATTTGATAAATATTGATTTTGGCAGAAGTAATATTTCGTTATTTTTTTTTCAAGTATAGTTTCTGGAATTGAAATTCTAAACATTACGTATATAAATTTCTGAAAAAACGGCTTATGAATAATGCATCCAATTATTTTCTTTAGCGTGCATGCATCCAATTATTTAGACTTTCTTACAGTATCTAAAAAAGAGCCTTGGTAATTATGACTCTTATTTTCGCTAATTACCGATGAAGAGATACAGCCTCCAAAGTTACAACGGCTATTAAAGCATTATTATTATCTCACTGTCTGATTGGCGCCTTTCGAAATTGCTGACGTGGCTTAAATAATAAATGTCCAAAAAGTAGAATACTTGTATTTAACTTGATCGTACTCTACAGAGACAAAATAAAAAAGCAGACTTTGCGAAAAGCGAAAGGTTTCTTCGTCAACATGGAAAGAACTTAGTGGAAACCTCTTACTTACTCAGATTGTGAGGAGATTAGCTTCACTTACCTTAGCAAGCTCCGATCTTCCACGACGGTAGAGAGAGGAGAAAAAGATCAATTTTTGGTTCACTTTTGCTTCAGAACAAGTGTGCTTTCTTCTCTCTAAAATCTCCGGCGATGTCCACGGCGGAGGCGGATTACGTGAAGGCCAAAACATCGGTGTGGTGGGATATAGAGAATTGTGAGGTACCCAGAGGCTGGGATGCTCACGTGATTGCCCTAAATGTGAGTTCGGCTTTGTTGAAGATGAATTATTGTGGACCTGTCTCAATTTCTGCTTATGGCGATACCAATCTCATCCCTCTCCATCATCAACAAGCGCTTTCTTCTACTGGTGTTGCGCTTAATCACATTCCTGCAGGTTTCTTTCTCACAAAACCCCTCTTTTGATTCACCCATGTTGAGACGCTTTTGTGTTTTTTTTTCTTTTCTTGAAATTGGGAATTTGTTTTGTTGACTTCGTGTGATTTTGTTTGATTTTGATTACTGTTATTAGCTATATGTTGATCCTGGATCTATAATATTAGGGTTTTGCTTTCTGCATGTTGAATTGGGTTTCTCCATTTTGATTTTGGAGTGTGGTCAAATCTCAGTCTTTAAGTAGTTTGGTTATAGTGGAATATATGATTGAGTTTGTGCTGCTTTGGTGGTTGGAGCAGGAGTAAAAGATGCGAGCGATAAGAAGATTTTGGTGGATATGTTATTGTGGGCGATAGACAACCCTGCGCCAGCGAATTTCTTGCTTATCTCTGGTGACAGAGACTTCTCTAACGCTCTCCACCAGCTAAGAATGAGGAGGTATAACATTCTTTTGGCTCAACCTCCACGGGCCTCTGTGCCGCTTGTTGCTGCTGCTAAAGATGTATGGCTCTGGACAACCCTAGCATCTGGAGGTCCTCCTCTTACAAGTTGTGAATCCTCTCTACTCTTTAACAATGGGAGTATACATGTCTCTAATAAAGCTCAGGCCAGCCAACCACATGGTTCAACTTCTAACGCTGGTGATACTAAGGATCAAAAAACCAGAGGATTGCCTCAGGAGATGATAAAAAATATGCCTCAGAATAGCAGAGGAGCCACCGGTGAATCCTCTCGACTCGTCAACAATGGACTTTGTCATGTCCCTAATTATGAAGTGTCAAAGTATCCAGTTTCTGAACCAGCTAAGTCCAGCAAACCAACTGAATCAAATTCTGACTCTGGAGATACTAAGGATCAGAAAACCAGAGAAAACCACTTTCCAAGAGGATCACCTCAAGAGACGAGAAAAAATATGTTTCAGAATGGCAGAGGAGCCACTGGTGAACCTGCTACTACTTGCAGAATATGCAATGTTGTATGTGATAGCTTTGAAAAATTCACCGCTCACCTCTCAGATATAAGGCATATATCTCAGGTAAACTAAAGATTTATCTAGTATTCTGTGATGGGTTAATATCTTACCTGTTGGTGTATCTTTACTTGAAGATGAGTTTGTCTTGAAGCTAGAAGATAAAAGAAAACAAATTGTTTGACTTCTTTGTGCAGGCAGCCTTTGTAGGAAGTCACAGAGCTCCGGCCAGCGTTTCAGCCAAACCCATACAGGAAGCAGTTCTTGTCGAACCTTTGTTGTGCAAAGTTTGCCAGATCAGCTTTACCAACAATGATACATATAAAAATCACACCTATGGAAAAAGACACCGAAAAAACTTGGAACTGCAATCTGATAAGTCCAAAAACATTTTGGTGGGACCAGCTGATCCTTCCAAGGAGGTTCTAGAGAAACATAAGAAGAATAAGAAGGTGATAATTGAAGGTAGAGCCAAGGCAAACGCTGATTTCGCTTGTCGTATGTGTAATGTGGTGTGCCAGAGTCAGATTGTCTTTGATTCTCATCTGCGTGGTCAGAAGCATGCCAACATGCTGAGTCAATCAGAGGCAAGTTTCTAACTCTTGGGTATTCGAGAACTTATGAATTTATAGTAATAGATTATATGACAGCTTGGTAAAACATAAGCCTGACATAAAAGCATTGGATCAGGCACTCATTGTTTCTACAAAGCTTCAAGACAAAGGAGTCGGAGAAAAAGAACAACCAAGTGAAACATTTATAGAGCCTCAGTTGCAGTCTCAAAAGGCTCAAGAGAATACCAAGAGTTGTCAGAAGCAGGTTCCCATGGTGAATCAATTAGAGGCAAGTTTCTAACTTTTGGCTTTTCGAGAATATGGAATCTTTATTAACTTCGATAAGTTGGCAGTTTGATAATACATATGCCTGATATAATAGCTTTGGATCAGGTACTAGTTGATTCTAAGAAGCTTCAAGAGAAAGGTGTTGAAGAAAAGGATCAACCAAAAGAAATAACTGCACAGTCTAATGCCAGTGCTAAATACGTTTGTCGTATGTGCAATGTGGGGTGCCACAGTCCAATTGTCTTTGATTCTCATCTAAGGGGTCAGAAGCACGCTGCCAATCTGAGTCAATCAAAGGCATGTCTCTTACTTTTGCATATTCGAGAACTTAGGAATTTACAAACATAGAAAAAATTGCAGTGTGGTAAAACATATGCTTTATGTAATACCGTAGGATCAGGCACTCATTGATTCTAAGAAGCTTCAAGAGAAAGGAGTCGGAGAAAAAGAACAACCAAGAGAAACAATTGTAGAGCCTCAGTTGCAGCCTCAAAACGCGCAAGAGAATAGCAATTGTTTCGAAAAGCATGTTGTCATGGTGAATCAATCAAATGTAAGTTTCTAAATATTGGTAATTTGGGATTTAAATTAAAATTTCCAGTTAAGTAAAATATTTTCAGAATATGAGAGTCTTAACTGTGGTAAAATATAGAAAGAATGGAGCTTATATCGTTGCATCAGGTACTCATCAATGCGAGGAAGCTTGAAGAGAAAGATGTCCGCGAAGAAGCTCAACCAATAGAAACAATAGCAGAACCTCAGTCTCAGTCTCAAAACAGTCAAGAGCATACCAAAATCTTTGAGAAGCAAAACGAAGAGTTGAGAAAGATTTGTGGCACTTCAGAAAGCAGTGTAAAAGAACTTTTTCAAAGTACTAAAGACTGGGTAGAGACTGTTAACAAACAGATTCCAAATGGAGAATTTTTCTTTGGTGACCTAAGATCTGGTTTTGAAGTACCCAGAGAAGCAAGGTAAATTTTCCCAACTTGGATTTGCTTGCTTAGTATGTCAAAGATACAATTATTTAAAAATATTCTCCAACTTTTGTCACAGTGAATGTTTTGATGGCATTGTCAAGCCTGTGAACCTTTCCAAAGGAGCAACTGAGCATTTAGGGGAGGTAAAGAAGAAGAAAATGGAGGTGACCGTACGCCAAGCAAGACGAGCTGCATCTAAACTTTGTCATCTTTGCGTAGTGATTTCTGATAACCGGGGTTTGTCAACAGTTGTTTGTGATAGCAAAGCTCATCGGCCGAATCTAAAACATACTACCGTAGTGACAGCTTACTTCATGTTCTACCTCGTTATTCTTGATCAATATCAAACCCTTCTGACTTTTTATTCTTGATGTAGGCCGCCTTTGTAGCCAGCGATGGTGCTCAGTCCAGCGTTTCATCCAAACCTATGAAGGAACCAGAGGGTTTGCAGCCTGTGTGGTGCCAAGTCTGCCAGATCAGCTGCAACAGCAAGGTTGCATATGCAAGTCATACCTATGGGAAAAAACACAGACAGATCTTGGAAATGCTTTCAGCAAAGAACGAAAATATGTCTAAGGGACCAGCCAAGCTTTCTAAAGATTATGGAGAGAAAACGAAGAATGTACCAAGCAAAAACCAAACAACCTTTGATTCTCAACTGAAGAGTCAGAACCATTCTGCCATGGTCAAGGAGCCTGCAGAGGTAAATTTTACTATTTTGGTTTTCTTTCGTGAACTTGGAATCTACTTTTAGTTATGAATATTACAAATCCTAGTAAAAATATATCCACGTTTCCTTAGGTCTGATTCCTATTGAAAGTGCTCGAGTACATATTATACCTTTAACTAAAATATCGATGTAGCAGGCACTTGTTAATTCAAGGAGAACTGGACAAGAATTCAACCAAGAAAAACCGAGAGAAGCACTGGAGCAGTTCAGTATTGACTCAAGTACAATCCTTGAAGAAACCGATCAAGAAAAAGAAATAACAGAGGAGCACACACTTGTAAAGATGGATGATCTTGGGTTTCGAGGGGCACTAGAAGATAAAGTGGAATTGAAGGAGAGACAAGCCGTATCTGAGAATATGGTGCATCGTATCTTCACTGAACAGAATCGTGAGTCTAATGAACCGAGGTAAGAGCCAACATTCATGGGAGTGTATAATATGGTCTCTCTCTCTCTTGAATGATGATCAATATCTGTATGTAACTGATTACTTGGATCTTGGGTTACAGAGGATGTTTGGATGTGATTCCTGAGAGAGTAAAACTGCCACCAAATGTGAATGTGGCCAAGAATTTGGAAGATGAGCTGAAGCATAAACCCGAACCAAAAGCACAGGAACCCGAAAACAAGACTGCAGGACGCAAGGATCATCCTGGAGAGGCTGCCAAAAGGGAAGAGATTAAGGGCCAAGCTGATAACTTTTGGACTCGCCTTTGGGGGAAAAAGGTTTAACATAATGTTAATTCTAAGCCTGGAATTTGAATTGTTGGAAACTATTAACAACTTGGTAAGTTAACTTTAGCATGTTAATTCATGTTTATGTTGTTAAGTGTCAACGATGGATGTTCTTTTAAATGGCAGATTTATGTTTTATTTTGTACTGGCTTTTACTTATATCTGGCTGATGTTTCTTAATTATATAAACTTACCTCATAAAAATGATTCAAGAACAATAAAATGTAGACATTCTATAGTTTCTCTCAATAAATTGGGAAATACCGACAGGTTTTTTCAACAGAATTTTTCGGCTTAGTCTCTCATGTAATGTATCATCAAAAATTGCATTATTTGCTTAAACAAAACAGCTCACCTGGGCCACCCTGATTTCTTATCCAACCCGACCCGACCCATCCGGATCTTCTCTTGTTTAAATTAAAGCAGAGAAAAAGGAAATTTGGAAATTCGTTTGTTCAAGTTTTGTCGTCGGAATATTACTCATCGGCGAACAAGGTAAAGCTTTCCTCATTAGATTTGAGAAAGGACAGAAATTTGTTGTGTCTTTATCAGTTACTCGTCGTAAAGGGTCAAGAATTTTTTTTTTTTTTTTTTATAGTCTCTGGTCGCTTATGGCTCGTAATCTTGGTCCATTGTCAGCTCTTCTGTGTAAACTATAGTCATAATGTCGAGCAACTGGGGAAGTAACTCGAGGAGTAACAGCTCAGGAAGTAGTTCAAGAAGCGATGTTGAGAACTCGTTTGATGATGAGGAGCTTTTGCAGATTGGGACAAGATGTATGGAGGTGAATCTTTTTTTTTTTTTTTATCATGTCTCTGAGATTGATAAAGTTCATATTTTTGGCTTTGTGATCTCATGTTTTCATTGTAATTACAGCTACGGAGAGAAAAGGAGATGCTGAGAGAATCACAGTCACAGAGCATTGAACTCGTCAGAGTATTGTTCTTTCTTCTTGTGTGTTTTAGACTAGTATATATAGTGTGAATTCATTGTTGTGTCTTTTTCTTTTACAATAGAGGTTGGAACTGAATGCGAATTCGTTGTCAGAGTCTCGTTTAGAAGATAAGAGAAGAATTCAGATATTGGAGAAAGAACTGTTGAATTGCTACCAAGAGATTGGTAATGGAGATTTCTCATGAAACTCAAGTCTTGGCCTATGTTTATATATGAGCTAAAAAAACAAACACTTTCTTTGTCTTTCAGATTATTTGCGGGATCAAGTAAATTTCAGAGGCCAGGAAATGAACGACCTGAGTGAACATGTGCTTGATCTTGAAGTCAAAGTAACTGAATCAGGGAAATTGGAAGAAGAAGTTAACTATTTGAGGGAGGAGTTGTGTTCGTCGAAATCTGAGCAGCTATTGTTGTTGCTAGAACTGGAGAGCACAGAAACTGAGCTACAGTTGTCTTTGTTTTCTGTTGAGAAGCTGGAGGAGTCTTACTCATCCTTAACACTAGAGTCTCAGTGTGAAATAGAAAGCATGAAACTCGATATAGTAGCGTTGGAGCAGGAGCTCTTTGATGCGCAGAAGTTTCAAGGAGAAAGCACCCAAGAAAACGATAAGTTAAGAGAAATAGTCAAGGAGCTACGGTTGAAGTCTCAAGAGGCAGAAGAGAATGCTGAGTGCTTAGAGAAGCAAAACAAAAAGCTGATGGAGAGATGTGTAGCCTCTGAAAGGAATATCAAAGAATTATGTCAAAGCTTTAGAGAACGGTTGGACAGTGAAAGTGAAGCACCTGTAAATACAGACTGTTTCTACGCTGAATTAAACCATATGCTTCCATTACCTGACGAAACCCGGTAGGTTCCAGCTTCACACCTATATAAATACATTCAATGAAGCTATTCTCATTGTTTTTTACTTCTGCTCATTTCTTGTCTCACAGTGAATGTTTCCATGAGATCATCAAGAAATTAGAGGTTTTCCGAGATGCGAAACAATATGACAAAATGGAAGATATGGCAAGACAGATACTTCAATACAAAGATCTTGTAAAGCAGCTCAAGGTATGAATTACCAAACAAAACTGTAGAATCAAAAATTTGGTGCCTTTCCGCAGCATCACACATATTCTAACTAGTTTGACCATTATTTTGTTATGCCTAAGGATGAGTTGAAAGAAGAGAAACTAAAGGCCAAGGAAGAAGCAGAGGACTTAACACAAGAAATGGCTGAATTAAGATATAAAATGACATGTTTATTAGAGGAAGAATGCAAGCGGCGTGCATGCATCGAACAAGCATCATTACAGAGAATAGCCAATCTAGAGGCACAGGTACTTGCTTACTTGTTTCTATATTCCAGTTTTTTTGTTTGAGCCATGAGAGAACCTAACAAATATCCATTTTCTTGTCAAGATCAAGAGAGAGAAGAACAAGAAGTCCTCAACTTGCTTAGTTCCTCTTTCTGCCGTGTAAAACAGCTAAGGTTCAAGTTAAACTTGGAATCACAGTTACTGCCTCAGAGAAGCCTTAAGCTATAAGGTTTGAATTTTTATACATTTAAAGTGTACATAACAATCCAATTTGATTGTAAATTGGAATATGGATTTCATCTCTGTGATTATGTTTATATATAGAAATTGTGAGTTTTTCAAGAGTGAAACTGCTTCTTCATGTGACTTCTATGTGTTTAATTACGCCTTCAGCAACATTCAGAGATCTCTAGCTGTGGAACTGAAAGCCAATCAAGAAGCTTCTTACTGTTTGACTCTATTTGATGGGCCTGTGATGAGCCGAGTTTATTTGATGGCCCATTTTTCTTGTGAAGATAAAAATATCTTGAAGAGTTGATGTATCATCATGTTCATGTATGTGCAAAGTCTTGTAATATTGTTGATGATGCAAAGTGATAATTGAATGGGTCAATGAAAAGAACCTGTTGTCTTTATTCTTAATCAAGACACTAGTAGATTTTTTTTTGTCTAACCTAACCTAATCCAACTTGACTTAAAAAAAAAACCTAATCCAACTTGTTCTTCACCAAAATATTGAAAAGAGGAAAAATATTCTTAAATGCAATTTTATCTGAAATGTTGAAAGGGCATATCGTATCTACTAGGACATTAAGATTATGTAGTCATTATCGATTGTAACCGGTAAAAATTAATGAGATTAATTAGGCAAAAGAAATATTGCCTACATATTGACATATTGTCAAACAATTTTCTATGTTCAAGTAGTTTTCTTTTTGGGCTACAATATGTTCTCTTTGACAAATTCAACAAAGAACGTTCTTTTTGGATGACAAAGTTGACAACTTACCCCAAAACGTCGAAAAGGAAATTGGGAGTGGGATGGTTTCATGCAATTTATAAACTAAATTAAACCATCGGCACAACAAAAAAGCAGAAACCGAGTAAAATAAGTTATATCCTTCGTGTTTACATTATGATAATAATATTAAAAAATCCTAAGTATTTGATTTTCGTTAGAAAGTTTTTTTAGTGGCAAATTAAATGTTATATTTTCCTTTTCACAAAAAATGAAGTTGCCCTAGCTAAAGAAAAAAAAAATGAAAAAAATATATATGACCGTTTTAGATTTGAATTAAATAATTTTGTTTTATTTATTAATTGACCCCACGTTCCTTGCTACAATTTGTTTTTTATTTTTATTTTTATATATCCTAGATAAATCTTCGTCAACACAGACCCAAAGACTTATTAGAACTCAAATTCTTGGGTCGTTCTCGTTCCGAGTCGTCTCCGCGTTAAATCCTTGCCCTTATTGATCCCTTCTCCTTGGCATTGATTTGGTCCTCCTTTTCTTCTACAATTCTATTCATTAAGAACCCAATCTTCTTCTTCTTCGGCTTCTTCATCTTCATCGTCTTCCCGACTCCACTTGGCGCATCCAGGTAACCACAATCTACTCTCTATCTTTTCCTCCCAAAAATTCTCAATTTCCGTCTGGTAGATCTTGGGCTTTCGATTCCTCTTCTGATTTCCCCAGACGGTTGTTTGTTTGCAAAGAGAATTCTCGAAAGAATTAAGCGAATTTTGTGTGGGGATCTCATAGTCTTGGCTTTTTTTACTTACTTTTGTTTCTTTCTTTAATCACCTTCATATGCTCAATTATGCCCAACTTAATTAGGTTTAAAATTGATTCACTAAAATTTCTATTTTTTGGTCTACGTTTTTGACTTGTTGCTTTACTCTTTTAACTATGTCTTGGATTTGATGACCTTTTCGTATCGTAACACCGTTTTAATCTTACTTTATTCTCTTAGCTTACAAGTTAGAATCAAAAGCATCAATCCTGATTACTGTTTTGGTTTCTGCAGGAAGGTTTATTAGTTACCAATCCAAGTGTTCTCTTTGTCTGAATCAACAAGCTCTGTGATATTTTTCTGAGAGAAAATGTTTGGTTTAAGGAAATCACCGGCTAATCTTCCCAAGCATAACTCTGTCGATCTCAAGTCTTCCAAGCCAAATCCTTTCGATTCAGATGACGAATTGGACAACAAACATACCCTTAACCCCTCTAAGAGGACTACCTCTGAACCCTCTTTGGCTGATATGACAAACCCTTTTGATGGTGAGAGAGTTGAGAAAGGATATAGTAGTTCATCGAAACAGTCGTTGATTTCGAATTCGAAATACCAGTACAAGAACAATTTCCGTGATTCTGGAGGTATCGAAAACCAGTCGGTTCAGGAGCTTGAAGGTTATGCTGTCTACAAGGCTGAAGAGACTACGAAATCTGTACACGGTTGTTTGAAGGTAGCAGAAGATATTAGGTCAGATGCTACCAGAACTTTGGTCATGTTACACGAGCAGGGCGAGCAAATCACAAGGACACACCATAAAGCTGTTGAAATCGATCATGATCTCAGTCGAGTAAGTTTTTCTTCCTTCTTGGTCTTATTTTAAATGGAAACATTCAATCTTTTATTAGTTGGTTGGTTGTTGTTGTGAGATAAGAAAGACGAGGAACGTGAGGTTTATTGATTGAATTATTTGGCTTTTTTTGGTTTTCAGGGTGAGAAGCTTCTTGGAAGTCTTGGAGGCATGTTTTCAAAGACTTGGAAACCAAAGAAGACTCGTCCTATAAATGGTCCTGTCACAACCAGAGGTTTGCTTCTTGGTCATTGATATCTCAATTCTTCTCGCAGCTATTTTTACTTTTACCTAATTGCTGATTCCTATTTTGTGTTTCGACTTAGATCACTCACCAACGAGAAGAATTAACCACTTAGAGAAAAGGGAAAAACTGGGACTGAACTCAGCACCCAAAGGACAATCAAGAACCCGAGAACCGCTCCCCGAATCAGCTGATGCCTATCAAAGAGTGGAGGTTAGGACTTGTCTTCCCTCTCTTCTATTTTTCCTTTCAGAGGACCATTACTATACTCCCGCATCTGAGATGACTGATTCATGAACTCTCTATATGGGGTCATGAAATGCTAATTACTTGAGACATTGATGAACATATATCTCTGAGTGAAAACTTGTGTTTTGGACGCCACTAAACTTATACTCGTTTATTACAGATGGAAAAGGCTAAGCAAGACGACGGGCTTTCAGACTTGAGTGATATACTCGGCGAGCTAAAGAACATGGCTGTTGACATGGGAAGCGAAATCGAGAAGCAGAACAAAGGACTTGACCATCTTCATGATGATGTTGACGAACTCAACTTCAGAGTGCAACAATCAAACCAACGTGGCCGCCGTTTGCTTGGAAAGTAGATGAACAGAGAGTTATATGTTCATTACACTCATTCCTCTCGTTTGATTCTCTATGAAGTTCTTCTTTAAAACTGGAAAGATTCTTATCATGTTAAATACATTTCTGTCTGTGTTTGTATTTGATCTTTTGACAAAAAACCAAAAAACTTATTGTGCAAACAGAAGCAATTTTGCTATTGTTTTAACTTGTATCATACAGATTTCTCCAGAAATTATGACAATAGATAAATATTGTTTTTGAATCCCAGATTTATAACCTATCATAAGAATACAGAAACTCCAGACAAGTTGGAACATTTGTTATGCAACAAGTGCATAATCGTGTGAGATTATTAAGAAGAATTAAAAAAAGGCAGGAACTCTTCATTTCCTATAGTCTATCTCTGCTCTAATCCAAGTAATTTCTCTCACAGTGTCCACTTCTTCACTTGATAATGTCTGAAATCATATAACACGAATACTAGATGAGAAGTGCACAAATCAATCTTTTATAGTTGGGAAGAACTATGAATAGAAGAATCAATAATCCCATACAAACACCAGTTGTTCACCAATCATATTCTCAAGCCTAATCTCCGGCAAATCAGAACTCAAAAAAACAATCAATAGAAGTAGTTTCAACATGACCAATAATAAACAATAGCTTTGGCGGATATTGAAATGACAAACGTACATCTACTGAAGCTTGACTTCCATGATGTTCTTGGTCTTGGGAGGATATGCCAAGTAGACCTTGAGCACTCTCTCAGCAACCATAAGCTGTGCTTTAGCTTCAGCAAAAGCCTCATTCACCTTCGATGGGTCAGTGAGATTCTTGTTCATGCGGAAGCCATCCAAGGTCCTTCGCTTAGTGTACTCCCTAATGTTGTAATCAGGGTATTGACGTCCGGCTCGAAGCAGGGCACGACAGAGGCTGAGAACTTCACTTCTAGATACCATTGCAAGATTGGAAACTAACCCTTTATTATACAAAGCCTGCAATCAACATAAGAATAAATTAATGGGAATGAAAGAAACTGATTAGCAATGCCAAAAAGGAAGAGAAGGAGTCAAGATAAGGGATAAAGCTCTAGAGTTTGATGAAAATCTGCAAAAGAACCACTATAAACTACTAATTGCAAACGCTTTAGACAACTAAGAAGAAACTCAAAAGGCTATAAACGCACTTAGTAATCCTAAACTTGACTAAAATGGATGAAATTGCAGCCACAACGTAAAAGAGACTAATACATCTGAATGGCAAGAGGATCCGACCAAAATTCAACAAGTTATACTAATAAGCATAGAATTTGACGATAACGAGCTCCAAATCCATAAACATACCAATTTGAAATCGATGGAAGGTATTAAATCAATTTTCCGAGCTCGCCGTTGAAGTTCCCCGTTGGAAGGTTTTGATAGCAGCAAGGTCGTTTGGGTATAAAATAAACTTTTAGGTTTACCCAAAACTGAACCGGGAAAACTGATTCTAATAACCGGATCAATTTTGGATTGAGTAAGAAAAGAACCGGTTTTAGAATGGGTTAGCACAAAGGCCTGTTACATTGGGCCGATGTGTGATAAGCCAGCCTTTTCTTATTTTATTAAGGTGTATGAGCTGGCAGATTCGACAAGAAATAGTAAACAAAACCGATATTTATCATTCTCTGTCACAGCCTTCTACGAAGACTTCGATTCTCTCCTATCTCGAGCGACGAAAAAACCCTACTGCGAAAAAACTCTATATTCTCCGATCGATCTCTGGCGAGAAGAAAAATATTTATCTCTGAGCTTTGTTTCACCATTTCTGTGTCTCTATCTCTCTGGTACGAGCCTCTCAGATTTTTCGATTCCTTGTGTTCATAATTATGTGTGAAACTCCTTGCGTGTTGAAATTGATCTGTCTCTTTGTCGTTTCGGATTCTTGATTGGTGATCGATGATTAAAATTTGTACTCGTTAGTTCCCTTGATTCGATTGATTTTGTCTTGTGAGGGTATTGTTTCTGATTCTATTGACTTGTTTCTTCTAGAGTTGTCTTTACCTGGAATTTTATGGCCAATTATAAAGACTATAAGTGTCGTGATTTGGATTCTGAATTCAATTTTGAAAACTCTATATACTAATTAGGTTTTCTTCTCCTTCTTTTGTTGGCAGGTTTGGTATAATCACACTTCTATAAGGCTGAAATTTGGGGTTTTCTCAGTCTCGATGTGGTCGTGCTCCGTTAGGATTCTTCACAATCATTAGGCTTGTATTTCTTTCAAAGTGATGCTCATTTTCTCTTCTCTGTCTATGGCTTTATCTGTGATCCTTCAAAAGCTTAGTGTCTTCGGCCCTGGTTTGAATCCTTCTTTCCCTTACTGCATCGCCAATCACTCTGTTGCCTCCCGTTAATTGAGTTGCTCTCTTTCAACTGAATTACATAAGTCTGCTTCCTTTGCCTGTCTAGTCTGGATATTGTTTCATATCCCTACCCAGAAGTAGTACCTTCTCTAGACATTCTTGGCTTGAGTTCTTGAGTAAGTCTTGTTTGATTAGTTTCTACCCGAGTCTCTTAGTCCTACACAGATCCCGATCCTACTTCGTCAAAGCTAGTTCTTGTTTAGCTGAAGCTCAGACCCAAAATGCTCCAAGAACCCCCGGTTGCATTCTCGCTCCGGCGTAACTCATTTAGACGCCGATCCCCCAGATCAAATGTTGATGACAGAGGCTGGTCTCCACTCCACATCAAAGCCCGAAAAGGCGATCTGAAATCTGTCAAACAGCTTCTCGACCAAGGAATGGATGTAAACGCGCTAGCATGGGGACCCAAATCAAAAGGAGTGAGTGCACTTCACCTAGCAGCAGAGGGAGGTCACATAGAAGTCATGGATTTACTCCTCGAACGTGGGGCCAACATCGATGCCAGAACATGGGGCTCGTGCGGGTGGACCCCTCTCCACGCTGCAGCCAAAGAGCGGAAGAGAGAAGCGGTGAAGTTTCTGGTGGAGAACGGTGCATTCTTGGCAGATGATATAACTGATACCAGGTTTAATCCGCCGGTGCATTACTGTCACGGACTTGAATGGGCGTACGAGGAAATGAAGAAGCTTAACAGCGAGTCTTCTTCATCTGGTGGAGACACATCTTCCAGTTCTGAGAACTGAACTTCTGCTTGTTTCTCGGTGTGTTTAGTTTTTCTCTAGTTGAGACACTTATCAGAAACATTATCGTTGGTGTTTGATCTTATGGCTATGTGAAACTTTGAAACTGCGGGTTTTGTTATACATTAATGTAATCTTCAGTGTGTTATTTTGCAACTCTCGGTTTTGAGAACCCAGCCTAATTTGATTTTAAGGCTTTGTTTTGAGATAACCCAGTTTTGATCTCATCTGAATCACTGAGGCTGAAAATTAACAGTTACTTATTCCGGTAAACTAAATAAGAAGCAAATTAAATCGAGTATTTATGTTCAAATAGTGATTAACATAATTAACATGGATATAATATAGCAAGAGTATCTAGATTGTGAGCCTAAAGCGAAGTTTTGTTCTTAATTGACATAGCACCATGGGTTTCAAATCATTGTCATTTGTGTCTTAGGACATGTTTAACTAATTGGGGAGTGTAACAATTTGACACAAATGGATTTGACCAAAAAAGAAAACATCCGGGTCGTTACCAGACCCGTCGGTGAGAAGGTGGGTTTGAATACACGTATTCGGTTTACGAATCTCAGGAGGCAGAGAAAATAAAAATGGCTTTTTTAATTTCGCTCTCCTCTTAGATCCCGTTTGTTCTCTCTTTCACTTTGGCTGTTGAAGCAAAAGAAACCATGGCTTCTCGCTGTGAGCTACTTCTGATCTGCGTCTTGTCTCTCTTCTCTGCTCTTGCTCACTCCAAGACGTTGAAGCGAGATGGTAAGCTCTTACTTAATCACCCTCTGGTTTTTTGTCTATGGATCGATCCTCCATTGATTTGAATTTTTATAGCTCTTTAACAGATTTGGTAGATACCCATTATCCAGATTCGTTCTATCTCTTATCAATTTTCATGATTTAGCACGCAAGTTCGATTCTTTTTTCTTTCTCTCTTTCTAATCTGACCTGAGCTGAGCTGAGCTCAAATGTAGAGATAATAATTATGTGTAAACAATGATTGGATCTGATACTATTTGTTATAGTCTCAATTATTTGGTTATCTCTGCATCATGTACTACTGTATCTTATGATATCAGCTTTTCTCAAAGTTAATCTTTGTTTCATCTTCTGCACAGTGAAAGCTTTGAATGAAATTAAAGCCTCTTTGGGATGGAGAGTGGTGTATTCATGGGTTGGTGATGATCCTTGTGGAGATGGAGACCTTCCACCTTGGTCTGGTGTCACATGTTCTACACAAGGAGACTATAGAGTTGTCACTGAATTGTAAGTTTTAGTTTCTTCTGACTTCTGTGTGTTTCTTCTTCATCAACCTGATTTACTTGACTGAACTAATTTACTTGAGCTTTTTGATTTGCAGAGAAGTTTACGCGGTTTCGATTGTTGGACCTTTCCCCATTGCAGTAACAAACCTTTTGGATTTGACTAGACTGTAAGTTACTTTCTAAACCTTTTTATTTGTGACATTAGGTAGATGCAAGAACTCTTTGGATATCTATTTGCAACCTAGTTTGTGAAACGAGATTATTTGTAGTACAATACTAAGATTCCCAATAATTCTTTAGAGCTATGCTGTTTGAGATGGTTAAATTGAATTGGTTTTGGTTTCGATTTGTTTGATATTTCAGGGATCTACATAACAACAAGTTGACTGGTCCAATCCCTCCACAAATTGGGCGACTGAAACGGCTGAAAGTACTGTATGTTCCTTGTGCTCTTACAAAGATAGATTGTTGATTTACTGTGTATATTTTTTTTTTATGTCAGTTTATTGTTCTGAGACTGAACTCAGGATAGTATCCAATTTTCTTCAGAAACACAGATTTGAACTAAGAAGTTATGTGAGAGGAGTGTGATTTGTATCATTTTATCTTGCCAATGCTTCCTAATACTTCATCTAAACATTTCCTTTGTTGTTACCATTAGAAACCTGAGGTGGAATAAGCTACAAGATGTGATTCCTCCCGAGATTGGGGAGCTGAAGAGACTAACCCATTTGTGAGTACCTTGTTTCTTGTTTTAGCTTCTGATGATTCTCCATTTGTGTCCAAATAAAATCATGATTTTTTTCTTCTTTTTTTTCTTAATGTTTAAGGTACTTGAGCTTCAATAGCTTCAAGGGAGAAATTCCCAAGGAACTGGCTGCTCTTCCTGAACTTCGGTATCTATATCTTCAAGAAAACCGTCTCATTGGTAGAATTCCTGCAGAACTGGGGACGCTGCAAAACCTTCGCCACCTGTAAACACCAAATGCCATTTTCTACCTACAGTTTGGGTCTTTTATCATTACTCTCCATTGATTTTACTGAGATCGGGTTTGGTTTGTGTCCCATTATTTTTTCAGAGATGTTGGTAACAATCATTTGGTGGGAACTATACGGGAGCTCATCCGTTTTGATGGAAGTTTCCCAGCTCTTCGCAACTTGTAAGCATCACTTCGGAATTTTCCCGTTGCTTCTCTCTTCCATTTGATATATTCTATTATGAACTACGCTTTCTCTTTTTAAAATCTCGATTCATTAGGTACTTGAATAATAACTATTTGAGTGGAGGGATCCCTGCTCAGCTGTCAAATCTTACAAACTTAGAGATTGTGTAAGCATTCTACATTCTCCATGTCATCTGCAACAAACTATATCGCTAGATCTCTGATCTCTGTTTGATTGGTTTTGCAGTTACCTGTCTTACAACAAATTTATCGGAAACATTCCTTTTGCCATTGCTCATATTCCTAAACTGACATACCTGTAAGTCTTTGTGTTAGATCGCTGATCTTTCTCCTTGTCTCTGATTTGCATACTATCTAAAAGAAAATATGCATTCTAATGGGATCATGATGTTGATGAAACCAGGTACCTTGATCACAACCAATTTACCGGGAGAATCCCAGACGCATTCTACAAGCACCCATTCCTCAAAGAAATGTGAGTTCTCACCCACCCAATTTTTGAACCATAGATCAAAGCTTTGACTCAGACAAAACAGCGAAACGATGAGTATAAGAATTTGAACAATGTGATCTATTATGCGCGAAATCCATTTGGATGAGTTTATGATGACTGGTTTGGCAGAAAAGTTGAAGGTTTTCTTTCTTTATTCTCCACTCTGGCGATAAGGAGTTATGTTTCTATTTTGCAGGTACATTGAAGGCAACATGTTCAAGTCAGGCGTGAACCCTATTGGTACCCACAAAGTTCTAGAAGTTTCTGATGCCGATTTTGCTGTGTGACCGGATAGAAGATTCTAGAGGTTCTCGAGAAAACGTCTCAGAACTACCTAGAAAATGGTTCCACTCTAGTTCTCCTTTTTTTGTATGGTCAATCGATTTGCAAATGAAAAAAAGCATAAGACTACAAGTTTTTATCTTCATATTGTATAGTTAGAGACATTCCACAAATCTATATTTCTCCTGAATCAAATGATTATACTACTGAAAGTAAAAAAGATATATTTAGATTGGAAGAAACCACTTCCAGTATACAATAGTATGTGTTACATAGATAATATATACAATTGCCAAGAAATTTACGGTCTGTTCTTCAATGTTTGATATTCACCAATCACCATCCTCTTCAAGCACAAGCAGGAGCATCGAACGTAGGCAACACAATGAATGAGATTGACAGCGGATTGATATAAACCGGAGATTTCACACCATGACGGACCTGCTCTTCAAGCACAAGCAGGAGCATCGAACGTAGGCAACACAATGAATGAGATTGACAGCGGATTGATATAAACCGGAGATTTCACACCATGACGGACCGGCTCAAGTTTTGGGATATCTCCGGTGGCTGTCGGTACCAAAGGGTCACCATTCAAGAGAATTATCTTGCTACGCAAGTCACCGTCTTTCGGACTCAAGTGATACTCTTCTCTGTTCAAATATCCATCCGAAGCTTTGTTTCCGACCCAAGAAACCTTGCTCTTGATTGTTTCCAGAAAAGATTTCCTCTTCATCTTATCTGCTTGCAAAACAACCTTCATGCCATTGCTGACTGCGACTGTAAACGTCGTGTCCTTACTCAGATTGATCAGAAGAATCGTTATACCAGCCTAAGATGATAGATTCCACTGTTACAAACCACAATTAGAGGATGGTTTAAAGACAGAAAGATAGAGAGATATACACCCACTCTTCTTTTGGAGCAATGAACGTAAGCTCGTAGATACTCCGAGGCAGTTGTCTGAACGCCGAGAACGCCTTTACCCATCAAACGATGCCAAAGAAGCGCGCTGGTCAGATTGTTCGAGATCAAGAAGTTTATGTTATGACTCGCCTATAGTAATCATGATGGTTTAGGATTTACAGTTTATAGTTTATGAACTTGCCTGTAGTAATCTGGATTGGGAACAAACGTTTCCTTTTCGAGCAGACCGTAGAAACCTCCAACCAAAGCTTGTCTGCAGTATACTTTGGTGTTATGTTTCGACGAAATACCGAGCTGATCTAAGTACCTTAGGAAAAGAGTTTGTTTATGTCAATTATAGAACCGGGCAAAGATAGAATGTGGAATTTGATTCTGTCTTACCAGAAACTGTTAATGAATGTCTCAGAAACCTGACGGCCACCGCTGTTAAATGCTCCACCAGCTTCTCCAACCCAAGCAGCAGCCCAAGGTCCATGTTCTTGAATTGTTCGGTTCACATTCGCAAATAATCCCGAAATTCCGCTCAAGTAATTTGGATCTAGTATCTTATTCACTAGGTTAGGATCATTCCCTGCAACACTCAATTCATCATTATTTAGTAATGATACAAAGAGAGTCTCTGTTTGATTTATTTTGCATATGCAGCACCTGGACCAAGATTGTATATATGATGAGTCAGAACATCAAGAACACCGGGTCCAGAGAGCCGAAGAAGCTCCGAGTACCATTTTTCTTCAAAGAATCCACCTGGAGCTACAACCAAAGGCTTGATTCTAGAATTCTTGTAAACGTTCTTGATTACATCTTTCAGTACAATCAAGTCTTTCCCATAAAGCTCTACACTCACGCTTGCCCAAATCCCGCTTCCACTAAGCTCATTGCCTAGTCAAGAACAAGAAAGAAACAAATCTTGTGTTATAGTTCTATATCGGAAGTATAAAAGGACCAACACATATATATGAGAAACATGGGCCAATAAAAAAACAACAGAAGAAATTAAAGAGAGAGATCTAGTTCTATATACCTAACTCCCACGAGTCTATAGCATAACCCTTTGAGACTGTGTAGTTCATGAAATCCTGAGTGTTGGTATGATCCCAGTCTCCTCCCCACGCAGTTCCGTTGAGTTTATCTCTCCCGTGCAACGCGTTCAAACCGAAAGTCACGATAGCTCTGCAGAATTAGAGTTAAGTCAATGTGGATTATGCTCTGCATAGAACCATACTAAGGTATATATATACTTACCCGGTTGCATTAAAGAAATGGTTAACCTCGTCCCAGCGTTTCATGTACAAACATCCTTTAGAGAATCCGAACAATCCATCGTCTGTCTTCTCAAACTGAGTGCAAGGAGTCTTCAAGTCTCCTACGTCGTAGATCACTTGATCTTGCAAGGAACCACCTATTCTTATCCTCAACGTCCTAAAAGCTAACAACAATCAAAACATTTCAGCAAAAAAAGTCTATGAGAATTGAATATTTCGGTTTGTGATAGATGTCACAAACCTTGAATAGCTTTAGCAAGAAGAGGAGAAGATAAGTTCTGAATCATTCAAAAGATTAAAGAAAAAGGAGAGTTGTTTTTTAGGCATAACTAAGATGAAGTAATTAAGGGTCAAATTAAGCTCACAATTGTTTATATACCAAATTGATGAGAGAAGCGTAACCCCAAGGACACTGATCATAGTTACACTTTTCAGGTGGCCACCAATCAAGCGTTGCGCAGACAAAGTTTTCATCGGTCTCAGCGATTCGACGTGCACCGTCTATAACCAAGGTGGTTCGTTCCATGTTGCTACCAAAAGTAACAGGAAGTAGAAGTAGAGAAATCAAGAACACAACGTTAAAGCCCATTTTGGTTTTAATTTGATTGGTTGATCTGTAAGAAAGAAAATAAAAGAAAAGTGGACTTTTAGAGGGATCAAGATTCAGTAATCAGTTACAACAAAATATCAAGAAGATGGAAAATATAATTCAGAAAAATACAGAAGAGGAAAAGAAGAAATCAAACCTGCTTATCTGAACAAGCAAATGATGATTACAGACAGAAACCGGAACTTAATTATTATTAAGAAAAATTCTTTAGAGGTTTAATTTTAAATATATATATCTTAGAAAATTATTTCAAATTTTGAGTTGAAAAGTAAACCATATGTTTTGTTATTATATGTCATTTATTACTTTCGTGAATTTGCAATATAGAAATTTTAGATACTTTGGTGTACGTAATTCAACAATGATAACAATTAGCCGATACTTAATTTGATTAGATTAGTGGTGTCAGAGAGGCAAGAGCATTAGTTGACTTTTTGGGTGATCTATAATCATTAATTTTTACTCTGAAATTGAAATCGTCTCAGAAGTCATCAAAGTCTACCGGGTAATTATTTCTAATTCTTAATTCTTAACCTTCACAATTAAATCGGTTTTCATCATGAAGTAAAATATTAATAATCTATTCGAACATGATATGAAAATCTGACTTGAGAGAAAAAAAAGCAGAATCAAAATAAAACTCAGAACAAAAAACTGACCTCAGAATCCATGGAGAGAAAAAGCCTAGACTGAAGTAAGAAATCGGGACTTTTGATTAGTTTGAACTCTGAAGTGTAGCTAAAATCTCAAAACAGAGCAGAGGTTTTTGTTCTTGGCGTTGACAACACTTCATCAAAGTCTCTTTTAAGTTTCATAAAGCGTGCTTAATCTAGTTTTCGTCTACAAAACTTATATTTGTTAATTTACAATTTTTTTTTTGGTTAATTGATATTCAATTGAAAAGCATGAGAAAGCAAATGTTACAAAGCCTATAAGGCCTAATCAGCTAAGTAGCCCAAACACACATTTAGGAAAACAAAATTTGAATCTAAAAGGAGCCCAAGTTAATTGGCCCATTAATAATACTTTTGTTATTTTTTTGTTTTGCCAAATCACGATTATCTTTTTTCGACGGCCACATTATCTATATTTATAATCATTTTCTTGTAGTAACAAATTCATATATTTTTTGTTCGTGGGTCAACACCTTGATCTTATCTTATTTAAATAAATTACGAAAAGAATCTAAAGATGTTCATTGGCAAGAATCATTCTTTAGAAAAAAGTACAAAAAGTTAACTTAAGGTATCGGATCCTTGAAAAGCTATGTCATACTCATACATATGATGTCACAACTCACAAAGTAAAGTCCGTTTATGTAAAAAAGTTAGTTAGAAAATTGTTATTATTTTTCTCTTTTTTTCGCCATTGTTTCTTTTTTTTTGTTAAAGAAAATTTGTGCATTTTGTGCTTTAGCCAAAATATCCGCCGAGGATTCGAATTCCTTGTATCATAATATACTTTTGAGATTTAATAGTGATTTAAGGAGATTATGGATTGAATTGTCAAATATCCTTTGTGCCAAATAAAAAAAATACTTTTCACCGAAAATACTTATTTGCTAAGAAAAAAGTAATCTACTTTATTGGAATTATTATTCATGCATTTTTCATGATTTGATATATATATATATATATATATAATATATATTTATGTGTGTAAAAATAGATTAATGACATTTTATTAACTGTGCATCCAAGTATCAGTTTTATATAAATTAAAAAAATAGATAAAAATGAAACAAAAACATTAAATAAAAAATCGAGCCAAAGTAACTAAAATTAAATAAGAAGATTATTCCAATATAAAAATGAGTATCTCCCTCTCTCACAAGACTTCTGCACAAGAAGATTTCTTCCTTGCTCTGTGTTTTTCTGCGTGTTTCTTTTCCTAACAATCAAATCTACCTTTCTTCTTTCTTCATATTTGTTTCCAACTAAAGAAAATTTAATCTTATTTGGGAAAGCAATTTTCTTATATATATACATTTTCTCTCATCTTTTACCGATTTCTCTGTTTTCTTTTGCTTCTGTTGTAATTCTCTGCGTTAGATTAGACAGCAATCTAAAGGTATCTTTTTTTTCTTCTGAATTCTTTATTTCTTTTGATATACGTTTTGGTTAGGTTTGTGTTTGTTTGAATTTGTAACTGTTGGTAGGGTTTGTAGCGTGTGGAGTAGTTATTGCGTTACTGTAGGAATTAGGTCATTGTCCTTCAATCTCGATCAGAAGTCACGAAAAATTTATTAAAAAAAAATTTCATTGTTTTGTATACAAGATATTAATTTTCGAAATGGGTCATGATCAAAATTCAATTTTGTCGTTTAGGTATTGATGTGGTTGATGATCAACGAGGAAAAATACACATATTTGATCGAGACTCTTAAAGTCAACATTTATCCTTCTTTGAAAGTAGAATGTTGAGTCATCTTTGGTAGATTTTTTTCTAAAGATTTCGTTTTTATGATGTCAAATTCTACAATCTGATTAGAATAGGTAACTAGACACAAAGAAGCACTTTAGAATCCATCATGTTCTTCTAATATGTTCTGTTCATAAACGCCCAGATTTTGTTCAGGATTAATCACTCTTATGGTCATAGATTTCAGATGATTGGAGTTATTGGTTTGTTTATAAAACTAAAAAGTCGCTTTGATTGGATGTTTTTGGTAATGCACTCTGTTTCTTCCTCTACAGGTCTGATTTGGCAATGGCTGAGGAGATTACTTCAGAGGTCAAAGAGACGACAAATCCTCCGAAGATGTCTGAAGAGAGTTCTGTGGAAACAGTACGTGTAAAGGATGTGGTATCTGTGGTATCCAAGGGTCAAGAAGAGATTATACCAGAGATCAACGAAGTGCCTAAGCCACAAGGTAATACTTTAAGACGTCATTCGACTGGAACAATAGGTACACGAGCAACGAAACCGCAGGTTCAGTCCCGTTATCGCGGGAATCATCGTGTGGGTTCGACTCATGATTTATGTAAACATGGGAAGAGGTGTGATCAAGATGATGCTGTGAAACCGTGGAAGATGGTTAGGAGAAAGAGTGTTGAAGGCTCAGATGTGATCAAAGTTGAGACTCCAAGTTTGACAAGGAAGTCATTGGGAAGTGTGAGTAGACAGATTCCGGGTACCAAACCAGAGATTTCTGTGGCTGCAAAGAGAGATGCCTCGGCTGTGAAAAGAAAACCATGTGCTTCTGTGAATTCAGAATCAAGCTCCAAAGATGGTAATGAGATAGCGAGATATGTTGATGGTTTAAGCGTTAAAAGCAATGATAGAGCGCGGAAGAACGAAGAAACCGAGATTACTCTAAGTGGTTCAGCTGTTGTTAAGAAGGTTCCTGGCTTGAGAAATGAGAAGGCAAGTACTTCTGTGGAGAAGGTTTCAAAGATCAGTGGCGTTGGAAGTTCTAAGGTTTGTGCTCCAAAGAATCTGAAGAATGTGGAGAAGGCAAAGACGACTCAGACAATTAGCGGTGAAGATGTAAAAGAGAAGACTGTGTGCGTTGTTGAATCAAGCGTTAAAGGTGTTAAGAGTGAGAAGCAGCCACCATCTGAGAAGAAAACCATGAAAAGTGGGCATAAAAGCTTGACTACTCCTAAACGTGGTTCTAGTCCTACTAAACAGATTCCTGGTAAAATCAGTACCGGTTTGACTAAGAAGAAAGAAAGTGATACTGCGGAAGTTGAAGCAAATCCGAAACCCGAGAAGAATATTACGCCTAAGAAGACAGGAGCAAAGGTGACTCTAGCTCGCCAGCTGACTTTCAAGAAAGGAAAGGTTCTTGAGCCGAAACCCGAGGATTCTTCTCCGAAATGGATCAAGTTCAGAAAGAGGGTTGTGCAGGAACTTAAAACGCAATCCGAAGGAAGGAAGAAGAATCTGAAAGATAGAAGATTGGGTGTTGAGACGAATACCGATTCTTGTGAAGGAAGTAAACGTGAGAAGGTTGTTCTGAGGCATCGAAAAGTAGAAGGGAAGAAGAAAATGATAACATTGTTCAACAATGTGATTGAGGAGACAGTGAATAAGCTAACAAAGGTGAGAAAGCACAAAGTGAAAGCTCTTATTGGTGCTTTTGAAACTGTTATCTCTCTTCAGGACACTAAGACATCTCACAAACCTCAGAGCAAGGCCACAACATCTGCGTCTAAGGTTAGACCTTTGGTCTCCGAACAGTGAAAGAAAAAAAAAGACAACAGTTTATTTGTGCATATGATCTTTTAACATTCAAGATTTTAAACATCGACAACATATTTTGAGAGGAAGAGAGCGAGCGAGCGAGAGATAATTTTCTTGTTAGTGTCCTCGAAATAGCAAAAGGGTTTATTAATGTCCTTTGACAATTACTGAATTTTATATCAGAAGATGAAGTTGTGAAGCTTTCAAGTTTTATCTCTGCAAGTCTTTTCCATACTCAAAAACAGTTTTTACAATCACAATTTTTTAAGAACTATATATGGATCAATAATAATCGCTAGGCTAATCTCTTTTCTCGTGATTCGAAGAACTTGAGGGCATGCCGGTATTTACCTTTGTTGATTGATCAGACTGTTGTCTATAGATCGCTGCAGCCATTTTATTGTAGAGATCCATATTCATTGTCTGCATCAGCATGGCCAACATCAGTGAGCTCAAGATTTTTATATCTCTCAACACCTTTTTCGAAAACAGTTAAAAGCGGTTTTACCTGTGCGAAAAAGGCGCTGTACGGATCAGTTAAAGTGGCTGAAGAACTGTTGGTGCAGTCTCTGTTACCCATAGGAGGGACCATCAATGGTGGAGGAGGAGGAGGAGGAACTAAACCTCCATAACCATTTCCACCGCTTCCCATTCCCATTCGCGCCATTGTTGCAAGCAACGACATCTGAAACTGTTGCTGCTGTTGTTGTTGCTGCTGCTGCTGCTGTTGTTGCTGCTGTTGCTGTTGCTGTTGGTGTTGGATGCTGAGAACTGACTGTGGTGGAGGTAGTTGCGGAATCATCATTTGTTGTGGCAGATTAGCTCTTAGGCTCATAAACTGAACTTGTGCCTGTAGCTGTTTCAAGTGTTCGATCACATCATCCAAGATGGAGACTTTATCCGCCTGCAATATCCGAATAACTTAGATTTAACTAACTGGTTTTCGATAATGAAAAAGTCTTTAAACTTTAAAGTGGTTTGGTTCTTCCAGGATATAGATTTACCTTACTTGCAGTAGGAAGCAGCTTCTGAAGTGTTCTCATCCTCTGGTTTATCCTATCACGTCGTCTCTGCATCAAAACTCAGAAAGAGTCAGTATCGATTTTCGAATAAAGTTTGGCAATCACGGATAGAAAAAAGATCGGTAAGTTTTTACTCTTTCGGACTCATTATGAATCGCTGCTGCTCGTCCCCGTCGTCCATTAGATCTCCCTGCTTCTCCCCTAGTCTCTTGTTCATCTCCTTCAGTATCTTGAGTTTCCTATTAAAGTCCTCTTTTGGTTATTTCTCCAGTCATCTTTCAACAAAAAAAAAAGTAATTTTGTTAGTTCTTACTGATCCAGAGCGGATATAGTCTCTGTCTCCGGTTCTAGCTGTCTTCAAGCTCCGACCAGATTCAAAAGACGCCCAAGACATATTGGTACCACTAGCACTTGCAGTCACGCTGTGACCAACTCTATGGCTCTCCTCTTGAACAGCGAACCATCGGTCCATTTCTTGAGGATAACCGCGTTTTCTTGAACAAGATCCGTCCTTGCTCTCATAATTGTGGTTTGGACCATTAGGACTCTGCAGCTGAAGCTTGCTTGGCTGCTGAAGAGCCGCTTGATGAACCACAGACTCCAAAGTCTCACATCCGTTGAGACTTTGGGTCCAAATAGGGTTATTGGAGGTGGTTGGTTCGACTTCTTCGCCTAGACCATGAACTGTTAATTGCCCATTTTCCCATGTGAGCTCTTTCACTCCGTAATTCGACCTGAGTCAACAAAAAAGGAAATTGCTTTTGTGTTAACAGGGAGAGAGAGAAAAAGAAACAAAGACAGAAGCGTGAGGCTTTGTCTCTTTTGGGTGTAAACAGAGAAGAGTTCTTTATCAGAAACAGAGAGAGAGAGAGAGAGAGAGAGAGGGATACATGTGTTACTTAGGCCGCACGTTTGCAGAGAATAAACTGACAATTAAGCTCTTTCTTTTTTTCTTTTGGTTCTCCCTATTTTTGGACCTTGTCTCTTCTCTCTTTCTTCTGGCTTGAAATGTTTGAGATCTTCTTTCTTCTTCTTTGTTTTCAAACTCTTGACAATCACAGCGACAACTCATGCGGTGTATCTGCCTTTGATCCATATTGAAAGTTATAATAAAGAGCCTCTCTCTCTTCTTGTCTCCTCTTTCTCAAAAATGGTCCCTGCAAAACGTCAAATGGTTTTTATGTGGACGAAGCACATGTGTGGCAAAGGATTGTTTGTGTTTTGCCACTCAAGTCCAGAATCCTCTGTCCTGCAAAAAAAACCTAATAAATGAGGGTATTTTCGTCTTTTCACTCTCAACTGACTCACATTAACATAAATGTGTCATTGCATGTATATGACTCGGTAGAAAGCAAAGCGTGTGATTCACCGATTTAGAAACAAACACATTTCTAATAATAGAAATTTTTATTATTTTCTAAAATTGTAAATTTCATCGTTATACTTATACCGTATATAAACGTAATTGGAATATATACATGTGTAGATGCATTAAAGAATAGAAAACAAGATATATTTATTGGAGTAAACACGTTAGAATCCGAAACTATAGTATGGTATTCGAATGTCAAAACTGAGAGTGAGATGTGAGGTTGATGCATCAACTAGAGATAATTGATACAAGTTGCGAGGAATCAATCAATATGTTCTCACTTCTTAGCCTCTTTTAATCTTATTCTTTCTCTATCCATTCCCATCTCACAATATATATATCAAAGGACTTGTTCAGGATTCTTACCATAAAAACAATTCATGAATCATTTTGAAGGATTTCATTTTATACGATGAAAAGAAGAACAAGAATAATTAAGAAGAAGTTTTATAGATTTTTCAAAGAGATATCTTATTGATTTCTATGACAAATTGACTATCATTTGAAGCAACGATTATTCTTGCTTCTTTCTTAAAATGAATACCTATCAATAAAAATAGATGAAAAATTTGTTGGTTTTAAAGAAAATGTCATATCATATTCATATTTTACTAACTTGGGTTTCTTGACAATTCTTGTTTCAATTGTTATTTAAGATAGTTTTTGATATATAAACTTTTCAAAATAGAGCTTCACTTATGTGCACCGGTCCAGAGATCACCTTATACCTAGCCCCGTCTAGGTAGTTTTGTACGTAATATAGGTGAAAATGGAATGATCTATCTCGATTTTTTCAATCATTTGTAAAGTACTTTTGCATCAGATTGGTTACAACCACTAGTTGAGGCTTATAAGCGTTGTTTGTGGTGGAACAACAAGTTGATATATATGAATGAAATATGTGATGTTGAGTCAAAAATAAAGAAAAAAAGAATATGAAAACTAGAAAGTTTAGAGAAATGGATAAATACGGATCAACCCCTTTGTATTGTGAGATTTTCTTTCCCAATCATTTGATGTCACATCAAAATCTTAAGTGATTTCACCCACCCCTCTCTCGAGTTACGGCCGACAGCTTCAAAACTGATGTCGTCATTCTGATACGTGGATAGATCTTATTGGATGGTTATTTGGGACCCAATGTTGATCTGTGAAATTCAGCCAATCAACTTCTCGCATTAGATTCTTGACAGCGAATCCTAACGCTCCTCAGAGTTTATCTGTTCAATTTCAATCCTTTTTATAAAAAAATTATTTTTCCATCATCAAACTCTCTTTTATACGAATTAGATTCTTCACATCAGTTATTTTCTGTTAATCATTTGATTTATGATGATAATTAATCCTTTGACTAGTTGATGGTAATATAACATTTGAATTCATTAAGGTCACGAAACGTGGATCCATCGCATAGGATCGGTACTGAACTAACTCTTCGCATAAATTGAGAGAACGCGCATCAAGAGTTGGTAAATCAAATTTAAATCGTCAAAAATCTATCGATTGAGATTTGTATACAACGACAATATATATTACAAAATTTTCAAATAAGAAGAGAGAATAGTAAATGTGAGTGGTCCTAGCCACCACATAGGGCAGTTGCTACGTACCAATGGAGAAAGAAACTTAGGGTAAGAGAGTAACTTGGCTGGACCAAAGAAGGCCTCATTTTCCTTTGAGAGCATATCATAAATCGAGAGTTTATCGATCTATCAAAATCCTTTCTGGTCCCTTTTTGGTGTTTACTCGTCTATAATATGATACATTTCATGTGTGAAATAGGGTAGAGAGCGTGTGTAAACATCGACTATCCCATCAATCTTTGATGTTTATTGAGCATATTTATATTTTTATTATGATATTTTGCATATCAATTAAAGCTTAGACAGGTCTTTAGAAAAAAATAAAATTTTAGGAATTAGGTTGAGAGACAAAAAAAAACTGCAATATTATGCATGGTGATGATATATACCAAAATTCATAATTATGTGTCTTACTCTTTATTTATGATTTGAGACTTTTTGAGTTTCTCAATTATTATTAAGTAAACCCTTACAAATATAGTTTCATTGATAGAAGTAGTTTTGATTTTAGTAACATCGAAAGCAGAAATAATTTATAGGAATTTTTCCCGTTCTACGCATTTTCTTTACTTTTTCATGAACTTGAGCTTCTTTGCTCCTCCTCTTCTCCTCAAGCTGTTTCTTGGCTCCATCAGCAATTAGTTTAATCCTTGCTAATTTTGACTTGTAATGCTGATTATTTATTTCTCTTCTCTTCTCCATTTCACTCTTTATAAACCAAAATAATATATTAGTCGTCTGAATTATATACAAATTATAATTAAGAAAATGTTTAGTCATTAGATAGAAGATGACCTTTCTTTTCTCCATTCTCAGTGTAGCTGCTAATTTTCTCTCATTTTCCCAACCCACGATATCTGCTTTCATTTTCTCATACCTTCAAGCAGAGTTTATTTTCCATATAATTAATATGATTTGATATATATACTTTTAATATTAATAACTAAGAATGAAGTTTGACCTTAATCTTATTTTCTTAATTTGAGAATTTTCCCAAGAATCTGCTTTACTTGACGCTGAAGCAAGTCCTGATGTCCTAGAGGATGAGCCAATCTCTTGTGGCCGACGGTTTTCTGATGGATACTCCAACAGCTTTTTTCTGAAACTTTCCTCTGTGGGAGCAAAAAAAAATCTATAGTTAATTACAATACATGTTTTTGTTTCAATATAAGTTTGCTTACAAAAATGATAGTAACCACTTAGCTAATTATTTGTATTTATATATTACCTCCAATTTTCACCTCTTGTGTATATGATTTACCTAACCTCTTTACTTCGGTATTAGGTGTAACCGGATTGGTTTTCTTCGTCCGTGACCTCTTGATTTCTTCTCTTATTCTTTTTGCTTTTCGTTTATCGGCTTCTTCCATTGATCTAATGACGAATGCAGCAGCCGCAACAGAAACTGCGAATTCGCTCTCTTTCTCGTTGTAGTAGTCATTTTTCTCGTACCAATATGATTGGTTTTTCAGCCAGTTTAATGCTGGGTAATCTTCAATTTGATATTGAAGAAATCAAATTTTTTATCATATATACCTTCCAAAATATGTATGAATGCCTTTATATTGAAAGTGAAAACAGATGTTCTACAAGCAAAAGTTTACCGGTTATATCTAATTCTGATAGCCTTGACAAATCCGTTTGTTTGTTCTCAGAAATTGAGACCCTATAAACAAAGATCAAGAAAATATATTTATTCCACAAACGTTTTTGAGGGATAAAATGCGCTTAATTAGTGTTTTCTTTTTAAATAAAAAAGTATTATTTACATAATTATAAAAAAAAAGGACAGGACGTGTACCTTCTTCTTCTTTGCTTAACCAAGTTATCCATTTATTTTTCCCAATTAAGAGACTCCAATATTGTTGAGCATCATCAGTTTGTCTTATATTCTCTTGAATACCAAGAGAAAGAGGAAATGTGATAATTTTATCTTGAAGCAACAGTAAATATATAAATAAGCTAAATTCTTATTCCACTAAACAGGAACATGTCAAGTATCAAAACATGTGATTTTATATGCTAATCTTCATGTACATATTTAGTCACATAATAACTATATAAAAACTACCTTTTATTTAGTAGTAAAAAACTTGTCATTGTTATCATTCAACTTCCGGATTAAAGGATTTTTTATTTTGCCAATATACAAAATCATATCAATAAAATATTAAAATTGTTTGGTTAATCGAACCGGAGTAAAATGATCTGGTTTATTAAAATTTGTGATTGTATGCTTATAACTGTTCCGTGATAGAATGGTTATGTTGACTTTAATTTAAGGTTTGACTTCAGTTTAATGAGTCTCTTAATCCCAGGCTGGTTCAGGTTGAATTGAACCGGAGATTGCTAATGTATTGAAGCTGGGTTTTTTAGATGAGCTTGCGAGATGCTGAAAGGCCCAATAGAAAAATTTGGCCCAATCAGAATCTGTTTGCCTGTAATAGAGATCAACTGGTTTAGAAAAAAAGATTATAATGGCATTTTTAATTTGTACTACTCAACAACTTTTTTCTTCTTTCTTTTTCCAAATTTACAAAGATCCAATAGTGTAACTACATAAACTATTTCGTCGGCAAAAATTTCAAAGCGAAATTTTAATTCAAAAAGCGCTTAATGCGTAAGATTTCTTAAATCATCTTTCCCTTAAATTTCTCAGATACTCCGCAATTATGATATAAATGATCCATGAGACCATGACTTTTTCTATTTACTATTGCACAGAAAAAGTATATAGTACTATTTTTCTTTTCTTTTTTTTTTGTGAAAAATACAGAAAAAAGTATGTACACTTTATGGTGATAATATTTCCAACAAACAGAACTTTGCTGAAAAGGTAACCTTTTTTTTTGTCTCCTCTTTCAGTTTGGTGAAAATAATATTATTAATGTATAACTCATAACTGTATAAGTTTTACTAAGAGATATTACAACTATTCCACTGTAAGAAAAAAGAAAAAAGTCTATATTCTACAAAAAATTTGAAATTTTCGTATTATTTGTTGGGTTGAAGACAACTAGTCTTTTAATTTGTAAACATACACACACACAAGCTATATTGGACTTAGAAAGAAATTGAAATGATCGTATTTACGTTAGGTTTGTCAGTCAGAGCTCATGAATAATCAAACCGGATCCCATTAATCAAAATTAATTAATACATTAATGCGGCCCGAATTCAACTATAGATATTATTTGTCTCCTTGTAAGAAGTATAGATACTGTGCATAAAATATTAAATTCCGATATACAGGATGAGAAATAATACAAAATTAAATTTTAAATTATTTAAAGTGTTTCGAATTTTTTCAAATGGTTGTAGATTGAATCTCCAGAAGAAGATGGACGGGTCATATTCCAAGATGGATCTTTCATTGTAGCCGACACTATTTTATACGTACCCGATAAGTTAATATTTCTTTTTATTTAAAATTTTGCAAAAGTATTTGATACTACCAGAGTATATATAACTTCCAGAAAAGAGGTGAAAAACGTGGTTAATACCGCCAGACTATGATTAATTATCCTTAGATAAAAAATTTGATTTAAAATGCTTGACTCATATGTCGATGTGAGTGGACTACAAATTCTTCTCAAATATCTTTGACGACAAGATCACTTTCATATACCTACTTATTGGGGCCGTCATATTCGTTCCATTTGAGTTTTACCCCTTAGATTTTTCTATAAATACATATGAATAGTTACAAAAAATGTCAGAATTGTGGAATATATATATATATATATATATATATATATATATATATATATATATACAAACATTTCTTGTCATTGTTAGATTTGGGAAATTTTATGTTTACTTAAAAAAAAAAAAAAAGACTAAAATGTGGGCACAAATACGTGTAGGTATGAGGGACGACGATGATTTCCTTCAAGAAACTCTTCATGAAGACTGAAGACCCTTAGTTTACCCAACCCTCTACTCCTAATTAATTAAAATCCTGAGAGGCTTTGTTTCCATGTAAAAGTGCTTAGGCTCGGGAGAAACTCTTTGTGACGATCGTTGTGTTCTTGTCACTCTCCTCGATTGTGCAGGGTCCTATATTGTGTTTAGGAGGAACAATGTTAGTGACTGAAGTATTTGTTCTTTGCTCCTCTGTCTCCATGTATCCGTTGATTGCAATATCATTGCCTTAAAATAGTCTCTTTCGTAGTTAGAATGAATTCCAATCATATGTTTATCTATATTGTTGTTATCTAGTAGAGATACGTACGGCTTGATAAACTAATCTTACTTTCCAAATTCCAATTAACCTTCAGAGTAACTTTAAAAACAAGTCAAATGTGCAAAGCAAATTTTACACCATAACCTTTTTTAACGAAATCTAATGTATTAAAAAATAGGTGTTGGGAAAGAAAAAAAAAACAGAATTGGACCTACAAATTTTTTGAAATAGTTGTAATCGACGTTAGATTTGGTCAGTCATAGATTATGATTGATCAAATCGGGTCCCATTCATCAAAATTAGTGAATTTGTTTTTTAATGTTTTTTTTAATGTTGTTGATGAAAGATATCAAAATTAATGAATATATGCACTGTACTAGAGGCATTCAAAATTTTTAATTGGGTATATTAACGAATTCAAATATATTGTTTCCTTGAAAGGATTTTACTATTTAGATACTAATCATACTATGCATAACCCATGGATTCGATATTCACGGAGAGAATTTATAGAATATTTTAACTTTTTGATATGCATCAGCCCTATTTGAATTGGGTATATTTTTTTCCCAACTGAGTGATATAAATAACATAAAAGAGGTGCATGTTGGTCAACCAGTATGATAGTTATTTACTTACTTACAAAAGAGAAATTAACAAAAGGGAAATGACCTCAAATGGCTTTTAAAAGTTCTTGGTTGACTCTAATAGCACCTCCTCCAACCAAATGCTTTACTATAATAAATCTTAAAAGTTGAAAAAGAGTTTTAAGCCTTTTGTTTGTTTTGGTATTTACTTTTTGTTCAATTTAGAATTATGTTTTAGAAAGAAAGAAAATGTAAATAAATAAATATATATATATATTTAACACAAAGGTAAACCTAATAAATTACATATTTTAAAAAACTCTCTCGACCCCAAATAAGCAATTTAGGCGGTGGCGTGCGTGTATTTGATTCTGGTGGTAACTTCTTCCGGTTGATTCCGATGGTGTGCATGTCTTTAATGATACCGCTGGAGTTTAATTCTTAATTTTAGTGTTTTTAGTCTATTTTCTTAAAATAATACTAATTTATTGAAGTACTTAGTACAAATATTATAAACAAACAACACATATATATTTACTTTTTATATTATTCATGCAACATAACACATAAAACAAATAAAGTTAGATTAGTAAATATATATCAACATTGTACAGATAATTTGATTGATCCCTAAATATATATTTAACCAATAATGATTAACAAATGACGTAAAAATCATAATTAAACTTTAACAAAAAAAAATCATAACTAATTAATTTAATATCTTAAAAATATAAACTAAATCACAGATTTAGCTTGAAAAGACATTTATGAACTCAATCAAATGTTGTCTGTCGACAAAGACAATGAAAAAAACAATCAATGACCTTTGATTTCATCATTTGATTGTACCACTTGCCTCGTGTTTTTTGTCTACCACGTCTCGTCTCTTTGATTTGTTTTGGATTTCTACATTTACTTCACAAAGCAATCAGATCCTTCAATTAGTTCGCTTTGGTATATAAATTTCCACGTTTCTGTGTTATCCAATTAAAAAGTAGTACTAAGTAATATTGAGTTGCACTGATGTATAATTTCCACGTTTCAAAAAAGTCACTAGCTATATTAAGTTAATCTTAATCCTCAATGCAATAATAACCTAAAAAGCGAAAACACAATTATTGACCAGCAAAAAAAAATCTCTATATAAAGCATGCCCCATGACACCACGATAAACAAATCAGAATCATTTCTTCTCCGTCCACAAAAAAAAATGGTGTTAGTGATAACAGAGCCAATTAAGAGTCAATCAAAGACGGTATGTGTGATAGGAGCAGGACCATCAGGGTTAGTGTCGGCGCGAGAGCTAAAGAAAGAAGGACATAAAGTGGTGGTGATGGAGCAAAACAACGACGTAGGAGGTCAGTGGCTATACCTACCAAACGTAGAAGAAGAAGATACATTGGGAAAAACAAAAATCCTAAAAGTACATAGCAGTGTTTACTCATCCTTGAGGTTGGCTTCGCCGAGAGAGACAATGGGTTTCTCTGATTTTCCGTTCACCGCGAAGGAAGGAAGAGACTCGAGGAGATTCCCGGGGCATGAGGAGCTTTGGTTGTATCTTAAGGATTTTTGTCAAGTGTTTGGGTTAAGAGATATGATTAGGTTTAATGTTAGGGTTGAGTTTGTGGGAATGGTGAATGAAGATGATGATGTGAAGAGATGGATGGTAAAGAGTGTAGAGAAAGAGAGCGGTGAGGTTATGGAAGAAGTGTTTGATGCTGTTGTTGTTGCCTCTGGCCATTACTCTTATCCTAGATTGCCTTCCATCAAAGGTATTGTTTTTGTATATAAAGCTATATGCGATTATCTTTAAAGATCATAAGAAGGGTATTTTTTAATGATGGTTTTGGTGTTTATAGGAATGAATTTGTGGAAGAGGAAGCAACTTCATAGCCATATCTATAGAGTGCCTGATCCTTTTCGTGATGAGGTGATTAAATTGTTTTCATTGTCGTAGTACGTAAGTAGTTAATAAATTAGATGATTTCATGATGTATGAAGCATTAAGCATGCATGCATGATGATGATAGGTCGTGGTTGTTGTCGGAAGCTCAATGAGTGGACAAGACATATCAATAGAGCTTGTGAAAGTGGCAAAGGAAGTTCATCTAAGTGCCAAATCACTTGAGATTCCTCCGGGCTTGACTAAAGTCATTGAAAAACATCAAAATCTTCATCTTCATCCTCAGGTACACTCTCACCATCACCATCACCATCACATATATACATGCATTTAATTTATTATATGTTTTGAAATTATTTAAACGTTTTGATATCTTTTCAATTAATGGTTGTAGATTGAATCTCTAGAAGAAGATGGACGGGTCATCTTCGATGATGGGTCTTGTATTGTAGCTGACACTATTTTATACTGTACCGGGTAAGTTATTATTTCTTTCCACGACAACTTTCTTGTCCTTATTTCTTGGGGCCGACATTGTCATTCCATTTCTTCATCCCTTCGATTTTTTTCTATATAAAACATTTCTTGACATTGTTAGATTTGGGGTATTTTATGAAGTTTACTAACAAAAAAAAGGACTAAAAATGTGGGCACAAATTAATACGTGTAGGTATGATTACAAATTGCCATTTCTTGAGAGCAAAGGAAGAGTAGAAATTGATGATAATAGAGTTGGACCACTCTTCGAACATACTTTCTCTCCTTATCTCTCCCCTTCTCTCTCCTTTGTCGGAATCCCTCGAAAGGTACAATGATTAGGATGTACAGTACTAATCAAAAATTATCTCCAATCAATATTCGGTTAATTTAATCAAACCGGTTTATTGCAGTTAATTGGGTTCCCATTCTTCGAATCACAAGCTAAATGGATAGCGAAGCTTTTGTCAGGCAAAACATCACTTCCTTCCTCTGATCAAATGATGCAATCAATCTCTGAATTCTACCTCTCCAGAGAAGCTGACGGAATCCCAAAACGCAACACTCACGACATCGCTGATTTCAATGTACAAAGTCTCTCTCTTTTCTCTTTTTTTTTTGCCCAAAGTTTGGTCTTTTTATATCTGATAAAGCTCTGTTTTTTTTCTTCATCGTTTTCAGTATAGCGATAAATACGCGGATTACATTGGATTTCCACATTTAGAAGAATGGAGAAAGGTCTTGTGTGTATCGGCTATAGTGAATTCCATCGAAAATCTGGAGACTTATCGTGATTCTTGGGACGACGATGATCTTCTTCAAAAAACTCTTCAAGACCCTTATTTTACCCAAGAAATTGCTTCTGTTTAGAAAACAACATTTTAGCTTTTGTCTAAAATCTAAATGAGTAAAACACTAAAGATCTAAACTTTCTGTAGTATATTTATATATAAACTTCTTTCAAGTACCATCTAGTTTTTAAAATTCATCGCCTTTTGATGAACTTCTAAAAGCAACAAAAAAAACAAAACTTTCACTCTTTTAGTGAGTTTTTCAGTATATATCTCCTATGTGGTGTGATTACTGTAAGTGTAACGAGACGTTGATTCTTCAAGAATCTGAAAGCAGAAAAGGTATGGAAGTTTTGGTATTCACAGCAGGACTTCTGATGCCTCTTCTGCGTTTTGTTACGGTTCCCCAATCGATTACCATATTTACCATCAAGCTTGAGTGAGCATCATTCCTTTCGTTTCCGATAAAAGTGCTTAGGCTCGGGAGAAACTCGTTGTGTTGTTGTCGCTTTCCTCGACTGCGCAGGGTCCTCTTGTGTTTAGGATGGCCAATAGTAGAGACTGAAGTGTTTGTTCTTTGCTCCCCTGGCTTCATCTCTGTTAGCTGCAATGTCATTGCCTCAAAATAGTCTATTTCGTAACTAGAATTAAATCCGGTCACGGATAATCCAACTTCACTCTTTGAGTCTTCAACAACCGAAGATGCGATTATAGCAAACCAATGCAGAGGATTGATACAATCAGAGGTTTTGATGCTTGACTTTCTAGCTGAATCTGATAATGACATATCAACTATAGCCTCTGCTGCTGCTACACATTTTTCTTGTTCCTCTTCCTCTGTAACAAGAAAGCTCCCTCTGGCCTTTGATTTGGTTCTTGAAATCTTTCTCGTAACATTGCCTGATTCTATGTGTGGTTTACAACGTCTTCTCTTAATCTCAAGCAGAGACCTTGACCTCCCTTTCTCCAGATTATGGTCAGATTCAGGGATGTACGAGGCAGTACTCAGTGAACGGTTGTCATCTTTACTAACTCCAACGTTCGATTCAAGATTTGAGCCTTTCCGGGATTTGCTGCGAGGAATTTTTTTAACATTGATGGATTTTGCTCCATATTTAGCTTTCTTCCTAGGCCGTGAGCAATGTTTGTGGAAGAGTGAAATGGTTTCCGAACATGGAAGCGCTAGAACTATCGATCGTGATGGTTCTGATCCGCGTTTTCCGTGCAATGAAGCTGAATCAAACTCTCGGGGTTGCTCAGATTCTATATTCAAGTCAATTCCATTCTCTGCACAAAAGAATTGACTGATCAATTCTAAAAGACATTGATAGCTTTCATTAAATCAAGACAATGTTACAAAAAACAATAATAAGTACCATATATAGTAAACATTCCTCACCAGCTTGACATTTTGTAGATATCGGCGGCCCTTGCACTTCTGGTTCTGCTCTTTCACTCTTTGTTTGGGCTGGAGTTAGGAACTGATTAAGCTCATAATCTGAATGTGCCTCGATCCTGGCAGGTTCATTTAAGTCGAGTATACATTTGAAACTTGACAAACCAAGTAAATGCTGCACACTTTCCGGCTGGACAACTGATTCGGGAGACATGCTTCTTGGAGATTGATCTTTAGGAAAGTTGGGAACTTCAAGGACTTGTCCATTCTTTGAACCTTCTTCTTCCCATATATCACCGTAAGACGGTATTTCAAGATCCAAGACCTTCTCTGCAGACTTATCAATCTCATCTCCAGAGATTCCGGCTTCATCAATCTTGGCAGTAGAGATGCTTAAACCCATCCAGTGTATGCTTTTTCTAGGACTAGAGACCCCGGCATTTGGGAATAAATGTTGAGGTTGAGTGTAGAAGTTGTTGGTTTCCTCCATTTCCAACATCAGATCCTTCTGCCTTTGATACAGACGATGAAGCTCGTAGATCTGAGCTAAAAAGTATTATATAAGAGACAAGAAACACTGAGATGAAACATCTGTTGAACACACACACACTCATAAGTTTACCTGAGTTTCAAAGACAGATTCTTGGCCAAGCATGGTCTGTTTCAATGTTTCCTTGTACTGTCTCAAATAAAGATCACAGTAGAGTAATCTATTGGTTACGACTGTATCCATATCATGTACAGGATACAGACGCCACAAGCTATCCTCTTGCATTTCCATTCAACACACTGTGATAACAAACCGGAAGAGTAAACCTGCAGAATCAAGAAAGAGGAGACTTGCATCAAGAAAACCACTACATTACCTATATTGATTTGGCAATATGTTACAACTTAGAACACAACCTTCAAAAACTATCCTATCCTTGTCTATAACAGTGAAGCAACTGATAAATAATTCTATGAAAGTTGACTTTTTGTAGACAGTCCTTAAGATCTATCTAAAGAATATTGATAAACAACAAAATAAAGGTCAGTCCCAAATTCTCTATTTTAAGAACATAACAGAATAAGTTGGTTTATATACACAACATTGTAAACAGAATGTTCCCAAAAACATCAAATTGATGCATCAGGAGAACTATACCGATTACCGAACAGCTTTTTAACTGAAATCTCAGCAATGATTCATCAAAAATGGGAAAAAGAAAGATGAATCCGCGAGAGAAGAAACAGCTTATTGATGAATCCGCGAGAGATGAAAACAGCTATTGATGAATCCGCGAGAGCAGAAACTCGGAAACATTATCCGAAAACAAAGAATCAAAAAAGGATTTATAAGATTAGTTCCAACATTGCTGAATCTTACCTAAAGAAGAGAAGAGTTTACACGAAGAAACATCCAAGGATTTTCTGAGATGATGCGAGTTTATCGTCACTGCTCAAGAAGCTGAGTAGAAACAGACAAAAAAAACGCGTTAAAGTGAGGAATTTATGTTTCTTCTCTTGTTGATAAAAAAATATGGTGAAGCGATAAGAAAATGCGTACTCGAGATCTGTTATCTTCGAGGATTTGTCAGAGAGAAAGTGGAGAAAAAAAATGGCAGAAAACTTGAAGAGGAAGCGAAAGTAAATGGAAGAAGTTGAGACCTTCCGTCTTACTGTACTTTCCGTCTTCTTTTTTTATTCGTCCTTAAAGACACTTTGTTCCTCACAAATACATCTGAATTGGTTAATTTGCTAGAATAGACAACATTCACAAGTTTATTTTGTGTTAAGAGATGCTAGAAATCATCGTATGTTATACTGCCTGCAGCTAAAACTAATGAGATCAAACGATGTCTGGGTTTTTAACCCTGTTATTACATTGAACTAACAAACACTAAATATTTTGAGGTAATCGTCATCGTCAAAACAGTGAGTTTAAACACTTATTATTGTTGACAAGTACATTTCTTTACTAACTACTCATCTGCAACAACAACAGCAATCTCGCCTCTCTCAAGCAAATCATAGAAGGACCTTGTTTTCCTCTGCTCGTTCCAGTGGTGCATCTTCCATAGCCCACCAGCCGCTAGCCCAAGTGCGAGGCCAATAACTAACTCCTTCACAACACTTGGTCCTTTTAAAGTTGCGTGTGCGATCTTGTGCCCAGCCATCTCTTTGACACTCTCCTGCTCACACTAAACCAATCAAACATTGCAATAGATCACAAAAAGGATCATTCTCTTTGATAATCCAAACATCAACATTCAGCAAAACATAACATCATTCTTCGGTTATACACATATAATACGTCTTCAAATCAAACCCACTTGAAAGAGAGACACTAGAGTATCGACAAACAGAGTAATTTTCTTTAACACTCAAATGGCCACCGTGAAAAACCCAATCAAACAAACACTAACAGAGATAGAATACTTCTTCCCACATGAATAGTTCTATAGTCCACCCATACAACAATGAGGGAATCATAAACATCAACCAAAAACAATGCCTACATCAAACAAGCTTTGCCAAAAAGCTTAAAACTTCAACAAAGCAATACAGAGAACAATTTAGATAATCTCATGTGGATCAGTCAAGGAGGTCTTTGATCAGTGCAGGACTTATGAGGGCAGCTAATTGATGATTAAGAAGCCCAAGGAGACCAATGTATATAGGGAGAATTCTAGATCGGCAATCAATAATAGAAAGCAACCCCACGCCTTTATAAATCGACCCATCAGATTGCACACACAAGCACGTGGTGACTCAGGTTCATTGTTGGAGAGTTTGCGGAGCCACAGATGCCATGACTCAAGGCATGGACAAGGGCCCTCTCCTATTAAGTTGAAAAATAGGTCTCCTCGAAACTAAATTAAACATCAAAAGCCACACACTTCACTCATACCTACTCAGACCTTTTACTTTAACATTCATCATCTCCACCACAATGTCACAAACAGATTATAAGAAAACATCATTCTAGAGCTAACACAAGTTGAAAGTGAGAAACTTTCGAAGTCTAAGACCACATTGGAGAATAAAAGAATCGACCCAGTTAATAAATTCGAGTTTTTTCAGGAGAATCCATTGTACAGATGAAAGCAAAAAACAGAGACACTGCGAGCAAATTATGCAACAGAAAAGCAGAGAATTTTGAACATTAAAAGGAATCATACACTGGAATCCAAAAAATTGGTTATACCAAATCGATCAATTGAATGTTCCAATACGAAGAATCGGAGAGTGACCTGTTTAGATGAGTTTAGCAAAGCTGAGAACGATGAAATCCACAACATTATTTATAGGTCCTATTTCCATTTTCTAGGGCTTTCAACAAATGAGAGAGCCATGAAAACGACAACGTTTCCATAAATGGCTGCCTTTATTAAAACGACAACGTTTTGGACAAACTATAAAACCACTCTTAACAAAAAAAACATCCCCAAGAAATAAATCTACTCTGTTCTGTCTCTAAGCCATGACAATATGTGTCTTATTCTTCATTCTTGGCACAGCACGAGCCTTAAGAGGATACTTCATGACAACAGTGAACTCCCATTTCTCAGACAAGTCAACTTCATCACCTTCAACTTCTTTCCACTCAAACTCTTTCACCAAATTCACCACAAAATACTCCAAATGCAACATAGCCAATCCTATCCCTGGACAAATCCTCCTTCCAGCTCCAAAAGGCATCATCTTTATCCCTCTACTTCCAGTAACATCCACTTCTTCTTCTCCGATGAATCTCTCCGGCTTAAACTCCATTGGCTCTTCCCACACCGTTGGATCTCTCCCTATCATCGCCACATTGATATTAAACGTCCCTTTCTTTGGAACCTTGTATCCTCCTAATTCTGTATCTTCACTTACTCTGTGTGGTAACAACAAATGTCCCGGTGGATGTAACCTGAGACCTTCTAACACTACCGCTTTAAGATACGGCATCTTCTTCATCTCTTCTTCTTCAATCTCCTTCTCTTCTTCTTCTCCGATTACGCTTTTGATCTCTTCGTATAATCTCTCTTGGATTTCTTGATTTTTAACAAGATTCGCCATTATCCATTGAAGTGTCGTCGCCGTTGTATCAGTCCCGGCGTTGAGAAACTCAGAGCATAAACTCACGATCTCGTCTTCGTTTAGTTTCCTCTTCTTTTCAGGAAGCTCAAGATCAAGCAGAGTATCTACATACGATTGTACGTATTCTTTATCGGAATCTTTAGATTCTTCGATCATCTTTCTCCGGGAACGAATCAACGGAAGCAAGACGTTCTTGTGTTCTCTCCGGAACATAAGAAACTCTTCCCATCTCTTTCTTAGAAACAGTTTGGTGAAACTAGGGAAGGCATTGAGGATGTTGAATCTTGGTAACGTGAGGAGCTCTCTTCTTTGAACGAATTCGACTTGTTTGATCTGTTCTTCGTCAAGTTTATCTCCGAAACACATGAGAACAAGAAGCGAGAACATTGCATAACGGAGATGATCAACGACTACGATCGGTTCTCCTTCTTCATCGCCGTGATTACGAATTCGAGAACAGAGGTTTTCAAGAACAGAGCGACGAGCGTTGGAATAAGATTTGACGCGAGATGGGTGAAGAATCTCGGAAGTGAGGTTACGACGGAGAAGCCGCCACGTGGCTCCGTATGTACCGGAGCTGATAGTGTGTTGGTTACTAGTGATGATCTTTCCGGTTGGAAGCGCAGGTGGACGATCGGAGAAAACGGCGCCGTTTAAAACGAGAGCCTTGTGAGCCAAGGAACGATCAGAGACGAAGATGGCGGGGACGGAAAAGATGCGGAGGGAGATGATTGGGCCGAGACGGTGGTGGATGGAGCGGAGATAGGAGTAGAAACCATCGAAGCCTTGACGGAGCCACTGGAAGGGACCAAGGATGGGGAAGAAGTTAGGGTTAGGAGGTAGAGGAAGAGAGTTGGTGCGGCGGAGGAAGAGGTGGAGAAGGAAGGAGAGTGTGAGAGAGACGAAGATGATGAGAAACCATGTCGCCATTTGCTTTTTCTTGTATTCTTTCTTCTGGTTTTTTTTTTTTGTTATGCTTTTAGGATTCTTCTTCATGAATTCGTATATATAGCAAATTTTTCAGGTAACAATTTGCTATCGTGATGCTCAAGTATAAATTGTTTTTTTTTTTTTTTAATTACTTGGGGAGTATTATCTATTATTCGGAAGACAGATAAATGAATCTATTTAGAAATAAGTTTGGATAATTGAAAAATATATATATGTCCGATTTGTTTGGTTCTTGGGCGCTACGTCTAGCTCGTGGAGAAAGTTATACGATCTCTTTACTACGTTTAGCTTTAATCCAAACAACAACCCACATGAATTTTTGTGACACCACCGAGTTCTTTTTCTATTTTTATTTTTGAAGATAAAGATAAGTTATATTATGATGTTATTTTTACCAACCAATGAAAAGAAAACAATATTTCAATTCGTACAAAGTCGATATATATATAGTACAATATGAGGATTCTGTATCCATTTGAAGTTATGTGGTATTGATCGAACTCTTGTGTTACTTAATACTCGTTTAATGACTTGTGAATATCTAAAATCCACTGTTAGTCAAAATTTGATTTGGATTTTAACAAATAATTAACTTGATGCTTTTCAAATCTGGCTTTGAATAAGAAGCGATGTCGATAGTATTACAAGTTTTACAACAGCCCAAAAAATGTCGATCTATTGCTGCGTTTCAAAATTGCGGTTTGTATTAAGCTTCAGACTGAACGTTTCTGGTCTTGAGACCGAAGAGATTCTTCAGCAAATCCGCAGTGTTTGGAGGAATCTTTGCTGGTCGTGGAGCCATGAAGTTGACAATCTTCTCATGAACATTATACCTGTTTCGTTTTTTTTACAAGACATGATTCAAAAGAGAGAATTAGAGAAATTAAACCTCCAAGAGTCGAAACTGTGTGTTTTATTTTACCTGATCTTTCTGCTCTTAGAGGCACGTCGATCCACAATTTTCCTCTTCTTCGTCTGAAACTTCTTCATCTCGTAGAAAGCCGCTTCTGCCAATGGCAAATATTGAGATTTCAGAATACCATAAGACTCTTTACACTTGAGTTTCAACACAAGCAAAAAAACACTTGAGTTGTTGGACATAGCAATCTCTAGGGGAATTTTCATATCTAATGATTCCAGTATGTATTTTTTACTATACCCGAGGAAGCTGGATCGATGGTCTCAAGAAACTCCTTTAGTAACTGCCGATAGAACTCAGCATCTTCCACAAGTTCAGGGTCTCCTTCTTGTTGTTTTTCCTGAGCAAGAAAGAGCACATATGTTAGAGAATAGGCATCAAAAGAATCAATAAGACTGATAAAATGATTTGATACTCTCTAGCTTGGTTAGAGAAAACCGTGATTATACCTCTGGAATTGGTTCTATGGCCTCCCGAGGGACCTGTGGATGTGTAAATTTAAAGTCAGAACAAACTGAAGAGAAGCTGATGTATTTACCACCAAGGCCAAGATCTTAGATGCTTTTATTAGTAAAGCCAAAACTCACAGTTCCAAAAACAGCTACAGTAGATCTTGATTGTTGCATTTGTTTAATCATTCTACTTGGATCCCTCATGTAGGAAGCAACCTGTTCACTAACGTTCTGGTTTCGAAAATTAATTCAAAGTTAGATTCCTGATTGATCCCCAGCTGTATAATAGCAAAATCATCTTTGGGGTTTGTTGTCTATACCTGGTTAAAGGCGTGGAGCTTTCCTTTAATAGCAGCTGCACCAGTTGTAACTTGCGTTCTTCTCTGCCATTTGTCCACAGCCTTGTTTCGGAACACAGACATTCTACATAGCAAAGACCAATTTTGTGTTAACAATGAAACATAAAGGGTTATGAGACTGGTCTCCAAATGAAGCCAATCATGTTTTTACTAAACATAAGTCTTCTGCTTGGACAGAACTTTATAGCTGGACAGTTAGTCTTGAATACCTTTTCTGCAAGTCAGATATTCGCTGCCATTCATCGCTATCTTCTGCATCTGATTTCTTGGATTCTGCACTAGCTGTTGCTGACCATATAGAAAGAAAAAAATGTTATATTGACCCTCGCTTATAGTGATATGTTTTACTTTTAAATATGGCATACCATTCCCTTGTTGATCAACCGAGGGGTTCTTCTCAAACAAAGCCTGCAGAAATCAATAGTTGGATAATAAGAGTAAACAAAGGTGGCAGAGAGACAAAACACTAAGATACAGTATACAGTTACTGAATCAAGCCTATGCATACATACCTCTTGCAACTCCAAGAGGGAATCTAATGTCTTCTTAGATGACGTAACTAGATCTGTATATGCTGCTGAGACATCCTCATCTTCCGAACAAAAATACGATTTCACAGGCTCCTGAAGAGGATTACCTTCTGTCAAAAGCATGATGAAACAAACAACCATAAATAGAAGAGGAGAAGAGCATATCTTACCTGTGGCAATCTGTTTGAACGATCAAATGCTTTCTGAAGTAAGAATCTGAACTCCAGAGTTTTATCCCAAAGAGCCTTCACATAGAGCACAAAGAAAGAATTGTCTTAAACAAAAATTACCTCTAGATCAACTTCATTAACATAAAATAGGAATATACAACTGCAACTGATTTCTAGAAAGACTACTTCACAAACCATAAACTAGGTCATACCTTCTGATTCTTCACCGCTTGACCTTTAACAGCATCTTCACCCTTATCACGCTTCAAGTTCTTCAATATATCCCTATACCAGGAACACACACATTACACAAAGAACATTCTTTTGTCTCTCAATCATTCATTTAAACTTAAACGATGCAACAGAATTAAGACAGAGTATCTGACAAAAACTTTTAACAAAAGTCTGTTCTTCTCCTTTATGCTCTAGATTAAACAGTTGAAACTTCAATAAGACTATCTACCGTTTCTAGAAAGAAACACATACAAGAATTCACTATGTTAGAAATAAAAGTAATTAAAACTGATTAGTTCAAATGAAATCTTACTGTTCTTGTGAACGAAGCTCCATGTACTCTTTCTCAAGCTCTTCCATCTGAGCATCTTTATTGTCAACATTACCTTCAAAGTCCTCGCTTTCTCCATCCTCGTCTTCCTTGTTATCTCCTTCATCATATTCCTCGCTATCTCCTTCATCATCTTCCTCACTCTCTCCCTCGTCATCTTCCATGCTATCTACTTCATCATCCTCTATCCCATCAGGTAATTGATCATCTTCATTGTCGCTTTCGACCTATAATAGAGAACCCTCAACCAAATAAATTCACCTTAACATTAAAACAAAAAAACCAAAAATCACCTACACCATCTAAATAACTTAAACGAGACAAAAGCAACAAAAACATACCTTAAGGTTTTCTTGGTCGCTTATGTCTTCCGATTCACTGTCATCAAGTCTTGCTCTTTTAGTCTTCTTTGATCCCCCAGCCATTATAAAAAACACTCTTAATGCTGCAATAACGAATTAACTAATAAAAGGGAGACACTTTGAGCAGATACGCAAGAGAAAGCAGTGAACTTTGAAAATTAAAAGGAATCATACAAGCAGAGGAACTAACCTAAAAGCTCTGTAGAAGCTGATACCCGCAAATAGAAGAATATATCTTCGACTTGAAATCGGAGAAGCTGGGAATCGTCTCAAGGCTCAGGCTCAAGCTCAAAGCTGTCTACGAGCAGAGGAAAAGTTACAGAAAGAAGAAACTCAGCTCAACCAACTCTGGAAAAATTAAAACCCTAGAGGTTTCGCTTAACCCACGAACCGTCCGGTTCAACCAAAATATCCGGTTGAATAGTTTTAATTGAGTTTTTCTGGTTTGATAGGACCAGATTAAGCGGTTTGACCTGGATTTAGGTGGATTTATTTTTTTATTTTCCTGAACAAAGGATTTAGGTCGATTTATAAACCTTGATCCAAAATATGGACCATGAATGATTCCACTCTTTTATATGTTTTGTAAACTACAAAAATTTGGTTGATCTGTATAAATTTTAGATGTTTGTGCTTAATTGTTTCTTTATCTCTTTTGAAGCAACATCACTTTTTTAACCTATAAAAGTAAATTAGATTCATTCATATTGTCTTCATTAGAAGAAATTTTAGGTAGAACTGAATTATTGTATTAAAGGGTCGTTTGTTTTCACAGGTTCAAGTAGAGAGATTAGTGATGTAGACCACCCACTAGCCATTTTTGTCCTTTTTAGTGTATAATGTATCATCAACACAAATTCAATCTATTTTTAGGATTTAGTTCAAAGAAAATAACAAAAAGTTCAATTGCTTTCGCCTCTTCTGTCTATTTAAAGATAACTGTGACACTTCTTCTTCTTCTATCTTTATATTGAAAGATTGTGATTTGAACTTATCTTTGCTCAAAATCAAAAGACTCTTGTTATAATGTGAAACTAGTCAACATCTTCATTAACTTAAGGAAGTAATCAAAATCATTGCTAATTAATATATTTTGTCGGCAAGGAAATTATACTGTAGGATTAACCAAATGTGAATTCCAAGATTTGCATTAATTAAAATTTCTGGTATATTTGACTTTACAATGTGGAAAATATATGTAAAAGAGGGGGAAAAAAAGACTAAAATAAAGAAAAGCAGAAACAGAGGAAGAAGAAAAAGTTTTGCAGATCGTGTGATTGTTCTTTACTGTTTATTACCTTTGCCCTTCTTTGAAGTGAAAGCTACTTGAGATTATCCTTAAAGAATCAATAATCTCATAAAGTTTTTCACTTTTTTATAATCAATAATTACATCAACCAAATCAAGAAAGTCACAAGATTTCTTGTAAATTCTTTGATCCTTTGATGTGTATCTTTGTGTTCTCTGTTTCGCTGATTTGGATCTTGATCGAATACTCGTCTTCTCTACCGATCATTTGATCCTCCTCGTGCTTGATACAGCTCTGGTAAAAGAGGAAGTTGACTATGGTGTCAAGAACCAAGAAGAGAGCGTATAAGTAAGCTATGAAGGTTCCTTCAAGAGCTATGGATGTGATATCTCTGTCTCCTTTGTAATAAGATCTCAAGACTCTATACTGAAACAAGGCTTCGACTCCTGCTAAGCCAAGATTGGTAGGCAGAGCTATAGCCAATGCTGTTGAACTTCTTCCGTGAATAAGAAGACACGCCTTGAGAATGTTTGTGTATCCTCCTGAGGAAGAAGAAGGTGATGAAACCAAGGCTAGATTGGAGATGACAAAGGCGTTTGCGATGATAATCGAGTAGATAATCGGTGAGGATACGGAGAGGAAAGTGTAGAAGTTTCTTGAAGAGAATCCAAAGGCTTCAAGGGTATTGTATGCTAAGAAAAACAGAGCAAAAGCAGAGGCGTTTGCAGCGAGAAGGAAGAAGAAGTTACAAACGTAAGTTTTGAGAAGCCGGAGGTAAAAAACAGAGGAATCTGCAGAGTGATTGTTTGATAGAAGTTTGATGACGTAAGCTTTGGATAAAAGGAGGAAAGTGAGGGAGAAAGGAAGAGTGAATAAAGAGGAAGATAGGGTTTGTGAGAGTTTAAGGCTTAAGATATTGAAGAAATTGTGAGAAGAAGAGAAACCCGCTCCGCGAAAGAGCATGTTCAGCCTCATGTGAAGGGTTGAAGCAGAAGAAGAGAAGAAAGGCTGAGAGAGGAGGAGACCGGCGGAGAAAGGGAGGGCCACGGCGGCTGCGGTGGTGACACGGTGGTAATTTTGGAGGAAAGTGTGAATTGACCTTCTCATGATCTTGCTTGGATCCTCCATTGTCTTTTTCATTCTAGTTTTTGCTATTTCTTTTCTTTGAAGAAGTTTGAAGATGTGTGTTTCTTGAATGATCCACCAAATCTTGAAAGGGTTTTCTCAACGAATTAAGGTACTCTTCCTCTATATATATGTATATAAATATGTAATGATTTTATATTTTATTTTTGCTATAATTTAATTGTGGGTTGGGTGTTAGAGAAGGGAATGGAGATAGGCCAACCGATTTTGCCTGAAGATGAGGAGTTGTTTACTTGTTTAGACAAATTAAATAAAATTAAAACTCTTCTTTTCTTTGTGAAGCAAAGTTTTTGCATGGAATAGGATCTTTCTTGTGAGAGTAAAATAATACATAACACTTCCTTGTTAGGTTTTATTGGGTATAATATAGATTTGATTCGTAGGTAATGTTGTTAGGAGAAATGAATTTCCCTTTAGTGTTTAATTTTGATACATATTTCTTGAAAAGTCTTTTGCTTGTGTGATATGCTTAGTAATTTTAATTGGTTTTGGATGCTTACTATACACTCCATTGTATGTATATACATGTATATTAAATTGTGAGAGAGTGAGTCATGTATTAGTATTCAATTGAAAGCTTAATAATGATAGGTTTGAGGAAACTGGAGGCTTAGCTTTCAAGAAATTGAATAATGATAAGAGCTAAAAAGAGTAAAGTTTTTAATAACCAAATTTAAATTGGTAAAAATGGTGCTCTTTTATGCTTTTTTTCTCATAATGTAAACAACTTAAAATGATTTTTGAGTGAGAAGTTTCCAAACTTTTTGAATTTGTCTTGAGGCGACTAATTGATAATATATATGTTACCAAACCTACTAAGTTTATCTTTAGTGAAAAGTAAGAATGTTTACAAAAAGTCTAGCCTGTCATTTGATAGATTATTAATTACCAATTGTGTTCTTGTAACAATACAATAATATGTAACAAAACCTTGTTAACCAACTTAATAATTTAATAAAATCAAGAGAAAAATATAATTCGATATAAGAGAATCATCAAACTTTGTCCAACCTGTGGCATGCATTTGGTGTGCAGTCTTATTGACTAGGACTTGGTGGTTAGGGAGTTCTCCATTTGCTATATTTTTTTAATTTCTTATTTTCTTATACTATATAATTTTATATATCCTATCGTTCCTTATTATCCACTCTCAATAATTTTCTTTAATTAATGGCATATTGATATAATTTAGGCATGATCCATTAATTATTGAGTTTCATTAGAAGAACAACATAAACGAGAAAATAAACATGGAAATTTGCAATTTTATTTTCATATCTGTTTAGTTGAACGTTTATCAGGTAACACATTTTATGTATAAATCTACATAAGTCCATGGAGAAAGAAAACTCAAAAAACTGTAAATGCCAGGATCATAAATGGAGTAATCTACTTGTAATTAGGTATTAGTCTACTAATAATTGGAGTTAAACCATTTTATAAAGTGAGCTATAGTGTTTGATTCTAAGCTACTTCAACAAAAAAAGAACTCGACCGTACATATATATGTGTAAAAGCAAGAACATAGACTCAAAACATTTTTTTATATGTTATTTATACTGACGGTATCATACGAATATTCATTCTAATTTTTTTAGTTATATATAAATTATGTAGTGTTAAAGAAAAGTATACGTCCATCAATAATAATTGATTTTTTGGCGTCGCCATGACTGTTGAACTTCTGTTTTTTGTTATTTGCTAATGTTGATGTGTTTTTTTTTTTTGCATTATCACAGTTTTAAATTATTTCTGATAAATTTTATCATTTAGTAACATCAATAGAAGCATTATTGTATTCTTTACGAAGTGTGTTTATATTTATGTTAGAATTAAAAAATAATTATGGTAGAATCTCACAAAGGTTGTAGTGTTGGTCTTGTTTAGTACAACGGAACATCTAACAGATCACTAACAAGTAACAACATTATGGTTAGGTAAATTACCAAAACGATTCCTTCTTGTTGGCGTGCCTCTTTCTTATACTACCGTCATTTAAGTGTTCTAATTTTATTTTATTTCTTGACAAAAAGTGTTTTATTAGTTATTCCCCCTATTTCAAAATAAATAATATTTTTAGATTTTTTTTTCAATTTAAGTGATATTTTCACTTTTTATTGCAAAATTTATTAATCTTAATGTTATTTGACTATTTGTATTATGTAATTTGTTTTATCATTCAAAACATATAGTTTACTTAATAATCAACTATTTTTGTATACATCACACATTATGATTTAGTTTAATGTTTTTTCTTATCAACAATATGCATAGTTTGAATTTGAGTGACGATACAACGACATTAAGACAAACTATGTCGATGTCATGATCTCATATAGTTACTTTTTAATTGATCAATAAATATTGGTCACATAATTTTTGTAGCAAGTCAAAACCGATAGGATGAATATGGATCCTATCAATTTTGTTTTTGTCATAAAGGAAATACTTCAAAAATATTGAACTCTGGTATGGTGGGATTAGAAGGACCTCCAAAACTTAGAATGGACAATATGCTACCACCAAATCTAAAGTCAACATTCCTCACACCTTTGTTCGTTTTTATTGTTCTTCTTTAGTTAACTTCAACATGCCACAGGTTAAACTTATGATGTAGACAATTATAACGAGAAAGTTACAAATTATATTTTATATTTCTAAATCTACATTCACAACGATAATTAACAAAGCATTTTAATGTACAATTAGATATCGATTAAATAATTAATCTCTTAAAATATAGTATTTGATATTTTTTATACCATCACCATCTCACCATTATTACCACATATAATTTGAATAACGAAGAACCAATCAATCATTGTTTAAATGTGATTTTGGATAGTGTTGTTTTATCAACCGATCCAGAGTATTGTGACATGTAATCTACCTAATCAATTATACACCTTGAGTTGATGCAACTTATTATACATGTAACTCTATATAGCATAAAATACACATCAAGATAGAAAAGTATAACCAGTACTAAAACAAAACCGTTATTTGTTTCACTCATGGACGTAGAATATAATTCCTTGATGTATAACCGTATCAAAGACTTTATAATAGAATCTTAAAAGAGATTATAAAATAAAGTTACCTCTGTAGTTTAACTCTAATGATTTATATGATTAGTCTTTGTCAACACGAGTACTTATTTATATAACTAGAATGATTAAAACTGTTTAAGAATCACGTGCAACTACGGCTGTATGCCTGGATTATTTACTTGTGATCTGTAAAGCTATGGTCAATCCAAAATAAAACTATATGCATATGGTTTATTGTATAAATTAAATCTTAAGAGTTATCCAAAGTTAAGTTGACTTAGAAATAATCAATAAGACGAACAAGTCGTAGTTCAATAGAGCTATATTTGAAATAATTATCGAATTATAAGAAACAAACAAAGAGTATTTTACCAAAAAAAAAAAACAAACAAACAAAGAGTAGTTTACAAAAATAATACTGCATGGTTGGATGCGCGCGTTAAAACAAAAAAAAAAAATACTGCATGGTTGGTACATATATATTAAGTATAATTGATATTCCCATTTTAAATACGATTTATGATGTATACGCATCACCATCCGATCTATTCTAAAATTTTAAAATATAGACAAGTCTCGCTTGCTGTATTTATGTGTAGTGAAAATAATTTTATTTACTAGTCAAATAATAAACTATTTATTTTTCCATCTTATATTATTCAAAAATTTCATGATGTTTAATAATTAGGAGTAATCAATTTCATAATGTTAGGAATCCATATCTATTCAAAATCCCATGAAAAAGATGAAGAACAATTAGAATGTTTTTCTTGGATTTTTTTCTTTAAAGAAAAAAGCTCTGGAAAAAAGGTTTTTGAAGGTGCAAATAAAATTTGTTAGCCCAAATTAAAGAACCACTTTTAGGCTTTTTCAGCCTATAAAATTCGGACAGATCATAGGACGGAGAATGTTTCTCTTAACATGAACCGGCCAGGCCTAAATACTAAGCCAATTTGCACAAATAAGACAAGTCATAATCTTTTTTTTTTCAAATTCATTAATATGTTTGTCTTCGTTGGATCAAAAACCTATACCAGCAATATGGGCTCGTATGATAATTTCAATGGATTATGGTCCAAAACTATGCGTGTGAAATATTTTATTATGATATAGGTTTATTAATATATACTTTTGAAAATGATTAAAAGTGCCGTCTTAGCTCAGTGGTAGAGCGCGTGGCTTTTAACCACGTGGCCGTGGGTTCGATCCCCACAGACGGCGAAATTTTCTAGCATTTCAGAGAAACCTGACTTTTGAGGTCCCGTTTTGAGCTATTAATAAGCGTCCACAAACAAGTAGATTTATTGATTTTTTTTTGTTATAATAATTGAGATTATAAATAAAATGAAAAATCTGGGTGTTTCTGTAATGAAAATATTATTCAATCTTAAACCGAAAAAGAGCTAAACATGGCTTCACTAATTTAGAACAAAAATGAACATTATATTTAAACACTGAAAAAAACTATAGTTATCGTTAATGGAGGATAAGAGTTTGAAATCTTTTAACTGCCTACCAATTTAGTTCCTCACTTCTTTTTTTTTTCCGTTTTGTAATAGTAAACTCAAAAAAACATATCCAAAAACATTAATTAAGCTTTTGACTAAAAAATCAATTCTCTTGTTTCAATAAACAAAAATATTTCTTACACTTTTGCACGTAGCTCCCATAAACGTGCTTCCAACAAAACATATTCAAACATTATTAAATTAAGATCAATAAAACAAAGATCGTAAATGGTATCTCCGTCCGCAAGTTTTAAGTAGTTTTCGTTCAAAATTTTAAAACCATTCGTTTTGATTATGCTAAACCTCTAATTCTCTCCTTCCTCCTCCACCGCCACTTTCAAATCCTCGCCGGAAATTATGGGAGGAGATTTTCGTCATTTCTCCTCCCACGTGTCTCTTCTCTTCTTCATCCTTCTCGTCGTCAAATCCAGTTCCTCATTTACTCCTGCTGATAATTACCTCATCGATTGTGGCTCCTCCGGCGAAACAAAACTCTCCGACGGTCGTAACTTCAAATCCGATCAACAATCCGTCGCGTTTCTTCAAACAGACGAAGACATCAAAACCTCTGTCGACTCAATCCCGATCTCCGACTCCAATTCTAGTACCCTTCCCTTATACTTAACCGCTCGAATCTTCGCCGGAAAATCAACTTACTCTTTCTACATTTCACGACCTGGTCGTCACTGGATCCGTCTCCATTTTTATCCTCTCAATCATCCTCTCTACAATCTCACAAACTCCGTATTCTCCGTCACCACCGACACCACCGTTCTCTTACATGATTTCTCCGCCGGAGACACTTCTTCGATCGTCTTCAAAGAATATCTAATCTACGCCGCCGAGAAACTCTCTCTCTATTTCAAACCACATAAAGGCTCCACGGCTTTTATCAACGCCGTTGAAATCGTCTCCGTTCCCGACGAGCTTGTCCCGGATTCTGCTTCCTCTGTTCCTCAAGCTCCTGATTTCAAAGGCTTAAGTAGCTTCTCTCTTGAGATCCTTCACCGGATAAACATCGGCGGCGATTTGATTTCTCCGAAAATTGATCCTCTCTCACGCACTTGGCTCTCTGATAAACCTTACAATTCGTTCCCTGAAGGTTCGAGAAATGTCACCGTTGATCCAAGTACGATTACTTATCCAGACGGCGGAGCCACGGCGTTGATTGCTCCTAATCCGGTTTATGCCACGGCGGAAGAAATGGCGGATGCACAAACTTCGCAACCTAATTTCAATCTTTCATGGAGAATGAGCGTTGATTTTGGTCATGATTACTTCATTAGGCTACATTTTTGTGACATTGTAAGCAAATCGCTCAACGATCTCGTCTTCAATGTTTTCATAAACAAGCTCTCTGCAATCTCTGCACTTGATCTCTCTTCACTAACCAACGCTTTAGGCACGGCGTATTACGCGGATTTTGTGCTTAATGCGTCTGCGATCACCAATGGCTCGATCTTGGTTCAAGTTGGTCCTACTCCGAATCTTCACTCGGGTAAACCGAATGCCATTCTTAACGGTTTAGAGATCATGAAGCTGAACAATGCTGCCGGGAGTTTAGATGGGCTTTTCGGGGTTGATGGGAAATACAAAGGACCTATTGGTGGGATGTCCTCTAAGAAGCTTGCGATTGCGGGTATCGGATTTGTGATGGCGTTAACCGCGTTGTTAGGGGTTGTTGTGTTGCTTGTTAGATGGCAGAGACGTCCTAAAGATTGGCAAAAACAGAATAGTTTCTCGTCATGGTTGCTTCCTTTGCACGCAAGTCACTCAAGTTACATCTCGAGCAAAGGCGGGTCTACGTCGAGGCGGATGAGTATTTTCGGGTCAAAGAAAAGCAAAAGCAATGGATTCTCTAGCTTCTTCTCGAACCAAGGATTAGGACGGTACTTTCCCTTTACTGAACTACAGATCGCTACGCAAAATTTTGATGAGAATTCTGTGATTGGAGTCGGAGGATTCGGAAAAGTCTACATAGGAGAAATTGATGGTGGAACGCAGGTCGCGATCAAAAGAGGGAGTCAGAGTTCAGAGCAAGGGATAAACGAGTTTCAGACAGAGATTCAAATGCTGTCTAAACTTAGACACAGACATTTGGTGTCTTTAATCGGATTTTGCGATGAAAACAAAGAGATGATTCTCGTATACGAATACATGTCAAACGGTCCTCTGCGTGACCATCTATACGGCTCCAAAGAAAATGACCCCAACCCTATTCCTACCTTGTCCTGGAAGCAACGTCTAGAGATCTGCATTGGATCAGCGCGTGGACTCCACTATCTCCACACGGGTGCAGCACAAGGGATCATCCACCGTGACGTCAAGACCACCAACATTCTCTTGGACGAGAATCTAGTCGCTAAAGTTTCTGATTTTGGACTTTCAAAAGATGCCCCTATGGAACAAGGGCATGTAAGTACCGCGGTGAAGGGTAGTTTCGGATACTTAGACCCCGAGTACTTTCGCAGACAGCAACTCACTGATAAATCTGATGTTTACTCGTTCGGTGTGGTGTTATTCGAGGTTCTTTGCGCGAGGCCAGTGATAAACCCACAGTTACCTAGAGAACAAGTAAACTTAGCAGAATATGCTATGAATTTGCATAGAAAAGGTATGTTGGATAAAATCATCGATCCGAAAATCGTGGGAACGATTAGTAAAGGGTCGTTAAGAAAATTCGTGGAGGCTGCAGAGAAATGTTTGGCCGAGTACGGGGTTGATCGGCCTGGAATGGGAGATGTGTTGTGGAATCTTGAATATGCTTTGCAACTTCAAGAAGCGTCGGCTCAAGTTGATTTGTCTGAGGATAAAACTACAATGAATATTGAAATGGATTATATTCCCGGCGAGGAAATGCAAACTCCATCGCATTCTGTGGTGTGACGGTGGCGGTTTCAATGTTAAACTTTGCTTGGTTTTTTTTTTTTAACATGTTTAGTTTGGCTTTCAGAAAGATGTAGGATTTAAGAAAGCCTTTTGATTTGTTTTTTCTTTCTTTTTTTCTTAAATGCAGTTTTAGTTTATTTCTTTCCTTTGATTTGAAGGAAATGAGATTTTTTTTTTACTTGTGATCATTTTAAAAAGACATGGGGTTGTCTTGTAGATTATGTTGTGTATACTTTGTTTGATGATAATGAATTTTCCCTTTCTTCCACCAAAAAATACATTTATATATATGAAATTGGGATGAAGAGTTGGTGGAACATGGAAGCTAGTTTTGCAATGAACCATCTCAAATATCTAGGATAGTAGGATCTAATTGGTAAACCTTGGAGTGATGGATATTTCAGTGATTTTGCAAGTTCTTACTAATTATATTTTGCATTCATTGGATACATGATTCCGTAAATTCTGTAACATCAATTCTCTATAAGCCACATTTATGTGGAAGATTACTTGTATTGTGGGGTGCACGAATGGAATGATCAATATAATTTTCTTCCGAAAATTAGAATGATGGTTGGATATAATGTAACGTTTCTGCCACCACTATTTGTGGTCCATAATTCTACTTTCAATATTATTTTTAAAAACTTGGCAAGATTGTTTCATGTTATACTTACTTACACGATACCAAAAATTACTTTTCATTAGAGCATCAATTGTTATCATATTATAATTACGATCAGTTCCCGTAATTAGTATATAGATAAGCTTAATTATTTTGGTTATATAAATACCTAGCTAATTCAAAATTTCAAAACTTTTCCGTATACACCACAATATTCATAAAATCAAGATACATAAATATACTGAATCTAATTTTTAATACAACAAAGTAAATAAAATCTAATTTGTAATTATTTTGGCAAATAATTAGGGCTAATTTGTGAAGAACAAAAAGTAACGAATCAATGAACGTAAACACAGAGGCTGGACTCCGCTCGTGTGCCGATGTTTGAAACTTTGAGTGTGTGCCGATGTTTGAAACTTTGAGTTTCAGGTAGGCTCCGCCATCGCTCCTTTGTCAGGAACAAACCCTAAATAAACCAGAGATGGTGGAAGGTGAAAACTTTGACTGCGAAGAACAGAGGATCACACACTTTGATCTGAGAAACGAGCCCCAGTTTCCAATGGTTTTCGTTAGAGAATCGACTGATTTCGCTAAGGACGATATCTCTATCTTCCCGCCGATCAACCACGAGAATCTCTACATCGACGGATTCGATAAGGACCGAGAATCTCCGTCGGAATCCTCCTCTCCTTCATCTTCGTCGAGACTCTCAGATTCTTCCTCGTCTCCGTCCTATTCAGACGAACAATTTCAATTTTGTCGGAAATCGCATTCTCAGCCGTCAGAAGTTGTCGGGAAATATCGGTGGAAATCCATAATTGAGATTGATATTATCCAAGTTTGGTGGAAGATTCTTCTCGCTCGAGTAACGCCAAATTTCCAGAATTTGGTGACTTTCTTCTCCAGGAATAGTCTCTGTTCCTTCTCGAAGACTCTCCGGTCATTTTATCCGGTCATGGTCATAGTAATTTGGTGGTGGATGCGTAACCGAACTCGCCGGCGACTTCAAAAAGGAGAAATCATCGCAACTCACCTTAGAGATACTATCAAAGAGAGAGACGAGGTTTGGAATCTCTTTCCTGCTCTGTTTTTTTTATTCTTACCATGTGTTCGACGAAATGTCAATAAGACACAAAATAACAGTTTACATTACATTTCTCGTTTCTAACAGTTTCTTTCGGTTTCTCTGGTTTTGTGTTTTCTGCAGAGAATAGCTCAGCTCTTGCATCAGATTACTCAGATGAATGAGTTACTAGTAAAAATAACACATTCGAATTGATCAGAATATTCTTCTGTCTTCTTGTGTTGTATTCTTCTCTTTCTTAGTTTCAGAATAAGAATCAATGAGACAAAGAGAACAACAAAAAAATCTCACATCTTACCTTAGTTTTTTGTGATACATGGCTAGAAAACATCATCATTGCCGCAGATTCTTCTTCTTTGTCTTGCTCCTGCGTTTCGGTTTTGGTTTCAGTTTTGGCTTTTTTTTGTTCATTGTAGCGTGAATCTTCAAGTTTAGTGCACGACGATCCACCATTGCAGCCTCTTCTTTCTTCTTCATAGGTTTGAAAACCTCTGTGACAGATGGATCAAGCAAAATAATGGAGCAACTAAGTGTAACATTAAGTGACATTGCCTCTTCCCAAAGCTCTTTTCCTTTCTCAAAGTTTCCTCCTTTACATAGTTTTGGAATGAGCAGATCATAAACCGGACCATAACCATCCACTGAGCTTCTCTTCATCTTCTCAAACAATTGAAGTGCAAAATTTACCCGCTCGACCCCACAAAGAACCCCGATCAGATCATAATAGAATTTGCGTTCGGGTCTCAGTCCTCTCTCGATCATCTCATCCACAATTTGGTTTCCTTTACCAAACCTTCCTGTCAAATACAGAACCCTCACAACGAAGTAATAGCTGGCTGTATCGGGATCACATCCCGATCTCTTCATCTGTTCTAAAATCTGGCAAGACTCTCTCACCCTTCTTGTCCTTCCTAGACAAGAAAGCAATATGTTGTAACTAATAGACGTAGGTTGGATTTTGTAAGACCTCATCTCCAACATAATATTCAAAGCTTCAGGAACAAGCCCAGATGGGTTTCGATTCACGTTTCTTTCGCAGAGGCAGGTAAGCAACGAGTTGAAACAGAACAAATCCGGTGTAATCCCGGCTGATTTCATATCTTGTATAACTCTTCTTGCTTCCTTCAAGTTTCTTTGTACCGACCACCCGAATAAAAGACTTCTATACACAGACAATTCATTCCCTGAGATTACATCCTTGTGATGATGCATAACTCCCAATGCTCTCTTCACATGTCCTCTGGAACAGAGCGCACTTATAATAGCCGTCACAGTGAAGCTATCTTGTGGGCATGAAAACTTGTCCAAGATCTTGAAGATACCTGTTGCATCTTCTTCCTTACCAATCTTAACCAGAGTTTCAGCGACAATGCTAAACGTTTGCTTGTCCATCGCCCGATTCTCCTTCCTGAGATCTGATAAGAGTATCTGAATAGCTGTGTGATCCTTCTTCTCAGCCAAAACTCTTAGGACATGGTTGAACTCCTTGTCGTGTACACTAGATCCCAGGCTTTTACACGACCAGGAGAAAAATCTCAACAACCTTCTCGGTGAAGTCTCGTTCTTGCAAGAATCAATCACTTGGGTAACAAGGTTGGATGATGGAGAAACCGAAACCTGGTTCAAGTTTTCTTCAAGGTCATCTAGACCACCAATTGGGGAAGAAACAATTCGTATAACTTCCTGCAACTCCGTCGATGCGTGGTCTGATTGATCTACCAAATGATGAGAGCAAAAATAACGTGTCAGCTTTGTTGTATTCGTTACAAACACAATCCCGTTTGATCTGACTGTGGACCTCATCTTCTCTGGGGAATTTCATCAAACACGTGGAATGCATAAGGTTCTCGATGACCGAGAGAGATACACCATTGAAAGGGCTGTAAGATTTTCTCCTCAGTTACATGTTTCTCAGAGTACTCACAGCTTCAGTGAAATTTCTTCAAGCAACACGAAATTCAGATTCTACTAAAAGACCTGATTTTGCAGAACTCTAGAGACCGCACGCAATATATACATTTGTGACAGTGCCCGCGTGTCTGAAAGGGGTACTTTGGTCTTTTAGATGTCATCCTTGTTAGATTAGAACCGGGATCGGACCGGATAAAACCGAGAATCGGGACACGATGGTTCTAAGTCAAATTCTAACCGGAATGATTACTGCGAAGGCCGGCGATACATCATAAAAATCGAAGGCCGGCGATAAAATAAAAATAGTAATGAAATTGCATGAATAATTTAACACGATAATAAATTAATTTGGTCAATGGTCGATGCAAAACGTAATAAAAGTTGGACCGGGACAAAACGTGTCTTGCGGTAAATGAAGTCGAAATATTTCATGCATCATTGGTCCACTTGTACAAACGGGATTAGCTGCTTTATAGAGCCAATCGGTGATAAATATTAGCTTGTCGACTACTAAAAACGTTTACCCTACCAATTAACTCTCTCTATGATTATGACAACTTAATTATTTGTTTCCCAACAACTGATGATGAGATTAACCATCGTGCTAATGTCCTGTTTACATGACTATTTGCACATACATTATTACAAGGTATAATTATATAAAAAAAAACACTTGAAAATTTGTTAAAACATCTAATTTCAAAGACAAGAACATGTCATTTAGCTTGATTTTCAACCACTTTCAGAAGTAAATGAATCATAATGCCTAAATCATCTACAACAACCATGAAAGGAGTGTTATAATTATAAATCAAACTGTGTTTTCATCTATCCATTGCTTTTAGAAAGTCTCATCATAATAAGGAGTCTTTATGATGCGATGTTATAAAAGTAAAATTTTCTGTAATTTTTTTTTTTATTAATTAAATAACAGGAAAAAAAACATCTGATAATAGATTTTCTTGTTGTTTTTAATATATTTTAATCAATGAAACGAAGCCGAATACCTAAAGTTTGGTTTCTGATGGTTTGGTCTGATCTGGTCATATATGTATTTTTAAAAGATTTCCAATCTTTTCTCTGTCGATATTTTGATATGTTTTGTTGATTTTGATATGGAGATGCATCTTCTTATCTTGTGTTGTGTCCACCATAATAATATCAAAACAAAAATAAATATCATTAGATATTTTCCTCAAGATGACGTGGCCTTTTCTCTATCTCAACCAAACTATCCAACACCACTTTTTTTTATATGGCTGCACTTTTTATAGTCCACGTCATCTCCTTGGCCTAAAATATCCCAAGTCCCCACCCATTAAGCTAACGCGTAAGAAAAAGTCTCAATCTCCACCGTCCAATTCTATCCACTGTCAACGGTCTCAGATTTACCATCTCTCTCACATTTGCTTCTTTTTTCGCGTCTCATAATTTGACCATTGATTGACAAAACAAAACTATGAGTCTTCTTTCTCTTCTCACTTCTCTTGTCGGAAATTCACCTTCTCTCTCTCTCCTCCTCATCTCACCGCCGGCGTTACGCCGGATCTCCGGTGACTTTTGTTGAGCTTTTTTGTCGATTCTTGATTCGATATAGCAACAAAAGAATTTCACTTTTTTGTCTTTTTCAGCTCTTTGTTCTTAGATTTAGCTTTTTTTTTGTTCTTATGGATAAAGGATTAGGTTGGGGGATTAAAAGAGTAGTTTTTGTTTGGTTGTGAGGTTACTTGACTTTGTAGAGGATAAATTAGGCGACTTTGTAGGGACACTGTACCGAAAACCCTAGTTCTGATTTGGCCATGGAAGTATCATAGCACTTACTTTTGTCGGTTTTATTTGTTCTACTTTTGTATATCTGTTTTTTTGGTTAGGGAAGATAGTTTTCTGTGATTAGATATTTTTTGGTGGGTTTAGCTGTTAATCTGATCATGGATTTGAACGGTGAGTGTAAAGGAGGAGATGGGTTTATTGATAGAAGCAGAGTTAGGATTTTGCTTTGTGACAATGATTCCAAGAGCTTGGGAGAAGTTTTCACTCTCCTTTCAGAGTGTTCTTATCAAGGTATGATTGCCAAAGATCCTCTTTTTACTTTGTTATTTGTTGCCAAGTTGGGATTACTACTTTAGATTACAGATCTATTTAAGGTTCTTGTTGTCTGGCTTTTTGAGTCAGTATGGTTCATCGGTCAGATGTGATCAAGAAGTTTTTGAATGCATCTATAGTGTGTATTGCTTTATTTTGTACACTTTGTTTGAGTGTTTGTTGTTCAAGACTAAATGATGATATATTGGGTGAATTGTTTTTATTTTTTTTGGAATGCAGTGACTTCAGTGAAATCAGCAAGGCAGATGATTGATGCCCTTAATGCAGAGGGACCTGATATCGATATAATACTGGCTGAAATTGATCTCCCAATGGCTAAGGGTATGAAGATGCTGAGGTACATCACACGCGACAAAGATCTTCGGAGAATCCCTGTGATAAGTGAGCTGTGTTCTTTACTGTTCTTCTCGTTTTATTATCTATTCGTGGAGTTGTATTTTCTCTGCTTATCAAAGTGATTTTACAGCATGATCATTAGCTTTATGCTAAATAATCTTATAATATTCTCTATTTAAGTGATGTCGAGGCAAGACGAAGTCCCTGTCGTTGTAAAGTGCTTGAAGCTAGGTGCAGCTGACTACCTTGTGAAGCCTCTTCGGACCAACGAGCTTCTGAACTTGTGGACACACATGTGGAGAAGAAGACGCATGGTTTGTTTTGCTTGTCTCAAGTTCTCTCTACGCGTCTTACTGTCTTTTACGCATTTATTGATAGCATAACTTTCATGTCTGTCTGTCATCTTCTGGAAATAAAAGACCTCTATGCGTCATATGTTTGTTTTGGCAGCTAGGACTTGCTGAGAAGAATATGCTGAGCTATGATTTTGATCTCGTGGGATCTGATCCAAGTGATCCAAACACAAATAGTACTAATTTGTTCTCTGACGACACAGATGATAGAAGTCTTAGGTCCACCAACCTGCAGAGAGGAAATTTAAGTCACCAGGAAAATGAGGTGAGAAAGTATTTGACAGTTTAAAGCCCTCTGAAAATGGAGAAGAACTGATTTTTTAGCTTGCACTCATGCTTTTGCTGGTAGTGGTCTGTTGCTACTGCTACTGCTCCTGTTCATGCTGGTGATGGTGGTCTTGGTGCTGATGGAACAGCCACTTCTTCTCTTGCTGTTACTGCTATAGAGCCTCCATTGGATCATCTTGCTGGGTCTCACCATGAGCCAATGAAAAGAAATAGTAATCCAGGTGAATGTTTCCCTTTGATGTCGCACTTTCTAATAGCTAGTCTCTAAAAAGGTTTACCTTTGTATTAGTGAATTCTAATATAGTAGGGGTTTTTGCAGTGCAATTTTCTTCAGCACCAAAGAAAAGTAGATTGAAGATCGGAGAGTCCTCTGCTTTCTTTACATATGTCAAATCTACTGTCCTTAGAACTAACGGTCAGGATTCTCCTCTTGTCAATGGAAATGGTTCACTTCATCTTCATCGGGGTTTGGTGGAGAAGTTTCAAGCGGTGGCTAGTGAAGGGATCAACAACACCAAACAAGCACGCGGAACAACACCAAAATCTACAATCTTTAGAACTAACGGTCAGGATCCTCCTCTTGTCAATGGAAATGGCTCACTTCATCTTCATCGAGGTTTGGCGGAAAAGTTTCAAGCGGTGGCTAGTGAAGGTATCAACAACACCAAACAAGCACGCGGAAGTAGAGAGAACGAGAAATACCATTCTCAAGGAGAGAACTTACAGAATGGTGCCAGCTATCCACATTCCCTTGAGCGGTCACGCACGCTTCCCACGTCAATGGAATCTCATGGTAGGAACTACCAAGAAGGAAATATGAATACTCCCCAAGTTGCTATGAACAGAAGTAAAGATTCGTCTCAAGTTGATGGATCGGGTTTCTCTGCACCAAATGCCTATCCTTACTATATGCATGGGGTCATGAACCAAGTTATGATGCAATCAGCAGCCATGATGCCTCAATATGGTCATCAACTTCCTCATTGCCAACCAAATCATCCGAATGGAATGACGGGATATCCTTATTACCACCACCCAATGAACACATCATTGCAGCATAGTCATATGTCTTTACAGAATGGTCAGATGTCTATGGTTCATCATTCTTGGTCACCGGTAGGAAATCCGTCTACTAATGAGGTGAGGGTAAGTAAACTTGACAGAAGAGAGGAAGCTCTGCTGAAATTTAGACGTAAAAGGAACCAACGGTGTTTTGATAAGAAGATTAGGTATGTGAATAGAAAACGCCTTGCTGAGAGGAGACCGCGTGTTAAGGGTCAGTTTGTTAGGAAGATGAACGGGGTGAATGTTGATCTAAATGGACAGCCTGACTCTGCTGACTATGATGACGAGGAAGAGGAGGAAGAAGAAGAAGAAGAGGAGAATCGGGATTCATCTCCGCAGGATGATGCTCTGGGAACTTGAAGAAACATCAAGAACTGAAAACCATGTTGTGTTCATACCTATTTGCTTGCATCTTATCAAACAACACAAGATGTTGATCGACTGACACGAAAAGGATGCTGCTCCTACAGTAAAAAAACATAGGATATGGAGTCCGCTCGAAGGAAATGTTGGCTCTTGCTGCTCAACTTTGGCAGAGCATTGAAAAGCTCTCTGTGGATGTAGCTTAGTTCGTTGATAAACATATTATGTGTTTTTGTATCATGTTCACTCACATTCTCTCAGTAAGAAACTAAGATGTATTAACCTTTCTTCTCCTTCCAGCATCATTTACTTGAATCTTGCTTTTTCTTCGTTTCATCACCTGTTTAACGAATATATAATTGCTCCATGGAAAGATAAAAAAAGAGACGTGTGTTCCATAACTTAAAGCTTCTCTCTTTACTCATGGACACAAGACTACAAATGAAATTCGGTACAAACAAGAAGCATATGAAAATCTAAATCTGGATTGCAAGTAATTTGAAACTAAGAACAGAATCAGCTATATATCTACTGTCAGGAACAGCAGTAGTTATATAGTCTGTTATTGTAAAACAACTAAGATTTATGTGTGTTTCTTTCATGACTACATAAATAAATCTCTACAGTCCACTAAACTCTGATTTCTTTAGTCTCTATGGTGGGCCATTGAGTAAGGTTTACTAATGTATAACAAGCTTTCTAGCAACTAGACGAATTCCAGCTCTCTGCTGATAATCATATGGCTCCAGAGACAAGAAAGCATCGAGAACAGTTCCCGGATTCAACAAAGACTCAATCTCCCCAGCCTTCGGGTTGCTTGAAATGAGTTTCTGAGTAGCAATAGCTCCAGAGAACTCTTTCTGGTGTATCTCAGCTGCATACCGGTCTACATCTCCATTTAACTCTGTCGGTATACTGCACAAAGAAATAATCAGGAAAAACTAAGCAAACATGGTATCTAAATGAAATAAGTAAAGGAGATATATAGAAAACCTACTGTATCCTTGCGGTGGGACAGTTCAGAAATCCTTTCATTGGAATGACCGCAGGGTTCCAGTCAGAATCGCTGCCTGAATCAACAGATATTGTCTGTGCAGCATTGTCACATTCTTGAAGTACGTTGCTGAGACTTGGATACAGATCAACTACAAAGTTCAACCTCCGTCTCCCAGCTTTATCCATAAATTTCCCATTGATTCCAAACCGTACTTTCAGATGAGGACAATGGAGCTGAAGGGGTCTGTCCCCAAGGCAGAGCTGTACCTTCATTGTTTGACTCCCGTCATATAATGGGACATGAGTTGCTCTGATACTTGAAATAGACATTTTATCTAGCTCCAAGAATCTTTCCTGGTCACAGGTACCCTCAGAGGTAACAGTCTCAGACTGCTGATTTTGTTCTTCTTCCATGGGAACATCTGATTGAAGAACCTCTGGGGCTATTTCGTTCCTCAAAGTGCTCATATCAAACGGATCCGTTTGAGCTTCTGCGGATGAAACAAATGATAAAATAGGTATAGTTGTACTATTCTCTCCTGTCTGATGATCAGCAGGAGATTGCAGAGGAGATGTTTTGATATTCCTACGCCTTCTTGAACTTGTTTCTGGAGTAGTAGTAGTAACCGAGTTCTCTATTAGTTCATCTGGAAGACTGGACTCCTGTTGAAAAATAGCATGTTTCTGAATTAGCTCCTCATAGTTACATCACTAAAATCTCTATTCTAAAAAAACCTGCGACAGAGCGACTGGGACACAACACAAGGTAATCAAAATCGAAGAGATAAAGAGAGCATACCAAGAACAAAACAGTGGCACAATACTTGAGAACCTCGAGATTCATCCTGACATCGTCCAGACTCCTTAAGAAATAACAAAAAGCATACAAGCATTAGAACTCAACCGGCTTATTAAAACACCGTAATGCAAAATAGCTCGCATATTTAAATACCTATGCGTCTGGTTGCCAAGTCCAAAGTATGCAGCCAAAGTCGCCATCTGTTCAAACAAAGTCCACAGGAAAACAGAATAAGCATCCATCAAAATCGTCAAATTCGAATTCAAGAGCTCATTTCCATCAAGTATATTCAAAATACACAGATCAAGATCAATCATGACTCTGCTTATACGAGAAGAAATCATTTCAAAACAAAAAAAAAAGAAAAAACTCAGCACCAGATATCATAATTATTACCTTCATATCACCAGCTCTTCTCCCAAACCTTTGAGTAAGCAAAGCCAACGAGTCAATAGTGCCCTTTGGCTCAGGTGGATCTCGTCCAATCTCAGCAAATGCTTCTCTTATCCTTGGACAATCAAACTTCAATATGTTGTGACCTGCCCATATCCTTCCTACAAAATGAACCCAAAAACCAGAACATCAACACACCTGAACAAAGCTCAAATTGTGACATTTTCATCTCCATTTGGACACAGAAACCCAAAAGAAGAGATTTTTTTTGCTTGTAGTTCAAATTCAGTCGTACCGTACACCAAATAAAAGAGACGAAATTTAAAAAAGAAGGAAGAAGAAGAAGAAAGTTCCCAACCATGGAGAATATCGTAAACAGTATCGGCGATATCTGCAAACGTAGGAGCTGATTCAACGTCTTCTCGTTTGATGCCGTTGCACTTCACGGAGCGAGGCGTGATGAGCTTGAGATTAGCGGGTCGAACCAGGACAGAGTAGTTTCGAAGCTCCACAAGCTTCTTGGGGCAAACCAGGATCGATCCAAACTCTAGAATCGCGTACCCTTGACCAACTCGGAACGGAATTGTCGTCTCGACGTCGAAAAAGGCAATCTTTGAACGATCCTCAGCTGGAGTTAGACCAACCATTGTTAAAGGGTCGGATCGAATTGAGCGGAAAATGTGAAAAAGGATTCAACTTTATATCGAAATTGAGCAGAGATTTATATGAAGAAGATAACTTGGTAAGGTGGGTTTTCTTCTTTGCCCAATTTGCTAGGAAAAGGCCAGCTTCTCTTTCTCTGTCGGTTTCCTAACAATATATATTTTTGGTTTAGATTGTTTTACATGTAAAGATTCTTTTTTCAAGTTCAAAGTTTTTTTTTTTAAAGAAGGGAAAATATATTACTGGTCAAACAATGAAATTTTATAACATAAACTAAGAAATGGGAACAATGAAAGTACATTGTTGTGTTATACAGTTTCTAGTGCATCGCCCCTAGTCCCTTGACTCTGTGTTTAACCAATTTTGGCTATTTTGCTTACATACCAAAATGCATCAAATTACTTTATTTTCACTCTGTTTTAATGACTGTTTCACAACTGATGATTGATGAATAAACTCCTCATGTGGTTTGTTTGAAATTTGTTATAGTGCAGATTCACATAAGCTTGATAAGAATTGGGAGAATTATGATGTTTTCTTGACAAAGAATTGGGAGAGTTATGATGTTTTTTTGCATTGTAACGATTAACGAACACAAATTACGAAGATTAGTTTTGGTTATAAAATTGATCTAATAATTCAATATTAACCGGAATAAACCACCGAGAGTATTGTACCATTACGAAGTGGGAAAGGAGTTCTCTCAGTTTGACCAGCAGATTCGTACAATCTCTTCTACAGATGTTGAAGCTTCTGCTTCTCCAACATAGAACTTCTTCACCTTACTTCTGCAAGTTCCAATTTTTCACCTTTAGATTGTTCTCTCAGTCTCCTTCTCTGTCAAATTCAGCTTCTTCGTTGCTCTCTTTGTCGTCTTCGAGTCTGGCTGAAGCAATACTGAAATGCAGATCAGCGGAAGAAGCGTTCAAGCTGTTCGAAACGTCTTCGATATCTCGAGTCTCGAAGACAACGGATCTCCAATCTTTTTCGGCAGTAATTCATGTTTTAACCGGAGCTCACAAGTACACGCTCGCCAGGTGTTTGATAAAACGCCTCATAGAACGTCACAGTGAGCCGACTAACGTTTCTCATAGAGTTTTCAATGCTCTCGAAGATATTCAGAGTCCAAAATTCAGTATCGGAGTGTTTAGTCTATTGATTATGGAGTTTTTGGAGATGGGTTTGTTTGAAGAAGCTCTTTGGGTGAGTCGAGAGATGAAATGTTCACCGGATTCGAAAGCTTGTCTTGCGATTTTGAATGGATTGGTTAGTAGGAGAAAGTTTGATTCAGTTTGGGTTGATTACCAACTTATGATCTCTCGTGGGTTGGTCCCTGACGTCCACATTTACTCAGTTTTGATTCAATGCTGTTTCAAGCAACGTTTTCCCTCCAAGAAAGAGAAACTTTTTGATGAAATGACGTCGTTAGGGATCAAGCCGAATGTTTATATCTATACCATATATATCCGTGATCTGTGTAGGGATAATAAGATGGAAGAAGCGGAGAAAATGTTCGAGTTGATGAAGAAACATGGTGTTGTTCCAAACTTGTATACTTACTGTGCAATGATTGATGGTTACTGCAAGACCGGTAACCTGAGACAAGCTTACGGCTTGTATAAGGAGATTCTTGTTGCTGAATTGCTGCCAAATGTTGTTGTTTTCGGCACATTGGTAGATGGTTTTTGCAAAGCTCGTGAATTGGTAGCTGCGAGGAGCCTTTTCGTGCATATGGTGAAGTTTGGGGTTGATCCTAATTTATATGTTTATAACTGTTTAATTCATGGACAGTGCAAATCAGGGAACATGTTGGAAGCAATGGGATTACTTTCCGAGATGGAAAGTTTGGATCTTTCGCCTGATGTATTCACTTATACTATACTTATCAAGGGGCTATGTACTGAAGATCGGCTAGCAGAAGCAAATCGATTATTTCAGAAAATGAAGAATGAGAGCATTTTTCCGAGCTCTGTGACTTACAATTCGCTGATTCATGGGTTTTGTAAAGAGTACAACATAGAGAAAGCTCTGGATTTGTGCTCTGAGATGACATCAAGTGGCGTAGAACCCAACATCATAACCTTTTCTACTTTGATCGACGGTTACTGCAAAGTGAGAAACATAAAAGCTGCAATGGGCTTGTACTTTGAGATGACCATCAAAGGTATAGTTCCTGATGTTGTGACCTACACAGCTTTGATTGATGCGCATTTCAAGGAGGCCAACATGAAAGAAGCACTCAGGCTGTACAGTGACATGCTAGAGGCTGGAATCCACCCCAATGATCACACGTTCGCTTGCCTAGTAGATGGATTCTGGAAAGAAGGGCGAGTCTCTGATGCCATCGATTTTTATCTAGAAAACAATCAATCTGCAACCGGTAAATCCGTTGCCCAGAGGAGCTGCTGGAATCATTTGGGGTTTACATGCTTGATTGAAGGGTTATGTCAGAACGGCTACATTCTTAGAGCTAGCAGATTCTTCTCAGACATGAGATCGGTCGGGGTAACCCCTGACATATGGAGTTACGTTTCGATGTTAAAGGGCCACCTCCGAGAAAAGCGTATTACTGATACAATGATGTTGCACTGTGACATGATCAAAACTGGGATATTGCCAAACCTTATGGTGAATCAATTGCTAGCCATGTTTTATCAAGAGAATGGATGTCTAAGATCAGCTTGTTTCTTGACCAATTCTGGTCGTTTGGGAACTATCAGCTAATTGGCAGCAAATCCTGCTAGTCAATCTCTGTTAATCTTGCGAGCTTCACAATTTTTTGGTTCAATCTCAGGCTCTTCGTTGTAAATAAGGGATAAACCTTTTACAGGAGATAGAACAAAGTGATTATCACCGAGTGTTTGGGCAAGAGTCGCAAGACAAATGAAATGCTTTATTTGAAGTCAAAAACACATATGTAACAGCATATATCTTATTACAGTGTTTCATTGCAAAATGTATGGAATCTGCATATCCTCAATTTACAAGACAATGGTACAGAATAGTATAGAGGAGCCTACTTTGAAGATATAGAGTTTGATTCTTATGGCGAATGGAGACAACAACAGCATCTGGGACTTCTGGTGATCGTCTTTAACTTTTTAACTGTTCCTGAAATCAAAGTTATTGCAACTCAGATAAAATCCGGAAACAGAATTTGCTCATCAAAAACTGGAAGATACAGCAAAGGGAAAGGTTCAAATTTGCGAATTTTCGTTTTCAAGATTCATATCTGTGTACTGCAAGCAGAGTATTAAGATACAAACATGGGCGAAATCATTAACCTAAGTTTAACAGACTCTTTATTGTTTCTTCAGATTACACAGCTACAGCTTCTGGCCTCTTGCTGGCCTTGATTCCTTTTATAGCTGCAGAATTTTCAACAAACAAACAGACCAAATGTTATATATTCTTTTTATAGCTAAACTCAGAAAGTAATATAAACATCGGTTTTATCTCTATACCTTCTGCGTAGTCCTTAGCTCCAAATACAGCTGATCCAGCCACTAGAGCATTTGCTCCAGCCTCAATAACCTATTATAACTCACAAAAGATTCATTATCTGAGATCTCTAGGGCACAAAAATATCTACAGCAGTAAAATATGAGTTAAAGATTAAACTCGGAAGGGTATTCGAGCTTCACCTTGTACGCATTTGCTGGAGTGACACCACCATCAACTTCAATCCATGGGTTTACTCCCTAAAAAACAATACAATGTTTTGAGAAGAGAAGAGGCTTTCACTCAGAGAGAAGTTACTCGATTGATACCTTCTCTGCACACATTTTTCTCAAGTCCGAGATTTTCTTTACTTGGCTTTCGATAAAGCTCTGTCCACCAAAACCGGGGTTGACCGACATGATCAAGACCAAATCCACCACTGATATCAGGAACAAATGATATTCCAATGAGAACAATCTTAATCATCTCTCGCCAAAGCAAATGCAGTGTTAGGACAGAAAAACTAACCATCCAAGACATATTCTATTGCACTCAATGGGGTTCCAGGGTTTAAGACAACTCCAGCTTTAGCCCCTAAGCTTTTTATCTAAACACCATTGTAGCAGCACAATGTAAGATTTTATTGTTAAGAACACTCCACCAGAAGGAAATTTTAAAAAGTGGAAGCATGAAAATATGAGTACTTGATTGACGGTGCGATGCAAATGGATGGTCGATTGCTGTTCACAATGTACACTGACTATATCTGCGCCAGCTTTGATGAAATCCGGTACTCTCTGCTCGGGTTCCACTATCATCTGGTTTTAGAGAATCGTTAATCAGAAATGTGACTTGAAACATCAAGAAAGAGATAAGAAAAGGAGTACGTCTTTACAAGATGAACATCCAACGGAAGATCTGTCACAGGGCGCAAAGCATCAACCACGAGAGGTCCAATAGTAATGTTGGGAACAAAACGACCGTCCATCACATCAACATGAATCCAATCACAACCTGCCAACTCCACTGCTTTTACCTGGAAGCAGCCGAATAAAAAAGAGAGTGAAATGGAGAAACAAAACAAAAGAAATCATTGAAACAGGAAACCAAAAAAGGAGAGCAACAAAAACCTGCTCGCCTAATTTGGCGAAATTAGCCGAGAGAATAGAGGGAGAAACAATGATATCACTTTTGGAAAACCTATCAACCCGAGCTGAGGCCTTGACAATTCCATGACTTCTCCTTCTGCAAAAATTTATTGCAGATTGAATCTTTTTAAGTGACAAAATCAAAAGCATAATAAGCTCTCAGAGATCAACAACATCTATATTATTGCAGGAACTTGATAATGTTTACTCAAGCAACAATATCCAAAAACACATGAAAGATACTTCATTTATATAACCAAATCCTCTAATGATACAAATCAACTTTCAATTACCAGATAATTTCAGCAAATTTCAAATTAACGATGCCAAACAAACCTACCCATGAGCAATCGTAGTAAGTAAAACAAAACCATGATAATTGGTTTACCTGGAGAAAGAAAACGAAGTGGGTTGGTAAAGAAGCGACCTTTCAGGCCTAAGACCAAACCCATTGACCTGGGTTGATGAACAACACAAGGAAGCGGCGGAGGTCGACATCGTCCGACTCAAAGATTCAAATTTTCTCTAACTAGAATCCTGAAAGAGTTGGTGAGTTTAGCTTATGAGAGAAAACCCCAATCGTTTCTTTCTTCTTCTTCCTCTTCCTCCTTCTTGCTTCGTCTCTACACCAATTATCTCCCTCTCAAACCCCAAAAGAAAAAAAAAACAGAAACTTTATTCTCCGGGAAAAGAAAAAAGAGGAGAATATCTGAGAATCCGCCACGTGTGATTACGGTCTCGTGGGTAACGTCTTCCTTGTTCGGATGATCCAATGCAACAGCTTATCTCTATCTCGAACGGTTGGCTCTCTATTGCTGACTTGTAATTTTGTGGGAATGCTAATTTTGCAAAAATAAATCCAGATATTTTTAAGCAGTAAATAAATGAGATATTATTTTTTCTACTAACAAATAAAAATTTCATGTAATTATAAATTCTTTAATAATACATATGGATTTTTAAGGTCAATAATAAATATGGTTTTTGAGGTCAAATTTATAGTTTCAATAAAAACAATTTGATAAGTAAAATATAAAAATGTAATAGAAATTCAAGAGTCAATTTGATAAGTAAAATTTTAAAAAATTGACAAATTTTAAAATTAACTTGTAAATTCAATTATTATTAAATTTTATACTTGTCAACGATATAAAACAAAAACTGAAGCTGAGCCAACCAATTCTAGTCCCTTTTGATAGATTTAGTATTTGTAAATCTATTACATGATGCTTTTATGTCTTGGGGCCATAGTGATCCAAGAAGGCCCATGAACCATGATCTTGTTGGCTCTCTTTTATCTGCCCATAGATGCATGCATAGTTCATGAGGAGGAATTGAGGACTAACGAGATTGATTAAGAATTAGGAAAAGTGGGTCTAAGCACAAATATGAAGATAAAAATCTCATTTATTCAATACTTATTTGGACTTCATTGCATTTTATTAATTAGAGAATATATCAAAGAAGATACTCATGCATGCTTGTAGTATAACACACACTCAATTCACTTCTTGCTTTGTCCACTACCATGCAAGTTACTAAAGTACCCTTGAGGGTTACTCTCAAATCCACCTCTCGAAATGTAAGCACCCCCATTTGTCCCTGGTGCTACCATGTTACCTCCTCCTGCACCACTTTTTCCTCCGTTGCCACTTCCACTACCGCCGCCGCTCTTTCCTCCACCGCCACTGCTCTTTCCTCCACCGCCGCTACTGCTTTTTCCACTCATTCTTCAGATGTGATTATGATCAAGAATTTGGAGATTTGTGAGTTTGTGAAGAATGAGTTTGAGAAATGGCTATTTATAGAGAAAGAGAGCGATTCAAAGCGTTGGTCAAAAGTTGATGCTTCCCAAAATTATATCGTAATCTCTGCATTACTTAATTGCTTCAATTCAAATCACCTCGTAAAAGTGATTAGTAACAATCTTACATTTACAAAGTGATTTAACCATTTATTAACGGGTTGAATGAATCCAAAACGGCTCTCCACATTCGTCACAATACTATTTCAGGTTTTTAAGTAAAGCCCAGTAGCATTAGGCCTAATTACTTTTGTGCAGATGGTCCTATTTAGTTTTTGTGGCTTTTATCCCACATTTTAAGTCTATTCTGTTTACAGAACTCCAATGATTAACATTTTATGGATGTAATGGATTCGATCGGAAGACCAATCTCTTAGCATAAAAATCTAGTTTTTTATATGGTAGCACTTTTACTTTTTGTTAGATAATGCATATAATGTATTCGTTTAATCGTTAAATAAAGTGTGTTTTTCACAAAAGAAAACATTGGATTATATTGGTATTCTAATTTCTAAAACAATATTGCTATATGATTATCGTAATTTGAGTGGTTTGGGCTCTTTCTTTGCAAGTTGACAACCGGTGAAATTAAAAGTATCATCTTACTGATTAAAATAGCTTCACACATGCCGACAAGAAAAAGCGCTCACACATATTTAGCAAAAACGTGTTTAATGTAAAATAACCTATAATAAAAAAAGGAGTTTTTGACCAACAAAGTTTTCATCTTTTATTTTTCCACTAAAATTTCAGATAAACAATGTGTTTGCTTTAATTTTTCAAGTTTTTTTAAAATTTTTTATTTAAAAAAATATATAACTATTAACTAGAACCTAAACTGAAAGCTGAGAGACAAGGCTAGTGGTATATTATATGGCAAGATACTATTAACGAGTGATCATATTAATTTTAACGCATATTAACAAAATATTTGTTGATTAAAATTTTGATTGAATTTATATAAAAAAAATTGTTGATTAAATTAGAGCTCTTATCAATATATGTCCCCCTAAGTTTTACTTATCTTCATTCGCGTAATATAAAATAATTCTCAATATATTTATACGAATGAAAGTAACTAAAACAAAATTTGCAAATAATATTGAGTAACGAACCAGTCGTGGACGATGATCGAGTTCTAATATGAGGTAAAACAAATGTAGAATTCTTGACGATCGATGCAAAAGCCGCATAGCAGGAATGGGGTCGAGAGCAATCACAATGATTTGATCTTGTAAGTTGCATTGTTTTGCGCCTCTTTGTAAGATCATAGGGGCATTTTTACAATTCATTTTTTTTTTTTCAATTAAAAAAGTTATTGAGGGATGAGTGGGTCTAAAGGCCATTTATGAAAAGTGAGTAAGACTTCTCATCAGAATTGTTTGTCAAAAAAAAAAAAAAAAAAAACTCCAATACACCTTATCTTTTTTTTTTCTTTATTTGGAATTGGTAAGTGTATTAATGTATGAAAGCATGTTTCTATGTGTTAAGGTTCATGGCAACACAAAAATATCTTGGAAAAATGAAATAAGGAAATAAAAAATCATGTCAAAGAAAAAATGAAAATTATAAAACGAAGAATTCATTCAAATTATTTGACTATTAGATCGAATTCAAATAATATGCACATAAATATTAGTATGATAAAAACTTTATATTGTAATAAAAATTACATTATTATTAGGATTCTATTTGTTTTTAGACAAGATTTGTCGGGTCAGAAATCCAATTAGAGTTCTGTTTCACCTCGTGATCTTTTGGCTTTCATGTAAATTGTTTATTGACCACACAAATACCCTTTTATTGCAACGTCTTTTTCGTTTGAGCATTTTTGTTTATTATTATTTTTTTAATTTAGTTTAACATTATTTTTTACACATTTCTTATTTATACTAAAATAAATAGATATATCGGAAAGAGGGATGTTGTGGTCGGTTCAAATCCAACGAAAGGTACCAGTAGATCCACTACGTTCATGCCATTGGTCATTGGAAACAATAAATGAGTTAATCATAAAGACGAGCATAAAAACCAAAAAGAGCATAATTGATGACTATAATGGGCGCTGATGATTATAATGGGAAGTACTACGAAAATAAGATAAATAATACAAGCTTTATTATGTGTTAAAAAAAAAAAAAAAAGCTTTATTAATACTCAATATTAGTAGTATAAAACATCGTGGCCCGCGCAAATCAATTACTAATTGATTCGCGAGGTTACATGCATGGTTCTCAATGTAAGAGAAACCCTAACTCAAACCCTATTTTATTTTATTTTAGGGGAGGCCTGAGATAAACCCTTATTTAATTAACATCGTATTAAACCATGAGGCCTTGGACATATACTAAACAACCCAAATATTAAATACATACACACCATCTCGTTCGAGCGAGTCGTTATTAGTAATCGACTAACCTTGGATACAGAACCATAGCTAGTTACGTCGTCGAATAGATTGAAACCTTTCTGTTTGGATATGAAGAGTCATATGAAATGCTTTTCGAGCGAGTCTGAGTCGGTGTCATACATAAAATTGGTATGGTCAAGAAGATAATTTGACCATCCCTCGAAGTTTCCTACCATATTGTCTTGATCATCAACGCTAGTTGATGAGACTTCTTGGGAAACATCGGACAGAAGGAGATCATGACTGTACTCTACATTCATACTGTTCTCTTCATTGTGGTTATCTACTCCGAGTTTTTCGAAAAATTGTGAAAAATCGTAATCTTGGTCCAGGTGGAGATCAGAAGTAGCATTGATCTCATGCTCGGGGTACAACGAGGATGGCGAGAAGGGGTCGAATTCGGCAAGAGTATTTGTCAGGGATGTGTTAGAACTATCCTCTCCACTGGGAATCTTCTCAGTGAAGCCATTAAAGAAGCTTGCATGTGATATGGTAGTAGCACTTAAGCTACCTTCCATGGAAGCCGACAATATATCTTTGATGGAAGTGGCCTTAGCCGCAACTTTGTTCAACAGCCTTGATGTAGAACTCGATTTCTTGAAACGTTTCTTGCAACTCAAGGAACTTCCTTGCACCGGTGTCCCATCATTGCTGCTAATATCGGAGACCTTGGAAACCATGTTGCAACTGGATGGAAGAGGACGAGACAGAGTAGGCATTGAGCTCGACCGGGAGTTCTGCTTGTCGGAACTAGAGTCATTTAGGGAATTTAAATTCTCATCAACCGTAGGGATGGAACTAGAAGCTAGTGGCTTGTGAGTCACGGGATCAAGACCCTGTTCGATCAAACGTTTTTTGAGATGCGTGTTCCAGTAGTTCTTGATCTCGTTGTCTGTTCTTCTAGGTAAATGTCTCGCTATGACCGACCACCTAAAGGAAAGAAGATAGAGAGATAGACCGGAGACAATATTAAAATGATGATCATGTCTTCATGTTAAATTAAAGTAATACTCTATGAAACCTTTCATGCATTTCATTATACATTCGAGGGTCCACGCACACACATATAAACATATATATATAGAAACGTACTTGTTGCCACGAGAAGCATGAAGCATGATGATAATCTGCTCTTCCTCTGAACTAAACTCGCCTCTTTTGATCTCAGGTTTAAGGTAATTGGTCCATCGCAGTCTACAACTCTTTCCACACCGCTTCAACCCTATCAAACACAATTATTATCATAACAATTTTGTACAACAAGTACTAAATAAACATGTATAGATTTGTATATATGTATAAACCAGCTTTTTGGGGAATGTCGCGCCAGCCTCCCTCTCCGTGGTCGTGGATGTAAGAGATGAGTTTCTTGTCCTCCTCGGTGGTCCATGCTCCTTTCTTCAAGCCTTCTCCGACGCAACATGGCTTTCTTGACATTTTTTTTTCGATATATATGAACAATAATGCGTAAAATTTCATATAATTAACGTCTCACAAACACTCAAGATATAGATACAGCGAGAATCTATATATGTTAAAAAAAAAAAAAGAGTAAAAATTCGAAAGGAAATTGTTTAACCAGATAAGGAGAAAGCAACAGATCTGTTAATGAGAACTCTGATGCATCTGAATATGAAACTGATCGAGAAACCCCCTTTGATCTTACCCACACAGCTACTACGTGTTTTCATTATTTTTTAACGCAGAGTAGATTTATAAAAAAATAATAATTATAATACTAAGACTAGAATCAAAAAGCTTGAAGAAGAACCAAGAGGCATGACTTCTGTGATAGTGGTACGCTTATGAGCTTCCCCATATATATATATATACACGTACATAATCAGAATTTTATAGAATTTTTTGTAAGTAGATAAATTTGTTAAAGCTTACTCGTAATTTTTTTTTATGTCTGAAAAGTGGTGTTGTATATTACTATATTTTGGTATTTTTCCTATTTTGAAGTAACTTAAATACGGTAATGCGCTTCGGTATGAGATGAAATATTTTAAAATTTATATCACCTAAATGTACCAGGTTCTTGCATATTCAATTTATAAAGTAAATTTACTTTTTTTGACAAAAAAAAAAAAAAAAAAAAAAAAAAAAAAGTAAATTTAACTTTTAATTATTAATATAAAATTGTACGATAGATCCAATGTGGAGAGGGGAAATGGAGGGGCGAACTATAAACGGACATTTGCAAAATATATATATATATATATATATATATATATATATATATATAACTTTTAATGATTCAATTGTATTATGTGCAACTATTTGTGTATTGTTTCAATATTTGGTTTATATCAGCTATAAAATTAAATTGTCAAATATTTTTGAACTTAAACGTATTTTTGTAAACGCAAATGCAAAAGGAGAAAAAAAAAAAAAACGGGTTCTGTATTTTTGTAATATATAGTCAAGCGAGAAAGTATAAATTTACATTTTTTTTTTTATCAACAATAAACATTATTGTTCATCATTGAGAATAGAAGGGCGATTATAACATCACGTGTATTTTTTCAGCGTAGGTCCTTTTTGTTTGCCACTTTTGTTGTTGTTCTATTATTGCTCGTCTCTTACACCTTTCACATATTATTGTTCTAAGGTTTTGTTACCGGAATAGTTTGAAGGATATTTTCGGATGCTATTCTTCTACCTAACATATAGGTTTTCTATATATTGATCATGGCCTTTATAATTGGCGTGATAAGAAAATGTATTTAGAGTATTTCACGTATGTACGTATATGTTTGCCATATGATTTTATCTCATGCATTGATATTTTTCAATGTAGAGTAAAAAAGAGGGAAATTTGATACTCCCAACTCTAACATATATGGATCAAAACTAGACCTAGCTAGTTCCAACAGCAATCTAGAAAAATATTTTACATAGAACACAAACTTGTATTGTACGTATATAAATTTTTATCAAATTAAACATCTTTTATTGCATTATAAAACAATAATGTTGGTGCCACAAAGTAAATTATATATAGGCATCTGCCACACCTTCTACCAATTAAGCTTAAGCTAGGTCTGCGCCTTCCTCGGTCTCGTATTGCAAGTGAACTGAACTCTTATAAATTTGCGTGTATATACTTTACTTTGCTGTATTTTATTTTATTTTTTTAAGTCGGATTTGGAATTTAAATTTTAACAAGAAACTCTTACAAGTTACAAGAAAGATGGAATTGACACAAGTATGCTTGGTTCAACATTCCTTTGGGTTGGTCGGTTTACAAGAATCATGGTTCTATTTCTTTTTTTTTTTTTTTTTTTTTTGGCAAAGGTTTCTATTTCTATGTAGTCATTGTTGGAGTGAAAATGTTAAGAGTTACGATCGATAGCTCCAAACTGTGTAAAAAGAATACCTGAAACAGGATTTTTTTAGAGCACCGCATAAATTAATTTGAAACAATCTGCATTTCTGCAAATTTGTAAGGACCAGTTTGGATTATTACATAGAGTAATCATTGATTCTTCTTCTTCTTCTTCCTTTTTTTTTGGGAAAATTTTGAGTCATTAGTGTTGATTCTTTTAGACCAACTTATATCCCTAAGATCCGGTCGTTCTAGATATATGTCAACCAACTTAAATGGTCCCAAAGTATATCGTCACTTATTCTTAATTCTTTCCTTGGACCGAAACCACAGTAATCTCCAAATGTCAACCTATATTTAATATTTTAGTAATTTCGCAAACTAAAACTCATCACAATCCTCAATTTTACGAACCAAAATTTTCGCAATGACTCACATCCGAGCATTTAGATTGCTTTGATTCTTCTAACTCTTCGTGATTTTTGTAACTTTTTTTGTTGCGGTTTTATCATATTATTCTCCACTATCATTTTGCAAAACAAGTTGCTTTACATTTTTTTTTTGTGCTAACTTTTTTTTTTAAGTGACGTAATTTTTTATACTTGGACAGGTTGCTTTACCCACTCAAAACCACAGTAATGTGTCTCTAGCATTTTCGACAATTTGTTTATTCTTTCTTCTTGTCGCTCTTGTTTTATTACGGTTATATGCGAATATACTTTTTGTTATATTAATCCCCACATCACACGAGGTTGATCTTTAAAATAAATAAAAATTAGTTGATCTTCTTTCTGTTTTACTTTTATATCATGATTAAACACTTCTTCACGCCAATTATTATAGTTTCGTTCTCAAAGCCACTACTGATTCTGAATCCGGACGTAGAATTAGGACTCATTAATTAATAACGTTGTTAATTTGCAAATACCGGAAATATTAAATAGAATTCTGAGTTATGGACAATTAAAAAAAGGACACACTTCCACTCTATGTATCATATGTAAAATATCTAATTATAAAGATTATTTATAATATGTTTAGCTCGTGATTGATGGACCTAATTAGATTAAAATAAAATGATGTTTTATCTGTAAGTTGAGCCGTTGAGGTGATATAGAAGAACTTCAGCAACTCTTAATTGGGACTTTGGGACCATGAGAAATATCCACTCACCCTAAAAATAAAATTTTAGATTTCTTTTAGATTTCTCACTTTTACATTTAACTTTTTTTTTTTTTTTTGTCATCCACTTTTACATTTAACATTTTTTAAAATAATTATTTTCTTTTTGAATAGCAAAGGAATATTTGTCTACTTTTATTTTGAAAGGGAGCTCACATTTCAGTTGTGCTCTCAGCTGTGGTCTCAATTCCATTTTTCTTTCAAATAATTGGTTTTTCCAACTATGAATTATTACAAAAGTATTATGATAGAACTTTTTTGAAAAAAATATAACAATCATACATTTACATGTTATGTGTTGGAGAGAAATTTTTATCTATGTGTTGTTGATTTTCCAAGACTTACTCAGTCGAAGCACATTCGGTCCAAAATGCTTTGACAAGCATGGTCCAAACGGTATCCTCTTCAACAGGGAAAGGAAAAAGAGGTCTTACTTATGAGGCGACATGTAGACTTCGAGTTACGACTATTACCAATGATCCATCTTTTTTTTCCTGCAAAACATACTTAATTTCACTAATTTATAGCAAGTACATTGTTTAAACAAACATCAACCTCAAGGTTGGGAATAACAAAGATAGCTACTAGCATTTACAAGCAAAGAATAAAGGAAGTAAAAACGATAATTCGACGGAAGATCCAAACATCGGAAACAAGAACATGATCGTAACTTGTCACAAACGAGAGATTGGTGAGTCGAAGACAATTCCACGAAAAATTTCGGAAGATTGTTGATTAATCACATTTCAATAAAAGCATGATGACGTTGAAAAGGCCTTTAACCTTGGGTATCACCGATTATTCATCTTATAAACCAAACTTCACAAATCATTCTAATTGAACGAGAAATATTTGTAGAAGTCACCATTCCGTTGTCCAAAGAATATTGAGTTTTTTCTTCGTGTAATTAATTTATTCAATAATCAATATAAATATTATACATGAAAATATTTTTCAATTTTCTTAATAATACCGCTATGATTGGATCAATTATATGATTTTAAGCAAATAAAACCTTTTGTTTTATTTTTACCAGAAAAGATAAATGTTTTATTTTGTCGTACGTATAGGTAGACAAAAAGGGCTGGCATTTAGAGGAAGCAACTAGGCTATAAGCTCCTGTTGAAAAAGATATTTTTTAGAATCAAAACGAACGCGAATGAACCATGCATTTACCCGTCCACTAGTAAACCTGAAAAGAATTTCAAACACCACGAGTGGTCTTTAGATTCAACAGTTGAAGCATAATATGCAAATCATATTGTGTAGAGTGATTAAAAAATCGACTTAAATTAAATATGATAACCCTATAAAAGTAGCTATAATAATTACGAAATTGACAGCTAGTATTATAAACTAGTTATTGTTAATAGTTAACCAAAAAATTCACTTCAAAACTTAAACGAATCTACTTGCTCTCATTTGTTTTTGTAGGACAAATAAAAGTAAAAACGATCAATTAATTTCTTTTGTGGGTACGTATTATGAGTTGGCTGATTACCTACGATACGAACCATCATAAAAGTCTTCCTCCAAGCAGTTTTTCTATAGGATTTAAAAGCAACACAACACTCGATTGCGTTGTACATAATCTAAGCCGTCAAGAGTCATAATCCAAAAAGTCATGCAAGTTAATCGCAACCGCATTAGCTCTCTTTATTTGCCTTTGGGGCATCACTCCGTTCACTATCTGGTTCCGCATGCACAAATCTGAATCTTTTTTTTCTCTCCGACGCAAATGATGACGCCCCATTCTATCATTTTTCTCTTACTCAATTAATTTACGAACTGTATGGCTTAATTTCATTCTCTTTTTTTGTGCTAGAACCTAAGGTCTTTTTTTTGGGCAAAAAAGTACTAGAACCTAAAGTGAGACAGTCTTTTGTACAGGTTATTTATTTTTGAACATATATATAACCGTAGAATGAAAGATTAAGGATGAGAAGAACCCATCCAGAAACGAGGCA